ACGACTGTTATGCCAATAGAGCGGTTTCGAACATCGCAAAAATCTGTTTAAGGATTTTAGTACAAAAACCGGGCCAGAATCAATGGGAAAGGGCAGGCTAGCAGAGATCGTTGAGGAAGAGGAGAGGGCAGGCTAGCAGAGATTGTTGAGGAAGAGGAGAGGGCAGGCTAGCAGAGATTGTTGAGGAAGAGGAGAGGGCAGGCTAGCAGAGATTGTTGAGGAAGAGGAGAGGGCAGGCTAGCAGAGATTGTTGAGGAAGAGGAGAGGGCAGGCTAGCAGAGATTGTTGAGGAAGAGGAGAGGGCAGGCTAGCAGAGATTGTTGAGGAAGAGGAGAGGGCAGGCTAGCAGAGATTGTTGAGGAAGAGGAGAGGGCAGGCTAGCAGAGATTGTTGAGGAAGAGGAGAGGGCAGGCTAGCAGAGATTGTTGAGGAAGAGGAGAGGGCAGGCTAGCAGAGATTGTTGAGGAAGAGGAGAGGGGCAGGCTAGCAGAGATTGTTGAGGAAGAGGAGAGGGCAGGCTAGCAGAGATTGTTGAGGAAGAGTAGAGGGCAGGCTAGCAGAGATTGTTGAGGAAGAGGAGAGGGCAGGCTAGCAGAGATTGTTGAGGAAGAGGAGAGGGCAGGCTAGCAGAGATTGTTGAGGAAGAGGAGAGGGCAGGCTAGCAGAGATTGTTGAGGAAGAGGAGAGGGCAGGCTAGCAGAGATTGTTGAGGAAGAGGAGAGGGCAGGCTAGCAGAGATTGTTGAGGAAGAGGAGAGGGCAGGCTAGCAGAGATTGTTGAGGAAGAGGAGAGGGCAGGCTAGCAGAGATTCCGAGGGAATTCAGCGGCTTGAACGTGACGTTATAAATATTTGTAAGATGTGCTCGTGTAGATGCAAAATAAGAAGAGGGGCGGCTGGGAGGTAGAAGACAATTCCCCCGTAATTCCAGACCACAGCGCCCCATTCCGAATAATGAGAAATATGGCCTTGTCTTCTTGCCTCCTCGCTCTTGTCTGTTGTTTCTTTTAATCCCACATTTTTCAATTCCTTTCCCTTCCCGTTTTCCATCCCGTTTTCGCGGCGGGACCACGGGTGGGATCGAAATTTGCACCCAATTCTGGGACTACCGTAATGGTGCTGAGAGAACTTTAAAATTGAGTTTTGCAAGACTTTTCGCGAGGATTAATCATCGATAAAGCCGGTAGTCTGACAACGCAATTAATCCAAACATAAATTTTTAAAATTTCAAAATGCTTTGGTCATTATTTTTATCAAATTATGCGTACTATAATTAAAATTACAATTTTTAATTTTATCTCTTTTTATTCTGACATTTTCTAAAAAACAACTAGCTATCTGAATTGCTACAACCTCGAGCCGCAGGACAGGGTAAATACTGGAAACATGAAATTTGCGAATTTTTCAAGCGAGATAAATGACAAATGAAGATAAAAATGATAATTTGCATCTGATGTTATAAATGGTTCCCTCCTTGTATTTACTACCGAAATAAAACAAAAAGCCCGCCGCGCGACCCGTGACGCAGACGCCGTGTAATCGATTACGCAATAAAAAGCGGCGTTGCGGGTTCCGGAAACTGCTCTTTTCATAAGTATTTCTTATCATTAGGATTTTTCATGAATTTAATTGATACTTTTAAGTTAGAATTATTGGAAAATTGGTAGCTTCATCGGCCCGTTTATGTCCAAAATCTGCAAAATTTAGGCGCCAGATTATATTAAAATCCTTTTTTCAATTCCTCTAGGAGACTTCTTGGTCCAAATGCCAGTATTAAGATACATTAAAATGCCATTGAAAATGCTTTAAACCATTATGGACGAATCACAAATTTCTAAAAATGAAACTACTGAAAATATGGTAAACTTAATAGTGAATGAAACACGGTCGGGAGTGCCACGTCATTAAAGAACGCGCAAAAAAATCGCAGCCCTGAATTCCTGAAACAATTTATTTGCCTAATTTTTGAAGAATTTTGCACAAGAATTTGTGCAAGATTATTTGTAGCAAATACCTCTGCGATTAATTACCGATCGCCTGACCTTGAGAACTTGTGTTTTCAGTGAAACATCAAAAAAATATAATATTTTTGTAAGGTATCAAAAATAGAAGAGGAGATTTGTATTGTTTTCGGGTGAATGGTGGCAAGATTAGAAGAAGTGCCCTACCAGGGCGGCCACATTGACAAGTATTGGGAAGGCCACCGCGTATTATTGCCGCCCCCCTAAAAAAATCGGCGTATGTAATCTGGATCTGCGGATCCAGCACCCCCACCCCCCGATAATCCCCAGAATGGCGGCCGCAAAATAATTGGAAATCACCCCCCAGAATCTCCGCCAATTCCCAATTATCAATCTTCAATATAGAGGCTAGAAATAATGCAGGGGAGATCCCGAAAAAATATAAATATACAAAAAATATCTTTGGCGCTGCGCCCGAAAAAAAATGTTTCAAGAATTTTGGGCGCTCAAATCAAGAAATTCCAAGAATTAGACAAGGCCGGGAAATCATTTTTCAAAATTTTTACGTTTAGCTAAAATCAAATTAGGCGGCACGCATTTCTCTCATTAAAAAAATCAAATTTGTTTGGGTCAGAATGTTTCTTTTCTTCTAATATCAATTTTTAATGGAGGAGGATTTTGGTAGAAGCCATCTTTTTTAAATAAAACGGGACGATAATGTTTCAAAAAATGTTAAGGTCACTTAATTTCAAAGTTCATTATTGTGAGCCCGTAGGTATTTTCAAAATCATCGATTATCAACGATTCACTCAAACATACAAATCTGGATGCTAAAAATGTAAGCTTTTGAAACTAGCTGAAACATTTTTTGGGAGAAATCCGCATCTCTAAAAAAGGCACCGGATTAGCGCGACAAATTGCTGGTATTTGTTGGTGGATTGGGTTGTATAGGCTGGGAGAAAGACGGGAGAGCGAGAGAGAGAGAGAGAGAGAGAGAGAGAGAGAGAGAGGAGAGAGAGAGAGAGAGAGAGAGAGAGAGAGAGAGAGAGAGAACAATTCTGATGCGCTCGACTGATCCGAGGAGCGAGAAACGGGAGACAATCTGATCTATTATCCTCCGTCTGGAGGGAGCACAAAACCAGGAAGTCCTTCTCCTGGCTATCCAGCTTGAGATTGTGCTTTAAAGGTATCGTAAAGCCAAGTATCCGCTGAAAAATGCGGCCAAAAAAATTGGTTAATTTGTTTAAAACGCTGGGTTTCAAAATTTAATGGCAACTAGATCCAAAAAAATCTGATTATTGTAGCCATAAAAAGTGGAAGAATGGAAAAATCGTGTGTCGACCAAACTTTCAAGTAGTGCGAATGTTCAAAATTGGATAAGATACTTTTCCGCTCCCCCCGATAACGCGAGAGCACAGGCCTTATTCGAAAAATACAGTAATCTCGCGGTTTTCCAGTCGAAAATCCATTAAACCCGCAGCCTTCCCAGTCCCTTTAATGTAATCCAATACCCCGATGCCCAAAATGTATATTAAAAAGTGTTCCACTCAATCCCCAACAATAAATATACCTTTTCCGCCATTTTACCCCGGACCCGCGTCGCCCGGAAATTTGAGCCCCCCTCTACCGGACCGGGTTGAGTTGCCGGAATTATTTGATACACACTTTGGCACGCGGCTCGGCTTCTCTGCATCTCTATCTCTCGCGCTCTCTCTCTCTCTCTCTCTCTCTCTCTCTCTCTCTTTCTCTCTCTCTCTCTCTCTCTCTCTCTCCCTCTCTCTCGCCAGCAATTTGCGTTGCGTATAGCGGAACAAGTGGAAATTCCCATTTTTCGACATAGGGACGCTCCAATTTGAATTTTACGAAATATTTAAATTTCATGAAAATTTTTTGGCTTTCTTAAAATTGGGCTGAAAAATAGGGGCTAACTTATTAGCTATTTTTTATTTAAATTTATTAAACCCGGATGCCTAAGGGATTTTTAAGCGGCATTTTAATAAAATCAAAAGAAAAGAATTTTGTGACACAAATGAAGGATGAAGGAATAATTATCGAAAATAGCAAAATTTATCCTAGAATTTTTATGAAACATTATAATCCAACTGCGGAAATGCGAAATGGGCCGAAAAACGGCAACTATGAGAATCACAAAGGCCAAATTTGTGAAGCGAGAGAGAGAGAGAGAGAGAGAGAGAGAGTGCCAGAGTGAGACGGAGGGCAAAACCAAATTTTCAACTTACAAAATGCCACAATGGCGGGAGCAAGGAGGATCTACGCAAGCCATTCCCCCTTGCCCTCCACAAGCCCAGAAGAAGCCTAATTAAAATGGGGGGCTTTTCCTTGGAGCGGCTTCTCCTCTCCCCTCCCATTAGTGCAGCCGCCCGTGAAATATCGCGCAAATTAGCGCGCGGGAAAATAAATTTGCTGTTTTTTGGTGGGTTGGTAAATATTGTTCAAGGAACCACTGAATTGCTGACTTTCCGGTGCGAGATGGTTTGCCGGGCTTTGAAACATGGAAAAGCTAAGCCAGGAAATCGTACACAATCTCTCAGGGCAAGGCTAGATTTTTTATATGCCTTTTGTTCCTTTATATTACCTTACAAAACGTTGAAAGAATGTATTTCAGTCGTAAAATAGATTATTTTCGACCTAAAATGATCAAAATTTGGGATTTTTCAAAAAAATTTCCACAATTTGATATAGTTTTCTACTTCAAATACAACTAAATGATATTAAATGTACGAAATTATCTAAAAAAAACCTTCTAGGTTGTAGTTTTGCAGTAAACAAAAAAAATTAGAAAAGCCTACTCGAATTCTGTTGAATTTATCGAAAACTTCGGTTACTAAAATCAGTTAGAAAATGCTCGAATCACAAATGCGTGCACCTGTATCGCGGGAACAACATCACAATTCGTGCGGAAATCTCGAAAATTCTAGCATGCGGACAAGAAGAGGTGAAAAAGGAGGAAAGTCCCAAAATTTACAAGAATCGCATCAAATGCTGGGAAAGCCATCAAACATAAATATGTACATCCGCTAATAAAACACCGGTTTATATTCGTGCAACAGGGCAATGTCGCGATTCTGGAATGGCGGGAAGTGGAAGGCGTTCGGGTCGAGGCTTGAATAGTCTTGGAGACCGGAGCGACGGGAGCCTCTGAAAAAGAGGAAATTTTAACTCGAAATTTGGTTCTTTCGCATCAACGGGGGGGGGACAAATTTTGTTGTTTAAGTCTAGAAACTCCTAGTGACTTAATAAGAAGTATTTTAATCATAATAGGTTCAGCAAAATAAAAATATATTTCAACTATAAAAACTATCTAAAAAACTTTCAAATAATTTTCAAAAAGCCGACATTTTGGTTCAAGAACGGTTATTTTTCGGCGAAAAATCGTTATTTTATTTGTTACACAAAATTTGCGAAGTTTTTACTTTTAGAAACAATAAAAAAATAGTACCGCTATTTATATTTAAAAAACTGGATCATTAAATAACGAAAAATAAAGAAAATTCCTATACCTGACGCTTATGTGATGGCGGATCAGGTAGCTTTGACTGCTCTCAAAATGCGACAGTATCATGATAATCTGAAAAAACAGCATAAAGGTTCTAATTTAATAATACCTGTCGATGCATAGGCGGGATCGAATCGGCGATGAGCATCACCTGCCTGGAGGAGGTCACGTTTTCCGAACCGTTCGAATCGAGGCGGACCTGAATCAGCAAGAATTTGGGAAAATATTATGTGTTTCTCTCTCCTTCTGCCTCTCTCTCTCTCTCTCGCTCGCTCTCTCTCGCTCGCTGTCTCCCTCACCTGCATATAGCACTTCTCGTGGAAATTGTCAATCATCATGATCATGCCGCCAAAGTCCTTGTTCAAGTAGCGCGGCACGCAGCCATCTACCGACTAAAAAAATATACTTCTGAGACCAGGTGCATACCGAGTGGATCTTGCCCTCCTTGACGACGAGGCTGGCTAGAGAGTCGGTGTACATTTGCGGGGGACACAGTAGTTGTTCACCGAAGATTGGGCGATTGCTAAAATCAGAATTTTGAGCGAGGGAGAGAGAAAGCGAGAGAGAGAGAGTGAGCGATAGATAGAGGGATAGAGAGAGCGAGAGTGAGCGCTGAGAGAGACAGTGAGAAAGTGCGAGAGAGAGAGAGAGAGAGAGAGAGAGAGAGAGAGACAAACCTGTGAATTACGAGGGTCCCTTTCGATTTCAAAGGGTTCACCCCAATCGTGCTCAACGAGTGGCAGATGACAACGTAGTGGCCCTAAAATAAATTGAGACACAATCGGATAACACTTACTTGCCGCAAAAACACCTCCCCGGTCGAGACGAAATTCTCGATTTTCCGCGGGCTACGCGCCACCAATTCGCCGACATGACCCGTGGGGGTTACCTCGTGTACGCACACCAGGATGTCTACCTAAAAAATGGGCGTTTTTGCTTTACGTTGAAATTGTACAAGATTTTGCGCTCCATCAGACTTTCTCTTTAAAAATTACAGGCTCTCACGAGGACCCCAAAAAATCCTGAAAACTGGGTTCGAATCCGCGCAGAATTTTTCACGCAATAGCTTTGCCACATACAGAAAACGGAAAAACGGTGTTTTGCATTATCGGGGGGGGACCAACTCCCTTATTAGGACCTCAAATTTTCTAATAGTGGAAGGGTTTTAGACGGTTTTTACTATTCATAAAGGTGAAATCTATAGAAAATTTATTAAAACTGTCAAAAATAAAGATTTTCGACTAATTTCTACATTTGAAATGATTTTACTATACTTTTTTCAAAGCTTCGTAAAACTTAATTTTTTTAAAGCTTTTAAAGTTTTATATAGATTTTCTAGTTGAAATATAGTGATATTTTACTAAAACACTAGTAAAAGCTTTCTATCAAGTTACCAGAAATTTTAGACTTATAGAAAAAATCCCCCCCCCGATACTGCGAAAGAACCTGATATTCCATTTGAAGCCAAAAGTTCGACAAACCCGATCATCCACGGTCCGCGAGCCGCTCTGGAACATCGAGATGCACACCTCGGTGTTCGATTCGACCACCAGGCGCATGGCACGATCATCGCCGGTAAATGGTCCGCCAATGGCCATCGGAACGCGCAGCTCGGCGTGGCCCTAAAAAGCAGAAATACCAAATCTTCCTGATCCGCCGTACCTGCCCGGCCCGCACGCGAGCAATGTCCACAGCGTCAAAGTGGGCCATGAAGTCGGAGAAGCTACAAAGGTCAAAACTTCATTAAAAATGGAATACCTGATCCAAAAAGTGCCCGAATTTGGCTCGTTGGTCGGCAACAGCCGGGCTTTCATACTGGCCGGCCAGCCGCTCCACTGATCGCTCCATTCGCCCTTCCACACGAAATTGCCCCACGGGTTCCGCAGGCGGAGAAGCCTAAAAATATTCTCTTTTTTCGATTTGTTATCATAATATCTACAAATAAAATGTCGAAATTTCATGATGTCGAAATTCAGATGTGGACATTTTTTGCGTAGGATTCTTCGGGAATACGCTCTTTAAATTTCGGCATTCTAAATTTCGACATTCTAAATTTCGCCATTATGACAAACGCTTTTCGGCATTTTGAAAGTAACCCTTTTTCTTAACCAAAATTCTCACCGCGTGGTGCCTTCTTGCCGAACATCCAGTATCGAGTAGGCGTGGCGCGTTAATAGGCCCTAAACAACAAAAAATTTCTGTCAAAATCCACAAGCAAACCTTCTTTTTGTATTCGGCATCGTTGGCCCGTCGATTTCCGGCCCCGCAGCTGCATCCCATCACATAACCGGCTTCCCTGAGTCGGAATAACTTTAAAAAAATAGAATACGCTTACCTAGAGCTCAAGAGCGTCACCCAAATCGTATCCGGGCAAGCGTCCTCCTCCTCCAGATGAATGACCTCACAAGAAGCGCCCGTCAGCATCGAGAGCCCTTCGATAGTTCTGAAAAAGACGAATATACCCACAAAATTTTTGTAAATAAGTAAATTGTTAGCTTGTATTTTTCTGCGTCTTCGCCTTGTCCTTAACAGGAATAAGAAAAAACCCAATAAATTAAATTACATCAAGAAAAAGCTATTTTTTGTTTTCTTTTTCGTGTTTTCCGGAATGCTCATAAAATTTCCTATCGTGTAGTAACTAAAAAATATTGCACATAGCCGAAATGGGATCGAAAATGGTGAATAACATATAAAAATATATAAAACCTATTTTCGCCACAAATTTGCGAATTTTACGAGCAAAGATGGTCAGACAATAACAAATTGGATCGTTTCCCGCTCGAAACGCACGAAAACGTCGACCGTCAGTTGTATTTACGTTTTTCCGGGAAAAATGCAAGTTTGGCAAAAAACTCACCGTCCCGCTCGCAGCTTCGCGTACGATCCAAGCGCCTTTGCCAGCGCCTTCTCGAGCAACGGGATCCACAGCTGATTCTTGCGCCCATTCGCGAAGGCCAGCGCCCGGTTCTCCGGGCGGCAGGGGAAGAAGTCGTCGACCGTGATAATTCGCCACTCCCCGTCGACGCAAACACTAAAAAAATTAAAGTTGTTAAAAATCGCCATTCCCCTACCGTATCTGATAAACGCCGATCGGGTTGTACTCCTTGGTGATGATGATGTGCTCCAGAATGTCCGGCCTCTCCGCCAATATGGCCATCGCCGAGAGCAGCCAGCAATCGCCGATTGAGCCTGGAAAAGTAGAGGATGGAAAGCTATCTAAAATATACAATCCAAACAGTCGAATTTAAATAAAATATTTTGGTACTGGATTGTTAGCAGAGGGGGGGGGGGGTAATTTTTCACAGTAACCCTATACGGCCCTGTCAAAAAAAATATAATCAACAAAAAATAGCATTTTACACAGCCTTTAGCTTTAAAAAGCCCAAAAAAGGTAAGAAAAAATTGGAAAATTGTTGACTTTTCGGTCAAAAATGGATGAAAGATGACCAAAAAGATGGCAAGAAAGAAAAAGATTTTCCAATTTTCAAAAATCTTTAAATAGCTTTTGTAACGTTCCACCACTCAAAAGCCACGCAAAAACATTAGAAAAACACACATCTTGTTATTAAAAAGTTTGGTAGAGACGGAAAAGAAGATTAGTCCCCCCGGCTAACAGTCCAGTACCAATATCCTTACCTTGTTCAATATCCGAGGGTCTCGGGTCCCGGAATACGGCCCACACCCAGCGACGCCCGTCTTTAGTAAAGATCCGGTCCGGTCGTAGCCAGATTAAGTTCTGAAAATTGGATAATTAACGGCAAGAATAAGTGACGATTTGCTATCATAATGCCGAAAATCATAATTTCGAAATTCAGAATGTCGACATTTTTTTTGTATCGGACGAGGGCTTTTCCGGGAAATTCGCTTCTGAAATTTCGATCTGAATTTCGACATTATGAAATTTCGATTTTATGGTTTTCGACATTAAGCAACCCATAAGTTACATACTTTAATCTGTTCGCCCGGCTGTACAACATCACCGCTTCTGTGGAAATCCCCCAGCGAGGCGTCAGTGTGCGGAAAGTCAGGGTCGATGAAGCAATCGTTGATCGCTCTGGAAAAAAAATCAAAAAGTGTATCCTGAGCATCAAGCTCACCTGCACGTGCTCATAATGCCGTCATAAATATTCTTCGCCTCGTCCCAGTCCCGTTTTTCTTTATCGCGAATCGTGGAGGAATAGGTTGTCTTGTTGAAGTCTATCGATTCCTGTAAACTCGTTATTTCAAATATAATTTATTTACCTCTATTTGCCTCCCGGCACTGCCATCTTTTTGCCCGGAATCGTCCAATCGCGCCGGAATCGAGCGAGAGCGCGGAACTAAAATTTTGAATTTTATCGAGGACCTAACTTTTTTGTATGCTTAGAAATGCCTGGTAACTTAGATCGAAGCGTTTTAACAGTGTTCTAGTGAAATAAAACTATAATTTAACTAGAAAAACCATCTCCAAAAAATTTTTTTAAAAATTAAAAAGGTCGACTTTTTGGTCGAAAAATCGATACTTTTGATATCTTTAGCAACTTAAACATAAACTTTGTAAAGTTTATAAGTGAGGACAAAAACAGACTTAGAAACGCTGCCACCTCTTATTAATTGAAAAATTAGATCCTAACTCTATGGAAAAGACTTGCCCCCCCGATAATTCGAAATAACCAAAAGTAAAAACATCTTAATTTTCTCCCGATTTAATTACAAATTAAAGACACCTGGCGGTGGCGGTCGAGGCGGCTTGATTTGATGGGAAGAACTGGTACTGGGCAACATATCTAAAAATCTTTTTACCAAGTAAATCAATCCCTTACGAATATTATAGGCCGGCTCCGGGGGCCTCGGCGGCTTCGGGGTGACGGTGAAAATCTCCGTGATCGCATTTGCAAAGTCGTTTACTAAAGATCTATTTAAATCCGCAAAAAATTGCCTACAATTCCGCTCGAGTCCCCGGGGCAGAAGACCGTTGATAACCTAAACAGAGGGCTTGACAAGTACCAAATTTTGTGCTTTGTAATTGCTATAATGAAGAAAATCAGCCTAATGTTGGTTAGGAAAATCAAGCCACACTTGTTTCCCCTCGCCGCACGCCTCGCAAATGCGCATCGCGTCGTGGTTGATCAGTGTGCATTTTGAGCACGACCACGTCATCAACGCGGCGTTGCTTTTTGGAAGCTGCCTGTAAATAGGAAATCGTACAACAAGGTGAAAAATCTAGAAATGAGAGAAGTATGACAAAAATAGAATTTTATGAATTCTGAAAGGGACAGCGACAACGCAAAACGCACGATAAAAGAATATCGTAAAAATACTGCAAATACGAAACTGGCCGAAATTGTAAATCCAAAATTAGGCCGTCACGAACCTATCACCTCTGTTTAGTGTGGACATAGAATTCTAGCCATTTCTTCCTCACTGAATTATCCCCCGTCACAAAATCTTAGCAAATGTTGAAACGCATTTTAAAAGGCCGTTTGCGAGAGACCCGAACAAGGCTTGGCACAGTTTTTTCGAACCCCCATTTTTTGATGCCATCTGATAGAGCGTGGTCGAATTAGAGGAATCGCACTAATTTGGGATTATTAAATTAGCATTTTCCTAGTTAAACAAGGCGTTAAAGTTGCCAACGTCCAAAATTTATCTCGACGACTACTTGACAGAATTGGCTGAAACTTTGTGACTAGGCCTAATTTGGGATGGGGATCATTTTTCTAATACATCGCGAAGCACGAAAATTAGCAGAACCTAGTTAAATTGCATACCCAAAACAGTTTTTGCCAAATTTCAAATTAACGGCGAGTCGGCCGCAAGCTGGAATTAGGCTAGAAAGATGCGCAAAATTTTTCTGCATCGATTGATGTATTATTTAGGTGGCGGCCAGGTCGCCGTTTTCTTACAGCGAGCTTTTTATAACTGAAAAATGGTCTGAAAATCTGATAAAATGGAAAATATTGTGGTATTTACATATCGGAGTGTACTTAAACGGCATAAAGAAAATCATGCCAAGTCAATTGCAAAAAAGAGCAAAAAGAAATTCGGCTTCTGAAGGTGAGCTGGGATTGGACTGGCGGCTCTGGACTCGGCCCCGGACGCCGCCGCCCGCCACAGGCCCCCAGGCGCGAGGGTCCCGAGGTTCGATTCCAGGGTCCGCCACAAAACAAGCACCCCTTCAAATGTCGAATTTCTTTTTGCTAAATTTTTGCGTTTGGCTTGGCGTGATTAACTTGACCGTTAAATATGACAAAACCGGGGGTAAAAATAGAAAATCGCAAAATTTTTGATTTTAGTCAGATTTTCTGACCATTTTTCAGCTATAAAAACCTCGCTGTGAGAAAACGGCGACCTGGCCGCCACCTAAATAATACATCAATCGATGCAGAAAAATTTTGCGCATCTTTCTAGCCTAATTCCAGCTTGCGGCCGACTCGCCGTTAATTTGAAATTTGGCAAAAACTGTTTTGGGTATGCAATTTAACTAGGTTCTGCTAATTTTCGTGCTTCGCGATGTATTAGAAAAATGATCCCCATCCCAAATTAGGCCTAGTCACAAAGTTTCAGCCAATTCTGTCAAGTAGTCGTCGAGATAAATTTTGGACGTTGGCAACTTTGACGCCTTGTTTAACTAGGAAAATACTAACTTAAAAATCCCAAATTAGTGCAATTCCTCTAATTCGACCACGCTCTATCAGATGGCATCAAAAAATGGGGGTCGAAAAAAACTGTGCCAAGCTATAATGGAGACTGTTCGAGTGACTCGCGGACGGCCTTTTAAAACCGGCACCTATCGCTCGAATGGTTTATCAACAAAAAATGCAAAACAACGACGACAACAAATCTAACAACGGCGCACGCCCGGGGGGTAATCTATAAAACAACTCGTTTTCTATTCGCACAATGCGCGGGTCCAGGGAGGGAACAGCGAGGCTTTCTCTGACGGAGGTTCCGGGGCGGGTGCTGTCTCATCGATGAGCAAACATAAGGCACATGGAGCATTTTCGGGGGGAAATGGAAGCATGAAAGAGGTTTGAGGATGGGTAAACATTTTTTGGAATTACTAATAAAACGGGATAATCGAAGTCGAGACCAGCCTAGTTTCAAGTTTTCGTACCCCGAAAGGCGTGACTCAAAAAGCAAGAGGAGGGGCACGGGTTGGGCGTGTGGAAATAAGGGAACTAGACGATTCAGGTGCAACGAACAGCCGAAATAGGCCGAGAGGGGCAGAGGGACGAGACGTCGCGCCTCTACACCCTCAATAGTCACCACCAGCCCGCACATGCATTCCAAAACATCGCCAATCCCCCCGAATCATCCCCATACGTAAGCAAATCGAAATCAGAGCCGTGGTATTGGACTGTTAACGGGAGGGAGCTGACTTTCGTCTATCGCCCTGTAGCTTTTTACGTATAGAAAGTCACAAAAAAAACCAAAACATTCCAATTTCTGACTTTTTGTCAAAAATGTTTTAAAACAGACAGGTTTCCAATTTACAAATTTTCTAAAATGATTTTATGACGTTCTGGTAATTAAGAAACAACTAAAAGCGTTAAGAAATTTTTGCTATCTGGCTACCCCCGCTAAAAGCGCAGTACCATAAACCGCAAAGCGGTCGAAAAAATTGCTCACTAGGCCCCGAAAAAACGTTTTCTTTGTTAAAAGCCTAGCTCGCGCCTGCGGCTTCCACTTCCGACCGAACTGATAAGCCTGGGCGGGTCATTGCTACGGTGAATCACCAGGGAAATGGAAAGGGGGGGGGCGGGTCGAATCAGATGAAATGGGTGGGGGAATAAGCAAAAACTGACGCGACAATTGGTGATTATTTGTGTGGTGAATAAGATGAAAATTCTAGGCTCAATGCTCCATTTTTATCTTCTTCAATTTGACGGCGTGCCCGGGCAAGGAGTTTCGCTTCTTCTTCTTCACGCCGAACGGAACGGCCCTAAAAATGAGGGTGAAAAGGTCGGGCTTAAAGGTAGGTATTATCGGGGGGCAGGAACTTCTTTCTTAGGACCTAAATTTTCAAATATAAATACTGGAAATTTTTCTAAACTGTTTTTAACTATTCCAAACGCGAAAACTTTTGTTTATGAAAAAATCACAAAAATATCGCTTTTTCGACCATAAACGGCCGAGTTTTTACCAAATCTCGACTTTCAAAGTTTTTAGATAGTTTTTCTAGTTCAATATAGTGAATGAAATATATCAAAGCAAGGAAAATTCACCTTTCAGCCAACTCGTCGAATTCATCCCGCGTGGCCACCCTCTTGATTTTCGTCAACGGCAAATCAACGTCGAATTCTTCGCCCGTCAAAGGGCCTAGAAAAAAAATGGGATAGAAATCAGGCCACTTTCTCTGACCAATATTTGTCGGCTCCTCGCGCGGCTTCAGCAAGATCGTGCCCATGATTTGACCACCTAAAACCGTGATTAAGAGGAGGAGAATTCTGCCTACGGATCCTCCAGCGAACGTCACCATGCGTGTTGCGCTTCGCCGTCCTTCTAGCGATAAGTTGCTGCGGCCCATAGCTGGACAGCTCGGCATTAAATTTTCCGGCTTCTAAAATTGCTGTAATGAATTGGAATATGGGGCACAAATTACCGTTTTTGACCTTCAGCTTCTTCACGTTCAACTGCTCCGGATCAGCTTTTAGTTTCAACTGGTTCAGGTCGTCAAGGCTAATCTAGAAAAAAATGGGTGAAATAGAGAACTCCCACCTCTTTAGGCTTCTGCACCAAATAGTAAGTGTAGTCACCGGTATCATCCGGGTCCTCGTATTTGATCTAAAGATGGGTAAAATTTGTTGAACGTTGAAAACTGAGGTTCTTGCGCATTATCAGGGGGTTAACTTTTTCTATGAGTTTGGAAATGTCTATTAAATTAATACCAAGTGTTTTAGTAAAAATTAGCTATCTTTCAACTCGAAACACTATCCAAAATTTTTCAAAAGTCGAAAAAAGGGAAAAAGCGGTCATTTTTCGCCACAAAACCGATATTTTTGACATTTTTAATACAATTTTGTAAAGTTTTCACGTTTCCGAGTAGTAAAAAACATTTAGGAACCCTTCCAATATCTATATTTGGAAAATTACATCCTAAAAAAATTTAGCCCTCCCAATAATGCGAAAACCCCAAAACTAACGAGAGACAAAAACTACTCAAAACCCACTCGAGACAAAGCAGGCGTCAAGTTTGCGAATTTGCGAAGATGAGAATCGATCAGGCTCGGAGTTTCGCCATCTCCGTTTTCGCCAATAGTGCGGACATCCGAGACGGGCGGGTCGCGGAACATCGCTAAATTAAGAAATCCCTCGTCGGAACTCCAAAAAATACCTTTCTTTATCGCAACCGGCGTCTTCATATTCTCGGCCGTCAGACCATTCAACTAAAACAGAGCGGTTGAACGACAGTGCTTAAAATACGTTAGAAGTAGACTGTTTATCCTTTGCTGCTCTCTCTTCCTCTTCATCATCATCGTCGTCCTCATCCGAATCCCCGGAAAGCCCGTTCTCCAAATCAAGCACCGTGTCCGGCAACTCGCTGCCATCGCTCTCCTCGCCGTCATCTTCACTCGAAGGCGCTGGCTCGTACTTTGATGGAGAAACCGTCTAAAAATAAGTAATATTTACACAAAATATCTCTGAATGAGTTATTGCCCAGAAACACTTACCATTCTTGCTCTCTGCTCCTCCTCTGGCTCCGATTCCAGGTCAGAGATATCATCGTCGCCACCCAAGTTATTCGGCTAAAAAGATCACATCTATCAAAAAAAAAAACTCCTTCCTACCTTCTTGGGAAACGCAGGTACACCAAGATAGTCGAAAATGCTCCTAGTTTCGCGGTAACTTTGCTGTAAACACACTATTTCGAACACACAAAATAGCCTACGCCATTCGGGAGCGACTCTATTTTCATTCCCGGAGGCTGCTTCGAACAACCTTGACCATCGTTGGATCCGTCACTGTACTCATCCGCTTCGTTATATAGATCCTGAAAACAAAATAAATTCTCCTTATCGACTGAAAAAAAGTTGAAAGAACAAACTTACTATTGGGGGCTCAATTTTGACTTTCTTGGACGCCGTTACGGTGCCGTTCAGCTCGGGTTCTTTTCCTTTCCTTTCTTTCATTACCTGAAATAAGCTAATTATTGCAATATAGTACCACAACCAATAGGAAAAGACAAATTTCTTCGAAAATTAACAAAAATACGTGGCTGGGCCCACGTATCCCCCCGCTTCTTCCAAAATCGCGATCTTTTTAGTTGCACAACAATACGCCGGTTTGCTCCAACAAATGTTTCGCTTTTTAGCCGGCGAAAGCCTTCGAAGGCAAAATACCGTTCCAGGCAGACTTCGTCGAAAAATTGCCGCTGTGAGGTTGCAACCGTGTGGCTGGGTGGGAACGTGCAAAGTGCGCTCCGTACCCCGGTCGCAGAGCCCCAAAACTTTTCTGAAAAGCTCGCAATGGCTGAAGCTTCAGCTCATTTATCTCTTTTATGGCTAATTAAGATTCACAATTTCTCTAATCTGGATCACTCTTACTTAGTCGCCTCTAGTCGGCGAGTCCGTCGCCCTCAAGTATGCTAACATTGTAAGGAACGTTTCCAGCGCGTAGACTTCCCCAGGCACGGTATGCTATGCAAAAATTCACTAGTTTTGCGCGTAAAGTGAGCTTCTACAAGAACTCGGAAAACCAGAAATTTAGCCAGGTTCCCCAATGAATTGCGCTCTCCTAAAAAAACTCTGCGGCCTGTTGCAATGAAAAATCCTGTAGCGGAACCGATGGCTTGCGAATCATAGGGTGCAAACGATTGCAATAGATAAAAACGTTTATTCCCAAAAATCACTCGAACATCCATGGATGAAAGAGATTAACCGTATCGCTGAAATTCACATGAACAACAAGACGAGAAAAGATGACTGCGTTAGAGATTAAAGGCAAAGGGCTCTTAATAGTGGGAATGATAATACTTAATTTGAAGGCTAAAATTATCAAGAATTAAGAGAACATGTAATCGGTGGCACGCCTTAGGTCCCATTCGTTGCAGCTGAGCGTCGAGATGGCGTCGGTCTCGTTGGCTCCCATTTCGCAAAGCTTGGCCACTTTTGCTGTGAAGTCGGCATTTCGTGCCCCAGTTGCGTGCGCGAATTGTTGGGTCCAGAATTTGGCGGTCTCCTAATTGAGATCATTTGAGATAAATGTGCTAGGTACCGTGAAAAGCTTCTGCTTGTTCATGTACTGGCTCGCGACTACCGCATCCTGGGGGTCCTTGGGCTCGGGGGTGCAGAGGAGGGCTTGAATCGAGAGTAGAACCGTGCGCAACGTCAACGATGCCGCCCTAAAAGAAACGTAAAACGTAGCCTAGTAAAGAAATACCGGCACTATACTGGTTAGGGGGGGGGCCACTTTCGGTACCTATTAGGAGACACTTTTTTTATCGCTTTTTCGAGTCTTTCTGGGGTAGTTTTTTACGCTGAGCGCGATTAGAGTCGCAACAGCATGCCAAACCGTTGGGTTTCTTCAGAAAAACTGCGTAAAACTTTATTAATAAAAAGTGTACTTATGCACAATTTGAGGCTTGCCGCATTGTCAGGCAAGGTGGGCCGTCGCTTCGGATGGGCTGCCGCTCCACTCTTCCGAAATCAGGGTGCCTGGGCGCTTCGCGCTGCTCGGGCGCCCCGATTTCGAAACCCTGTACGAGCTCGCACCCATCCGAAGCGACTAGGCCCCGGGTGGCACGAAGCCTTATTTTTAGGTCAATACCGAATGTCTGCATCTCTAACGCTTAACAAACGTTTAGATAATGATGTTTTACTACTCTGCTTTTGTTATATTTGGAACCAGCGCAAAAAACTAGCCTAGAAAGACTCAAAAAGTCGAAAACCAAAGTGGCCCCCCCCCAACCAGTATAGTGCCGAAATACCAATTGTCCTTCAGAATATCCAAGCAAATTGTCCCGGTTTGTGAGCTGACGTTGGGGTGCCACACCCTCGTCGTGAATTTGACCTAAATTTCGTAAATTTTGTGAAAACTGGAAGCCATACCGTTGGTGGGACGAACGGGTAGCTCGAGGGGATGTTGATGTCGAGTTTAAAACGGCCACCTTCGTACGGCGAGTCGGGCGGGCCTCGGATTTCGCCTTTCAAGTGGGTGAGCTGCTCGTCGACAATTTCAATCATGATGCCTAAAGAAAAATTGAAAAAGGCTTTTCAACGGTTTACCCAATTCCTGGATATCCTTGCTTGTCGCCACTTCGCGGCACTCGCGTTGCAATCTCATGTACGCAATATTCGCCATTTTCTGTAAAAGGTATTAATTTTTATGGATAATAAATAAAATGGCAAAAAGAGAAGAAAAAAAGAAGACAACGAATCTGAAAAAAATGGCGAATCCCTAAAAAATTCCAAAAATGACTACGATACGTCGTGACTACGATACGAGTCATTAGCCAGTTTCCGTAACTTGTATTGTACGTCCTTTTTGCAAATGAATGAATTTTATTTTTCCAAATTCCATCGTTTTTTTTACAAAACTTTATTAATTTTTAGAAAATGACGCTCCCCTCAAAACACGCGTCATACCTTCTACGCTTCGCTCGCACGTCCAAATTACATCTGCGCCAAGCTTCAATTGGTAATTAAGGAATTTTTTTGAAGAATCTATTTTCTTTCTAGCCCTAAAGCACGATGAACCAGCCGCCACTCCGAACCTACAACAACTTTTTGAGCAGCAGCGAGCACGGGCTGGGAGTGCTTACAAGAAAATGGCAATCACCGCTCGGGTGGCCGGCAATAAAGAAACCCAGACGTTCTTGATGAATCAAGGCGTTTCCACTCCATATGATGTGGCAAGACGTAACTTTCTGGGGTTTTGCTAATTCATTGTTTTTTTTAGATATTTCGCGGCATCTTTCTACTGGTAGCGAAGTTTGTGTGATCCAGGAGAAAGGTCAGTTTTTTTGGAAACGCATAGAAATCCGGTTTAGATGGCAAACGGATTGCATCAATGCACGAACCGCTCAATGGGGAGGCCACAATCGTTTTCCAAGAAGATTCTGCTGAGCTACGACAAGAACGACAAGTGGTATACTATTACTTTTGACATGATATTACGTCCCTAAGGTTTTCCAACGCTCGGGTGCCCTACTCCTAAGCGCCCTGATGTGTGACGTTTTGCAAAAGACCCCCGCCAATATTCAACACGCCATTGCAGGCAAGCATCTCGTTTCTAGCTAACAGGCTTTTTAGATATTTGGTTCAAAATTACCGCCGATGTGCCAGAGTCAAAGGATTGGAGCGCTACAGGGGACGAATTAGACGTGCTGACCAAGAAATTGCACAAGGAATATATCAACAAGGAAATTGACTATGAAGTTCAGAAGGTCGAGGCTGACGCTAGGTTAGGCAAAGGATTATAGCTTGAACGACTAATTCAGCCAGAGCGACGAGGAATTGACGCTGTGCCGGATCGGGAAGCATGTTTTCCCGATTCACGGGCCAGTGCTTGCGAATAGCGGTCAGCTTGGGACCTTTTCTGTTACGAAGGTAGCTATTTCATAAAAAAATCTTAGACTGTGCTTTAGGCTTCACTGAAAGGCGGAAAAGCCGACTTCCGCGGGATCGTCAGCACCAGTGCCAATGGACTTCCTGAGCATCTTTGGGAAACACTTGTAAATGGAATTCGCGAGGAGCACAACCAAGAATGAACTCAAGCCATGTTAGCTAGCAGGTCTTAACGATTATCAGTTATATTGTTGCGCTGATTGTTTTTGTTTACTCTTATACAGGAAATAAAGATTTTTCGTGCCATACTATAAAATCACAAGATATTGGGTTTTGCCACGGTCATCTACGAAACTTCTGGCTGGGATATAGAAACAGCTGTTACTACGAAATCGGGGTTTCATATGCGATAGCACCAAGCCGAACCAAAAGCTCATCAAAAGGGTTTTTTGGATTTCGGGATAGGAAGAAGTTTTTTTTGTTCCGTTCCGCGCTACACGAAATGACGCGGGGACAGACGGCGGGCGGTCAGCGGGCTTAGAATTTTTTAAATCAGTGATGATTTTCAGAGTGGAAAGGATCCTGCTTATTGCGAAACTAAAAGTCACTTTTCGGATTCGCTAAAGCTAGTGCCGTTTTTCAAAGACGATCCGTTATTATAAACCCCCAAGGAAGATTAAATTAACAAAATCAAGGAGAAGCTCAGATAAAACAGTGATGATTGCAGCTAAAAAGGCGCCATGATCTGCGCACGTTTACGAGTTCGGCGGCTATTGCTCGTAGGAGCACAGTACTTTGTAGTTGGGTGCCCGCTGTCTGCCCCTCGCCTTTCTAACAACATCTGCCCAGAGTGCGTTCGGCTGCCTCGCTAACCCCCAAACTAGGCTCGGTTAGGTCATTTCCGTATCATTCGGAAAAGGCTTCAAATGGATTGTTCGGAGTCTGGACAGGTGTCCTATCATGAAAGCATTAAGGTCTCTCAATCGCTCAATTTTTTTTCAAAGTAAATTACTAGGAGTGCGCTTTCAGCACTACTTCATTCTCGTGTGAAATCCCTTATAATCATGTCGTTATTTTGATGCTTCCATTATTTTGTCCTTATTCTTTTAGCTTCGAACTCATCTGCTTTTTCAGGCTCAACTCGCGTCAATCAGCGATGCTGAACCTCAAAGAGTGAGAAAACCTATTTTCGCCTTATTAGAGCTTTTTAGATTGCTGCCGCAGCCTTCGGCGGCTACCGAGGAGGTAAACGCAGTCCGTACAAGCGACCCATGGTTTAGGGGACGGTGAGTGCTAAAATTGAAAGCTCTGAAAGTTCATTTTAGCGAAGATGGGATCCCGTCGATGGCAGTTGTCACAAAAGAACCTCCACGCTACGGACATCGAGTCGGCTTCAAACCAAGGACCCCAGAAGTAACATTTTCAGTTTGTATGCGTAATTGTGCTGGGATTCTACGCGTACCAGTCGGAATCTATTCCTTTTCAGGACTTTGGCGACGGCGGAGCCTTCCCGGAGGTGCACATTGCCCAGTTCCCACTTGGAATGGGTCTCGGTCGAGTGGAGGGCACGACGAAGACGGTCGCACTTCAGTACGACGCCGAAGGAAAGCTGCGCCACGATGCGATTGCCCGTGTCGGCGTCGGCAAAGACAAGATCGTCCACACCAAGCTCTCCGACATGAAATCCAAGGCTTGGGATGAGGATGACGAAGATTTGCAGGTTCCAACCATTTTTTTGTAGTTTCTCCTTTTTTTGTAGAAACCAGACGATGAGGAGACTCGCGCTGCCACCGAAGCTACTCGTCAAGCCCTCGAGCAACTCACCCAAACGAAGATCTCATCGGCTCTCCCGGTACAACACGCACAAAAAGTCGCGCCGGCTCAATATATTCGGTATAAAGCGCTTAATTTAAAGTTTATATCATTTTTAGGTACACACCAGCTCAACAAGGCGGAGGCCATGCCTCGGGCGCTGGTCAGCGCATCATTCGCATGGTCGAGATGCAGAAGGATCCGATGGAGCCACCGAAATTCAAGTAGGAATTTTCGATCTTTGCAAAATATTTTTTGTTAGAATTAACCAAAAGATCCCGATGGCTCCTCCCAGTCCGCCCGCACCAGTGATGCATTCACCTCCCAGAAAAGTATGATCAAAGCGGAAGGGCCAAATGTTTTATTGTATTTTAGGTGACGCAGAAAGAAGCGGCTGATTGGAAGATCCCTCCCTGCATTTCCAACTGGAAGAACCCCAAAGGGTTTACGGTCGCTCTCGACAAGCGATTGGCCGCCGACGGACGTGGATTGCAACAGGTTTTCCGAGCGACGCCGTTTATAAACTTTTCCTTTTCAGCAACACGTCAACGAAAACTTTGCCAAGCTCTCCGAGGCGATGTACATTGCTGACCGCAAGGCTCGTGAAGCTGTCGACGCTCGCGCCAATCTCGAGAAACGGTACGCTGCGGAGCTTTTCCTTTATCATGACATTTAGCGTCGCCCAGAACAAGAAGGCCGAGCAAGAATCGAAGATGAGGGAACTGGCTCAGAAGGCTCGAAAAGAACGCTCCGGGATTCAAGGCGAGGCTAGCAGGGGACATCGCGAAGAGGATGATGAGGAGATTCGCAAGCGAGAGGAGATCAGGTACAATTTTCTCGCAAAACGTACTTTATTTTTAGACGTGACCGCGTCGACGAATTCCGCCGCGACCGTAACATTGCGCGCAACAAGCCCGACAAGGCGGACAAGCTACGTCGTGAACGGGAACGCGATATTAGGTAAAGCAGCTTTCGATGGACCCGTGATATTGTTCCGCTTTTTAGTGAGAAGATTGCCATCGGACTGCCCGACGCGAGAAATCGTGGTACCGCCGGCGAGACGCAGTTCGACCAGCGTCTCTTTGATCAAAGCAAGGTGAGGATTATTATGGGCATATGGAACAGGCGAATTCTGTTTCCTTTTCAAACTTTCGTTACTACCTTATATTAATAATCTAATTTTCTTTTATTACTCTTGTTTCGCTTATTCTCTAGTTTTTTAGGGGCTCGATTCCGGTGCGCTGGCCGACGACACGTACAATCCCTATGACAAGCCGTGGCGAGCCACCGACAATATCCAGCAACACATCTACCGTCCAGGTTTCTCGAAACTTCTGAATTTTATTCTGCCGTTTTTTTTCAGGGAAACATCTCGACCAGGACGTGTATGGCGACGATTTGGACAAGATTGTCAGCCAGAAAAGGTAGGTTTTTCGGATTTTTTTGTTTCTGATTTATTTCCTGCAGAGAAATACGACTTTTCTGGAAATAAGATGTAAAGAAATAAAACCTTAGCCTTACCTTGTCGATATGGAACTTATGAAATTTTAGGTTCGTCCCCGACAAGGGCTTTTCTGGAACCGAAGCCGCACCTACTCGCGGATCCGGCCCTGTGCAGGTATCTTAACAACAAATTTCCCAAAAAGCCTTCTTTTCAGTTCGAACGTGCTGCGCCTACTGACGATATTCTTGGTCTCGACACGCTGTTCGCCAAGACGGGCGACAAGCGCGGAGGAGGACGTGACGATCGTGACTCCAAGCGATCCAAGCGCGACTGATTCGTCATTGTTAATTGTTGATTTCGACTTCCACTCCTAGCCCCCCAAATCCCGACCTTCGATCCACGTTGTTTTTGGCCCTTCCCCGGCGATCTCTCCATTTGCGGCCCCTCGAAAAATATTGGTATAATTTCGGTGGTCCCGGCTGCGATAGCTATTCTTCTTTCTGCCTATATCGTCCGTTTGCCTCTTTCTCTCTTATTCCAGCATATGTCTTATAAATCGTCGAGAAAGGCCTGTGAGTTCAGGATCACTTTATTCACCGAACAATGAATGGCATATGAATGGTAAAGCTAAAATCACATGGACACAAGTTCGAATGCTTATTTCTGAGACGATGATGAAGTGAAGGGGATGGTGGGCGAAGCGGGTTCTAGGCGGCGGTGGCCTTCTCGTAGTCGGCGATGAATTTGTTGTACTTGTCCATCAGCTCCTTGCCCTTCGCCTGGTTGTACTTGCCGTAGAAGTAGTTCAGCAACACGCGGTGGATGTAGAGGTATTGCTGAAAGCATGGGAGTACTTGGGATAACCTAGAAGCCGTTTTTTCGCGAGACCATGCGAGGCTTAAAACTTTGAAATCTTACCGCGTCATTCTGGATGGTATAGGGGCGCTGGTCGCGCACCTCCTTCAGCAATTTGTCCATGTCCACGGTGCACAGGCCGGCGATGAGGCGCTCCAGGGTGTACTCGATGGCCACGATGGTACCTAGAATTTCGGCATTTTTATAATGATTTAACGAAAAGTTTGGGCAACTTTTTGCGCGGCTTTTTATAAATTTTTTTGAATTTTAAAGCGGCTAGAGCAAGCCTTTCTAGCACCCACCAGTACGGCCGATGCCAGCAGAGCAATGGACAGCGATCGGCTTCTTCGTGCCGCGCACCCGGGAGAGCAACTCGGTGGGCGTGTGCCCGCGCACGATCGGCACACCACGATCCGGCCAGTCGAGCCACTGGTAGTGGCGCACCTTAAAAAGTAATTGCCTACTGAATATACTTGGTGATAAACAAGAAAAAGCAATTTTACAAACCTCGCGCTCCTGCGGGCTGCCAAAGTTCCACTTGAGCTTCAGTACGCAAAGGCGAATGCTCTGATCCTCGGGCATCATCAGCCGCGTCTCGACGTTGATGATCTCAATGTTGTCGGCCGGCTTCATGCTCTGCCCCTGCTCGTTGGGCCAATACTGCGCGCACTTGAGCAGCCCCTTCTCGATGACGTTGCACAACATGATGATCGAGTCGGTCTCCTCCTGTAAAAAGGTAGAGTTATTTTACTGGGAAAAGCCACCTGAATGATCATGTACCAAAAGTCGAGGACAGTGTTGTCGAGGGGTCCCTGGGTGCAGATGAAGCGGTTGTCGCTCATCGGCGTGCGCACAAAGTTGGCATGGATGTAGTCGCAGGGGGCGGGCGGACGGAGGACGACGCGGCCCTTATCTTGGCACGGCACGTCTTGGTAACTATAAGGAACATGTTAGTTTTATGCAAAAACTGTTAAAGTCTTGGTAGATCACTAACTTGGTACTACTTCGTAGATCAGCTCATTTTTTGTGAAATTGCTTAGATAACAACAAAAATTGCTGACCGATTACGGCCAGCCGGGTGGTTCGTCTTGAACGCTTCGAACTGCATGTCCGGCGGCACGTAGCGCTTGATCTCGCGGGCGAACTCGTCGCGGAGCCCTTGCACGCCCTTGTCGAGGCACGTCTGACACCACTTTTGCACCTGAATTGGCGTTGATAAGAGATATGTTTAGGTTCTGACCTCCTCCTTGGCGTTGGTGGCTCGCGGGGGCGGGGCGCCGGGCGCGGGTCCGGTCTGCGTCTTTCCACCGCCACCATCAGCCGACGCCTGCTTCTGGGTGCCCTTCTGGCGGGTCGTCGCCTTCTTCTCGTTGCCCATCAATGCGCAGCGCCCGTCCGCGAGGAGCAAACGTATCGGCGCATCCTGGGTAGCCGCTTTTTATTCACGCAAACCTAGGGAAAATAGGGAGATGCCAGATAATGCTAATTTTATATTCGCAAACTTATTGTTAATTCAAACTTGAAAGTTGGAAGTTATCGTTCGTACAAGTTGCGTCACTAAATTTTGTAGGAATCGGACTCGAGCCTTGTAGAAAATGTGCTCTCACGCGGGCTAGACCATGGTGTCCGCTTATGCTGGCGTCCTCATCCCTTTCACGGTGTTCCGTCAGATCGGGAGATAGATAAATAACAATTTATTTGTGGGCTCATTTCTAAAGATAATGAGCACACTTCAACAAAGTTGGGGCATTGTGAGCGCAGGTGATATTGTATATTGGAGTAATGTAGGGGGATTGTCATGCGCAGGGATGACACGAGGAGATTTGCCAAGCGAGGGGAAGGGAACAGTACCTAGAACAAACGGGCGACTAGCCATGGCAAGTATTTAGCAGAAGCTCGCCACGAGGGACACGAAAGCTGGGTGAGATCGCAAAAAGCATGAATGTCATCCAAGGTACGGAAAGAAGGGGATATGGGTGGTGAAGAAGGGTAAACGGTTCTATTCTATTTGTCATCGCCGTGATCTTGCGAATTCTGGCGCTGCAGCATGCCGCGAGCCATCCGGGGTGATGCCGAATCGTTGGCCGGAAGTGGCTGTTCGATCGGGACAGCCTAAAACATCTATTTCCTCGAATTTAATAATTTATCTCGATACCTCATGTTCCAGCTTGATGCCATTCTCGCTGGGAAGTGGTGGAGCGACATTTTGAGCACCATTCCTTCGCGGTAGCATTATCGGTAACGGTGGCGGTGGCATAAGCTCCCGCTCAGTGGGTATGTCGGCAAGGTGGTCATCGATCAGCCTGAAAAATATCAATCTTTTGAATTTAGCATTGACCCACTTCTCCTCCTTGATCTTTCGTGGACGTCCGCGCTTCGGCTTCTCGCCAGGGGCCAACTCTTGCTGAAGAAGAGCTTTGCAGAGAAACAAAATTCACACCTTGACTTTGCCATTGCTGACGCGACGACGTTCAACCGGAGCGGCTTGCTGTGGAACTGGCTGCTCCAACGGAACCATGCTGGTCGATGGTCTAAACGGTTTGGTGCATAGAAAAAGACTAACGACAAGGACGCGAAAAAAAAACCTTGAGAATCACTCACATTTGACTCAAATTCGGAAACGCCATGCCCATCGCAAAATCGTTCGACGATGGTGACGGAGTGCCGAGGCCCATTGGCGGAAATGGTGCGCCGCCCTGCTGATACATCGGCGGTACCTAACGGCTTGTTTAATAAAGAACTACTATAATAAAAATACCTGGCAAACATTGAACGGCATCTCCTGGATGTGCTTCAACGGCAGCGCGATATCCTTGAAAATCGGCTCGAGGAATCGGTAGTGCGGGTTCGCGAGCACGGCCATTTTCCTATAGAAACAAGAATATTGCTGCCGTAAACAACTAACATGTGAGCTGTATTCAGCGTACGGCCATTCAGTCCCGCCATTGCTGCCGAGGAAGCTTGCAGAAATTTCTAAAAATTCAAAAATGACAGAAGCAGAAAAATTAACTAACCTCGGCAAAATGCTCCATGGCTCTACCGATTGCAACCGGCACGGACGCTACCATGCGACCAATCTCCTCGTCCGACTGCATCACTTTCTTGATTCTTGTCTAAATCCGTGGAAAATGTAAGTAGATTAAAGCAAGGAAAATCCAAATCGAAACAAGTCTAAATATGAAATTAATCTCCCACCGGCTGAATCTTGGCGCTGCTAAACCGACGCTTCCGGATCGGGCCGCCGCAGCCGGGCGAGTTCGGGATTTCCGTCGGCGATTGGGGGACGACTAAATCAAACCTCACGAAAACACGGATTTATCACCTCCGGGCATTTGCAGAAACGAGTCAGCGTGTTGAGCGCCGGCTGGGTGCTGTGGTGCAGGCTAAATCCCGAGATAAACATACTAAAAACGATTCAACCTGAGAACAGCCCGGCATGGCAGGCATTTGTAGGTGGAGCAGCGGCTGCACGTTCGTTGGTGGCACATAGCCTTGCGGAGCAGATTGAAAGTCGTAGGGCATTTGAAGCTGAAAACAACCATACAGATTTTTCGCATAGGTTATGCCCATGATAATGCGGGAACTCCGTGCCAAAAATCTACCTGCATTCCGTTCATGCCATCGCCCATCATAGGCTGGCCCATCAGCTGGTTGGGGGGCTGCATCGAGTAGCCGCCGGGTGGTCGAAAGCCTGGCGCGCCGGAAGAAGACGGCTCCATGGATATCCGCTTCCACTGAAAAATAAATTTTCCTGAATCAGTGTCGTCAAGAGCAATATGAAAGAGAAAGCCAGAACGATTTCAAATTGGTCCCCCGAACTATGCTATAGCACCCGTTTCAAAAATGTTCCTAACATCGGCTTCAATGATGGTAATTTACTAGCTTTCTATCGGGAAAACCAAACGCCACTCCATAGCCCCACAAAATTGGCCGTTGACACTCCTACTTTTATGTCTAATCCGATTTTTAGCCACCGTTCCACTATCTTCCTTCACTCCCTCCACGGACAAAGTCGGTGTTGCGCACAGGTAGCCTGCTCGTTACCGGGACAACGGTACCGAGGTTGCCCGTTCAACGCGGTGAAAATTAGAGACGCAGCAAGCGCAGAGGAAACAAGCAGATAGTGCAGAAGTCGAAGAGAGCACAGCGAAGAGCAGACTTGCAGGCGAGCGAAGCACATACCACCCCACAACCCCCGCCCTTTATATAAAGAGAAGGGGAGCAGTGTTGATGCGCAGGTGAGCAGCGTACGACACACGATTCAGCCTATATAAATGCATTGATTCGGCCACGCGCCAGTCTTTTCTGCCCACGAAGCAAGGTAATAGAGACTCGAAACAAGGCCTGCCATAGCAATTTCCGGTCACCAAAGCAACGAATTCCAACTATTAAAACTTTATTTGTAACACGTATAACAAGACAAAAATTGGGTAGATTCACACAGCCAAAAGTTGCTCAAGACCATCGGGAAGCTCATCGATCAGTGTGTTGTAGAAAGTTTGGATGTCATCTATCTGCTGCTTGTCGTTCGGGGTGATGAAGTTGATTGCGACACCCTAAACATAAATATTTAGGATCGTCTGTAAAGCAATATGGGGTCCGGTCCAAAAGTAGGCAACCTCGCAACCGCTCGTAGTTTTTAAAAATGAATACCTTGCGACCGAAGCGTCCAGAGCGGCCAATTCTGTGAATGTAGTTCTCCCGATTGATGGGCAAGTCGTAGTTGATGACGAGCGAGACTTGCTGGACGTCGATTCCACGCGCCAGCAGATCTGTCGTGATCAAGATGCGCGAACTGCCCGATCGGAAGGCCCGCATGATGTTCTAAAGCAAAAAAAAAAGTAAATAAAGACCTAGGCGGAAACTACCTCTCGTTCCGCCTGGGCCATGTCACCGTGGATCGCAGAAACGGTGTATTTTTCCTTCGTCAACCCAGCCTGCAGCTCTTCCACCCGGCGTCGTGTATTCGCAAAGATGACTGCCTGAGTGACGCTGATCGCACCATAGAGATCCAACAACACGTCGAGCTTGTGTTCCTGAAAAGCAATTGTCTACGATACTGAAAAACCAACCTCTTTGCCGACGTCAACGTAGTATTGAATAATACCCTCGAGGGTCAGTTCTTCTTTTTTGACGAGGATACGGATGGGATCCCGCATGAACTTTTTCGTCACTTCGAGCACGTCCGCCGGCAGTGTGGCAGAGAGCAGAAACACCTAAATCATTTAACAAAATCTGGTACGTAGAAACTCAACTTACTTGAACTCCCGTTGGCATGGTCTTGAAAATCTCGTAGATTTGATCCTTGAAACCACGGGACAGCATCTCATCGGCCTCATCCAAGACGAACATCTTGATCTTGTCCGTAGCTAAAAGAATAATAAATACGCACGAGCAAATTACAATACCAAGATGACCTCTCTCGATCATATCGTGAACACGGCCCGGGGTGCCGACAACCACTTGCACATCACCCGACTCGAAAGCGCGATGATCATCCCTGATGGCAGTACCTCCGACGCAGGAGTGAATCTTGATCTTTTGGTAGTTAGCCAGCGCGGTCATGACCTACAAAAAATACGTACAGATCGAAACTAGCGTCAATAGTACCTTGTGGATTTGTTGGGCCAATTCGCGGGTTGGAGCAAGGACCAGCGCTTGGATGGCCTTTTCGTTTTCATCAACCCTCTGGAGGACGGAGATTGAAAACGTGCCCGTCTTGCCCGTACCCGACTGGGCCTGAGCGATCAAGTCCCTTCCTGGAAAACACACAAATAGGATATGCACAACAGCAAGCTCTCGAAACGAAAGTAAAGAAAACTTACCGGTGCAAGCCGGGACGATAGCACGTTGCTGGATGGCCGATGGCTTCTCGAAACCGTGCGAGTAGATTCCGCGGAGCAGATTCTCTTTTAGATCCATCTGGTCAAAGTTCTCGCAGATCTAAAACAAATCGGTGAGAAAGCGAGAAGGTGACGAACTTGATCATAGTTGCTTTCGATGAGACCGTCGTCGTTCGGGGCGCCGGTCATTGTGTTTGATTCTAAAAAGACTGGAAGAAATTAAACTGAGTTGGAGCAAGAATGAAGGCCAGAGGGGGCGGAATATGCATGACGAAATAGAGTCAGAGGTTTTTCGGGCTTTCGCAAACAGGCAAGGAGAGAAGGGCAAGAACAGAAGAATGAAATTCAAAGAAACGTGGAAAAGTTGATTTTTGAGAAATGACGAAATTAGGCCAAAAACTCGGCCCCTCACCGCTCCAAAGCGCTACAATTGACTCCGGTTACGGTATATCGTAGTCACCGAATTGCTATTTCGTGGACAATCGTAATTCCCACGCGTAAACCTTTGCCTCAGAATTGTATTTTTTTTGGTCCGTCGGGAAGCCTTGCTGCCTCTAAAAGTGAAAAATTTAATTTTTTTTCCGGTTTGTATGTCTTTTCGAGGAATTGATCTCCTTTGCTGGGACGGACAGGCCTAACTGGCTTAGCCAATGGGCTATCTGTGTCAGAAACGAGCACTTTATTTTATGTATATCTTATTCGATCACTGGGTTCTAGTAAAAAATACTAGGGTTCTTCCGGAAATAGGTATCGCGGGCGTTAACCAGGTATCCCTTCGGAACTGAAGTTACCTGAAAATTTGCGTCTTCTGGGTTTGCAGTCTATTTTTAAAGTTATTTTGATCTTTCTCTATTCGGCTCAGTATTCTGATCCCTATTTTCAAGTATACAGCTTGTATGTCTCTTAGGGCATGTAATGGTGGGCTCTCTCTTTGCTCCCCTTTGTCTGCGCCCATCCCCTGCGTCCCGTGTACGTTGCCGTCGCCCCGCTGTCCCCATTTTCGAACATGTTGTTTGAACAGCTTTCTGCTAACCATTGCTGCAAATTTCCCCAATTTTAACATTACCTTCCAGGAATCGCCTTGGGAATGTCGGACGACGAGGGAGAGACGGCCATGAAGGCTTTGCGCCTTCCCAAGAAGGCCGCCAGGGTCAAGAATAAGGTGGGACGAGTTTTTTATAAGAATTGGCACTAAGAATGTCCTACTAATGCTAATCCGTATTTTTAGGCAGCGGCCCCGGTTCAAATCACAGCCGAGCAGCTGTTGCGTGAAGCGAAAGAGCGTGAGCTCGAGCTGATCGCCCCGCCGCCGAAGGCCAAGATCACCGACCCGGAAGAGCTCGCCGAGTTTCAGCGCAAGAAGCGGAAGGATTTCGAGGATGGTATTAGGAAGAATCGGTAGGTATTTTCATTTTTTGCAAGCTTCTGGGCGTTTGGTTCTTGTTCATTATCGGGGGAGGACCGAACAGTTTAGTATAAGTTTAGCAATGTATAGTAAAAGCGAAATTTTTGGGCTTTTTGCTGAAATTTTGTAGATTTTTCACTTTTGGGAATAGTAAAAACCTTTTAAAAACACTTCCACTATGTATGTTTGAAAATTTAGATCCTAAGAACAAAAATATAGCCCCCGGAATAATGCGAAAGAACCGGGCTTTTTTCTAAGGATCGCTAAAGAGTTTTTGTGGACATCTTGAACTACCATTTTTTTCAGCTTTCAACTCGCCAATTGGATCAAGTACGGCAAATGGGAGGAAAGTATTGGCGAGCTGCAGCGCGCACGCTCCGTCTTCGAGCGAGCCCTCGACGTCGACCACCGCTCGATCACCATCTGGCTGCAATATGCCGAGATGGAGATGAGGTTGCCCAATGTTTTTGAGGTTAGAAACATTTTTTAGGCAAAAACAAATCAACCATGCGCGGAACATCTTCGATCGCTGCGTCACGATCTTGCCGCGAACGATCCAGTTCTGGCTGAAGTACACCTACATGGAGGAGCTGATCGGGAATATCCCAGGAGCTCGTCAGGTGAGAAATTGAGCTTGAGCTCGTAGCTCTAAAGTATGACTGTTTTTACATATAAATTTTTCAGGTCTTTGAGCGCTGGATGGACTGGGAGCCGCAAGAGCAGGCTTGGAACACCTACATCAACTTTGAGCTGCGCTACAAGGAAATCGATCGCGCGAGGTTTGTCTTTGAAAGATTACTTTTCATATTTTTCCCTTCAGAACAATCTACCAGCGCTACCTGCACGTGCACGGCGTCGACCCGAAAAACTGGATCAAGTACGCGCGGTTCGAGGAGCGCCACGGGTTTTACGGAAATGCACGAGCGGTAAGGGCTAAATTTTTTGCCGGTCATGGTTCCCTTTCAGGCGTTTGAGCGGGCAATGGAATACTTTGGGGAGGACAACATTGATGAGCATCTACTCGTCTCCTTTGCCCTCTTCGAGGAACGTCAGAAGGAGCACGAGCGGGCTCGTGTTATTTACAAGTGGGGGAAAGCCTGGTTAAAATGTAGTTTTTGTTAGGTACGGCATTGATCGTCTACCTCAAGACCGACAGAAGGAGATCTACAAATACTACACGCAGCATGAGAAGAAGTTCGGCGATCGGCGCGGCATTGAGGATGTGATTTTGGGAAAAAGGAAGGCCCAGTATGAAGATGTAAGCTTTGAATCTACGATTTTTACGGTACGTTTCAGCAAATCCAAGAAAATGGCTTCAACTTCGATGCCTGGTTCGATTATTTGCGGCTGCTGGAAAGTGAGGGCGCTGATCGCGAAACGGTTTGGCCAAGTTCTCTAGCTCCTTATTTTATTTTTAGATCGAGGACACCTACGAGCGTGCCATCTCTAACGTCCCTCCAAGCAACGTAAAAATTTTTATTTGGGCGTTATTGGACAAATTTAATTTTAGGAAAAACGGCACTGGCGTCGCTACATCTACTTGTGGATCTACTATGCGTTGTACGAGGAGCTGACGTGCCACGACAACGAGAAGACCAGGATGGTGGGTTTTTAGGCTTTTTCGAATGCCTTTTGAGGAGAATAACTAAAATTGAAAGGTTTTATAAGAACCTTCAAGTTTTTTTGTTTTGATATTGAAATGTTGGGCTTTTTTTCGTTTACTTTTAGGTGAAAACCATTTTTCTATCAGTTACATTTAACGTACCAATGATCAAATACGTTTATTCCATTGTTACTTTTGTCTACAAAACTAATGCTATCCCAATTTTCCAGATTTACAAGGCGTGCCTCGACGTCATCCCCCACAAGCAGTTCACCTTCTCCAAAATCTGGATCCACTACGCCCAGTTCGAGATCCGCCAGAAAGATCTGAAAATGGCGAGGAAGATTTTGGTAAGCAATTTTCTATCTCTTGAAAATTTTATATGTAGGGAGTGGCCATCGGAAAATGCCCGAAAAGCAAGCTCTTCCGCTCGTACATCGACCTCGAGCTGCAGCTGCGCGAGTTTGACCGCTGCCGCGAGCTGTACAAGAAGTTCCTCGAGTACGAGCCGGAGAACAGCCAGACGTGGATCAAGGTATGGCTCCTTTTATTTTTAGTTTTATTTTCTGGTTTTAGTTTGCCGAGTTGGAAACGTTGCTGGGAGATGTGGACCGCGCACGAGCCATCTTCGACATTGCGATCCAACAGCCGGCACTTGACATGCCTGAGGTAATCGTTTTGACGTTCGAAGTCTTTTTATTTTGACGGGATAAGCAATTTTTGCATGGTTTCCGAAAGCCCTGAAAAATGCCGTTTTAGCTGCTCTGGAAATCCTTCATCGACTTCGAGATCAGCGCCGAGGAGCATGAGAAGGCGCGTGACCTGTACGAGACGCTCCTCAACCGCACCAACCATATCAAGGCATCAGTTTTGTCTTGGTTTGTAACGTTCCTTTAGGTCTGGGTCAGCTTGGCCGAGTTCGAGCTGTCGATCCCGCAGGAGGAGAGGGCGAGAAAGGTTTGAAAATTCGTGGTTTTGAATGTGTTCGTTTAGACGTTCGAACGAGCAAACCAGGCCCTGGAAAACGGGGAAAAGGAGGAACGCTTGATGCTGCTCGAGGCGTGGCTGGAGGCGGAGAAGAAGATTGGCGACGAGGCGGCTATCAAGGTGCGAAAAGAAACATTCGGCAACATTTGTGCTTCACTCCTTATATTATAGAATTTATTTTATTTTATCTTTTAGCGTGTCGAGGCGCTGATGCCGCGCAAGGTCAAGAAGCGCCGTCAAATGCAAACGGAAGATGGTGTCGACGCCGGCTGGGAGGAGTACTTCGACTACATTTTCCCACAAGATCAAGGTTAGAGTTTCCTGATATACTGATCACCACCTTTTTAGCATCGCGCGGTAGCATGAAGCTGCTCGAGGCGGCGGCCAGGTGGCGGGCCCAACAGGCGCAACGGGAGCAGGTTTGGAAATTAGCGTTATGGATTTCTGTTCGGCTTCCAGGTTGTCGCCGAAGCGGCCGGAAGTGGAGATGCTGAACAGCCCGCGGAGGAAGAAGAGGCGAACGATCGTGAGAATAAGGTCGGCTTTTTAATTGACATATGGAGGCCTTTTTAAAATAGTACCGGTCTATGATCAACGCCAAAAAAAGGATTTATGAATGGGAAATTCTCATAATTCTTGCGCCGGCGCTTTTCAATAAAGGAAGGGCGACAATACTGTCTATACAGGACCACTCACTGGATTATTGGATTTTTTTTTGAGCAATTTCCGCATTTTGTCCGGATGGCGTCTGACCGCTATTTTTTCTAGGTGCACTTGGATCCGTGTTTCTTTAGTCTAGAAATTGCCCTGTATCGCCATGACAAATATTTATCCGTTGACTAGCAACCTTGAAAACGTAGAAAAGTAATTAAAAACTTCGATTTTTTTTCGGGGAAATTGGTCATTTTCGTTCGAAAAATCGTTTCTTTTTCGAAGCTAGCATAAAAATTGTTTTTATTTTGTTTACGTTTGCGAATAGTAAAAAGATGTTTGAAACAGTCCTTCTATTTATATTAGAAAAATTGGTTCATGCGGAAAAAGTTTTATTATGGGCCCCAAAGTTTTATTTGGTATCAGTTTTTGGTCCTAGGAATTTTTTTAGTCCTGCTTTTGTAGTTTTTTGAAAGCTGGATTTTGCGATTTTCAGGTACGTGAGGGCGACTCGGACACGGATATGAGCTCGTCCTCCACATCTTCATCAGACGACGATGAGGATTAGCCCCCGTTCCCATTCTATCTGTTTGTTATTGCTTCAGCCGGGTGATCAACGCTGTCCCTCTTTGTTCTCTCTCCCTTTCCGGCAGCGCAGTGTTGTCCATGTTATACAGTTTTTAGCAGTACGCCCGGACGACTTTTAATTCTACCTTTTTCGCCCGTTCCTCACCCCCTCCAACAGTAATTATTATACAGCGCCTCTATATATACCGTGATTTGTTCGTTGAATGATACTCAAGTTGATAAATCGTCTTTTACTTGGCGCTGTTGGTTGCAATCTTTGGAAGGCTTTTGCCTGATTTTTAAGAAAATTTGGGGTAGACGATGTCTGGGTTGTTTACGGATTCCATTAGTGAGAGAGCGAACTCTTTTCCAGGAGCCCTCCGGAAGTCGTGCATGGGATATCCTCATGATGGCGCTGTAAGTTTTCTATTTTTAAGGTAGCACGACGTCCAAAATAGCGCATACTTACTGGTCTGTTAGCGGAGGGAGCGAATTTTTATCTAGCCTTGAGAATTTTGAAAATCTATTTTTTTTTGGTAATTTTTGACCAAAAAGTCACAAATTTGCGAAATTTTGAACCTTTTTATAGGCTTCTATATCTAAAAACGGTGTAAGATGTAAAACGTAATGTAATATGTAAAAATGCTATGAAAAGGGTTTATTGTTCGTTAGAGCGTCCCCCCTGCTAAAAGTCCAGAACCAAAATGCGTAATATAGCTTGCGTCAAATTCTCGGTCATGCTTCAAGTTGCCCAGGCTTCAACGGCGCTGCCTCCCGGCTTACGACATATTTTTACGGCTTGGCACCAGCCAGCTTAGCAGCCAAGTTATTGTAGTGACGGGTTGCGGGGGCCCATTTGCAGATCTGTACCCTTTTTGCTGTAGTTTTTGAGACCAATTTTGTTCCCACGTGGCTGGTAGAATGGAACACGCTTACACCTTTTTTTTTCCACAGCTAATATTGTGCGCATTGGACCTCGCTGCCACCCGCCCGGTGATCAGCACTAATCCTGCTCCCCCTATAAAGCCCATTTTGATGGCGCGTGGGAGTGGCGTGCGGGCTTTTCCGGGCAGCTCATTTTGAGGTTGCGTTTCATTTCGGGTTTTCAATAGTGGAACACTTTTTTTGCTCTACGAAATTCGTAGTTTTGTTAGTGCAAACTAGTAAAATCGGTTTTAGCTTTTGGTTTTATCGAAATTAGGCTCTTGTGCATTATCGGGGGTATCCTATTAGATCAAAAAGGCTTAATAATGAACCAGTAAGTATTTTCTAGTATTTTTTTTGCTAAAATTGAACTATATTTCGAGAGAAAAACTAGCCATAACTATTTTAAGAATTTGAAATCCCAAATTTTTGTAGAAAAATCGGGATTTTTGTGTTTTTTAATAAAACTTTGTTTAAAGCCGAAATTATCTTCCAAAATCAAATAGACCACCCTTTTAAAAAATTACACCAATTTACAAATTTTCGGTTTTTTTCTAAGGAAATTTTGCATACAGAAACTTTCAAAAAGCTCTAACGCCCTTCTTTAATTGATAAGAACCTGATGACGCACCCAGGGGCGTAGCCAGAAAAAAATTTCGGGGGGCCCCAAAAAATTTTCCAAAAAACTCAAAACATTGCCGAAAAAACAGCGCCGCAGGCAAAAATTTTTGGAAAAAAGGTTGCATAACTCTACAAATAACCGTAAAAACGTGAAAAAATAGCGCCGCAGGCAGCAAAATTTTTGAGAAAATTAAAATCATAAGGGTCCCCCCTTATGAAATTTTCAGGCCCCGGCCGATTTCGGGGGGCCGGGCCCCGGGGCCTGTATTACGCTACGTCCCTGGACGCACCTGATGCTCCGCCATTTCCCCTCCTATGTCTTGCTCCCCCGTCCACGACTCAGATTTTCGCACGCAGATTTTGATCGCAATATGTCCGGTCACTCAGCGCCGTTCCCCGTGGCCGTATTTACCGACTTGCGCGTTGTTTTCTGTTCAGCGCCCATTTTCAGGTATTCCACGCTTGCACACCTGCATCGACCCCCCCGCCCGGTGCGCGCGAGATTTTTCACATTGCTAGGCGTCTAATCCACCCTTTGCCACGTGCCGGCTGGGTCTAGGTTTCGCCTTTTTGCGCTTTTTTTGGCTCTCTAATTTGATTATATCTTCTTGCCTCTATCGCTCTCTCTCTCTCTCTCTCTCCCTTTTTCTTCTCTCACCTATTCGCCCGACTGGTTGTTGTTATTTGGCGAGATCGGGGAAGGGCGAAAATTTGACCCGACCAAGTTCGGAGAATTTTTTTCAGCGCGAAATGGCGTATGAAACCTTCTGTTTTCTAGGAGCTCTAGCTCTCTCTCTCTCTCTCTCTCTCTCTCCCTCTCTCTCTTTCTCACTCTCACTCTCTCTTTCGCTCTCTCCCTCCCTCTCTCTCTCCCTTTCTCTAGCTCTTTATTTTTTTTATACGTCCACATTCGTCTAGGGCTATGAACAATCTCTATGAGCAGTTCAATACCATTGTCGACAGTTTTTGGAAGGTACGGACTTCGTAAATGACTTTCAAAGCTTTCGCGCAATTAGGAGAGAACGCGGTTCTTTCACATTATCCGGGGGACGAACTTTTTTGTATGTCAAGAAATGCCTATTAACTTAATAGGAAGTGTTTTAATAGTTTTTAGTAAAATATAGCTACAGGGACGTAGCGTAATACAGGCCCCGGGGGCCCGGGCCCCCGAAATCGGCCGGGGCCTGAAAATTTCATAAGGGGGGACCCTTATGATTTTAATTTTCTCAAAAATTTTGCTGCCTGCGGCGCTATTTTTTCACGTTTTTACGGTTATTTGTAGAGTTATGCAACCTTTTTTCCAAAAATTTTTGCCTGCGGCGCTGTTTTTTCGGCAATGTTTTGAGTTTTTTGGAAAATTTTTTTGGGGGCCCCCCCCGAAATTTTTTTCTGGCTACGCCCCTGTATAGCTATATTTCAACTAGAAAAACTTTTTAAAAGTCGACATTCTGGTAAAAGTCGGCCATTTTTGCTCGAAAAAGCTATATTTTTGGTATTTTTTAAAAAAATTGTAAGTTTTCACGTTTCGGAATAGCAAAACACGCACTCTACTCTTTATATGTGAAAAATTAGCTCTTTAGAATAAAAGTTGACCCCCCCGCCCGATAATGCGAAAGGACCGAGGACGCTAGCAGAGATTGTTGAGGAAAATGAGATCCCCGACTAGCAAAAATTGTTCACGGAGCATAGGGCATGCTAGCAGAAATTCTCGAGGAATCCGAACACCCCCAAAACGTCACAACTCCCCGGCGCCCCCGTACTTTCACCTGCCACCCCCCACCTGCCCCCGAACTTTTGTGCCCGCCGGGCTTTTGCGGGGATCAATGCCTTCTTGAGGGGATGTGCACATGCTTCTTCTCCTGCTCCTCCTCCACCTCCTTCATCCCGTCGTTCGGTCGCCCTCCCCCCACCCGGAGATGGCTATCTCGGAACCTGTGCCCCCGCTCAACAAGCCAAGCCTCACTTTCCGGCCACCGCGCTTTGAGGAGGGCTTCTAAAAATTGGCCATTGAAACGGCGCTATTTTTTAATTCCTGACGATGGACAACAATAGCGTCCTCAATTTCCTCTACGACAAAGTGCTCGAGGGGTTCACGCAAGTGAGGATGTCTCCGCAGTATCTCTGCCAGCTTCCCCGTTAGCGCTGAGGAGAACTTGAAAATGTTCCTAAAGGAACTCTGCCAGCTGGCCCGGGTCTTTTTATTAGATCCAGGAGAATCTCTGCTAGCCTTTCCTCGCCTGATGATTTGCCTTATTAAAACTTTATCAAACTTCATTTTATCAAGGCTTGCAGCTAGCCGCTCTAGGATCAGTTTCCTCAAAAATCTCTGCTAGCCTGCCCGGGATAGGAGTCCAGGCAGCTTCGTGCTCATTTGCCTTTCCAGCTTGGATTAATTTTTTAAGCTTAAAGAATTTGTCAGGATGATTTAGCGCTTTTGCGAGTGAGCCGTAAGCCTGAGCATAACTTTGAGGCGTCGGAGAGCAAATTAAAATTAAAGAAGAGAGACATTCAATTAGATATAATTTACACTCCTTTTTAGGCGCGTGACATTTCGCCGGACGAGCTGGCATGGCCGCTGAAGCTGCTCCTTATTTTGCTGGGCTATTCGACGGTGGCGTTGCCATGTTTCGTGTTCATCTACTACGTCAGGCAGCGATATACAGGTTTGCGGATAATTTTTCGGATAAACGTGAAAACTTTACAAGTTGTAATAATAAGTATCAAAAATTTTGGTTTTTCTTCCAAAAATGGCCAATTGTTTATCAGTATTTCGTCCTTTTTAACAAATTTTTGCCGGCTTTAGAATGCTGTGCTACTTTAAATATGGTTGTATTTTACTAACAACACTATAAAACACCCCTATTAGGTTACTAGACATTTCTAGACTTAAACAAGAAGTTCGGTCCTCCCCCCGGATAATGCGAAAGTGCCTCTTTTTCATCTATCTTTTTAGGCCGCGAAGGCAAGGAGCCCAACTCCTTACTGGGGCAATTGGCAAAAGCGTTCGCCATCGGCCACCCAGAATATCTACTGGCCCAGCCGCTCGTCAATGAGACGAGCCCGAAAAAGAAGGAGGAAAGTTGTGAGTTTTTTAATTTCACGCGGCTAGAGAGTCCGGAGTTTGTTTTGCAAAATATGGGATAAATCGATCTTTTATAGCCAATGCGCGGCGGCATCTATGGAACGACTTACTGGCGTTGGCCTTCTTTTTTATGGGCATCCAGGTCTGCCCTTTCAATCTATAAATAAAGCTCATTCTAGTCAACTCTGGTAATGATGGGCTTTTTCCAAGAGCGAATTATCACCCAGGGATACCCGTCATCGACAGATCCCCTCATCATGGACAAGGTCAAATTTCCTAGCTAATATTTTACGCCCGTGTATTTTAGTTTGGCGACGCGCAATTCCTCGTCTTTTGCAATCGAATTATCGCGCTCGTCATCGTGTTTGTTGTGCTTGGATATAATTGGTCGAGGTATGTTGATGCTTCCAAAATAATATCTGCTAGCCTGCCCTCTCCTCTTCCTCAACAATCTCTGCTAGCCTGCCCTCTCCTCTTCCTCAACAATCGCTGCTAGCCTGCCTTCTCCTCTTCCTCAACAATCTCTGCTAGCCTGCCCTCTCCTCTTCCTCAACAATCTCTGCTAGCCTGCCCTCTCCTCTTCCTCAACAATCTCTGCTAGTCTGCCCTCTCCTCTTCCTCAACAATCTCTGCTAGCCTGCCCTCTCCTCTTCCTCAACAATCTCTGCTAGCCTGCCTTCTCCTCTTTTTTTGACTTTTCAAAGAAATCTTTTTTCCAGGCAACCACCCCATGTCCCTCCATTCTATCAACACGCCTGGACGTCATTCTCAAACACCATCTCGTCGTGGTGCCAATATGAGGCCCTCAAATACGTCTCTTTCCCCACACAGGTGAGATAGATTAATTTGATTATTTTTATCATTTTTAGACAATTTGCAAGGCTTCTAAAGTTGTGGCGACGATGGTGATGGGCACCATTGTACGAGGACAGCGGTTTGTAATTTTTTTTTGAACGAACGAATATTTTTTAATGCGAATGAACCAAAATTTGACTTTTAGCATTTTTCTAAACTTACTTGTAAAACCTCCCGTTATAATAGTTTTTTTCAAGGTATTCGTGTGCCGAGTATCTCTGCGGTGCCTTCATCGCCGCCGGAGCCTCAGTCTTCCTGCTAGCCAGTAGCAGCGCGGGCATCGGCGAGACGACGACCACCGTCTCGGGGATGATCCTGATGTTCGGGTACCTCGTCTTCGACGCGTTCACCCTCAATTGGCAAAAGAAGCTCTTCGACGTCAAGCCAAAAGTCAGCAAATACCAGGTCGGCTGGCGGAGGCCTTTGAGGAATCGTTGTCCCATTTCAGATGATGTTCGGTGTGAACGTCTTCTCGGCGGTGTTGTGCGCCGTGTCGCTGGCCGAGCAGGGAACCCTCTTCACGTCGATGGAGTTTGCGACGACGCATCGCGGGTTTATCAGGTTTATTAATCGTTTTTTGGGGTTTTATAGTTTGTAAATCGCCTGAATTTTGATGTCGTAATCGGTTCGGTTCTTTCGCATTATCGCGGGGGAGAACTTTTTTATGAGTTTTAGAAAGGCCTAGCAACTTAATAGGAAGTATTTTAATAGGATTTTAGGTAAAATATAATTATATTTAAACTTGAAAAGCTAATTAAGTTTGAAAAATTTCAAAAATCGAATTTTGGTCAAAAACGTCCATTTATGGTCAAAATAACCGTTTTTTCCTTTTTTAACGAAAATTCATAAAGTTTTTACGTTTGGGTATAGTGAAATATCGTTTAGAAACCCTTCCGCTATTTATATTCGAAAACTCGATCTTAAGGAAAAAATTAACTTAATATATATTTTTCTTGCAGGGACGTCTTCCTACTGTCCCTCTCCGGGGCGACCGGCCAGCTGTTCATCTACTCGACCATCGAACGCTTCGGCCCCATTGTATTTTCTGTAATTATGACGATAAGACAGGTACGCTTCCATAATCCTTGCAACGCAATGAATTCAGATGCTGTCCATCTTGCTCTCATCTTTCTACTACGGCCATCCGATGTCGGCGTGGGCATTTGTCGGCTTCTTCCTCGTCTTCGGCGCCATGTTCTCCGATATTTATCGAAGGTGGGCTAGCCGAGAACCTTCAGGAAGATTTGATTTTTAGGTATTCTCGACAACAAATCGCGCCGGCCAAAGGCGGCAAGCATCAGGGTTAACTCCAAGAGGGTCATTTAGTGGTATTCTGGCTAGGAACACATTTATACCATTTCCAGTTTGTTACTTTTGAAATTCGTGATATTCGAGATTAACGCATATTGAGAACAAAACGGGCCTCTTCCCCTTCCCTCGCATACCTTATAAGATTCTCAACTGTGATTGCTTTCTTCCCCCCACACTTTGCCCATTGATTCATTTATCAAGATCACCTGTTCGCTGTGATTTGCGTGTGAATTTTGTTCCATTTTTGACGTTGTGAATTGAAGGGTTGTTTATTTACTTTCCACACATCGAAATGTGGAATAAGGCACTTTCACTCTCTTTTCGAGCGATCTTTGGCCGCTAAATAAAGTTTTATTTCGACAAAACGTCGATTTCCAGATTCGCAAAACGAGACCGCCACGTTCGTGTTTTCAGCCTTGAAAGAGAGTTCCTGCTTTTGCTGTGAAGTTCACCTGGACCTAGACCAGCTAGGTATTTACACTTGGTATCATGCATGAAATATTTATTTCTTCACTGGGCCTCCAAATATCCAACAATCAATTTACAACAACCGTACCAAATGCAATCAATGGGTAAATAGGGCTATGCAGCCAGTCGCTGATAAAGGTCTAGTTCAGCGTCGCTCAGCTTGTTGAATTTCTTCGTGAGCTTCTTGAGACGTTTCTCAGGTTCCAAATCGATATACCTAAACAAAAGATGGATGCGGAAAAGAAGACGACGCCTACAGGTCGCGAGAGCCATGGCAAAAGGCGGCGAATGGCGTCTCAAACAGTGGCTTTGGCTTCGGGGATGACTTTTTCTTCACAGGGGTGCCCTAGAAAACAAGATGCATTGGCATACAAAATCTACTAGCACCTTTGGTTCTTCCTTTTTGACGGCCTTTTCGTATTGTGACAAAGTCTTCTGGATGAATTCGAGTTGTTCCTTGCTGAGGTCGTGGTGAAGACGACGGAACTCCTTCAATTCTTCGACGTAGCTGAATGAAAGTGATTATCGATAAGGTTTATTAGGAAATACTTTAAAGTGGCAGCAAGTACTTCCGACGTTGCGGCATCCCGGCCTACGGAATCGATATTCATTGCCGCAATAGTCTCCTACAAGACTAAATCCTTCCGAATAGAAGCGCAAACTCACATTCATTCCTGTGAGGAAGCCGAGCTTGATCCCATTGTTCTTCGCATACGTGCGTACCAGATTCAGCGGGCGTTTTGGCCAATCGGGATACTGGCGAACAGTGTCACCCCTAAAAGTGTACAACCATCGAGAAATAGCAAATACCTTTGCATGTAATTATGAAGGACGTCGCAACATTGTCCGATCGACAGGTTAGAGTGCCGAAGAGCAATACGTAAGTAGTGATCCATGCATTTGCCCCATTTTCTAGGCAATTTGTAATGGCCAGCAAAATAAAAAAAGTTACTCCGGATCGTCGATTCCCTTTTGTGTCTTGAAATATTCTGCGGCAACCTTCTTGAAGCCTTTGGCCGAGTGTGCACCCTTCTTCGTCGACGGGACGTAATCGATCATCGGCTGTAAAAAGAAACATGTAAAACGGTGAATGCGGTACCTGCAAATGCTGCTGAAGGTAAGAGATTGGCACCAAGTCCCCATCAGAGTAGGTTGGTCCATTTTCCAAATCCGCTTGGCCTTCACTGCCAGCCTCCCCCTCATCCGAATGCTCCTCTTTGATCTTCTAAATTCAGACATGGCGTAATGGACCTAAAGACAAACCTTGGAAGCAGGAGATGGAAAGCTCTCTTCAATCTTCCGGCTCATTTTCGGGCTCAAGGTCGAAGACATCCTGCAAAGAACATTTAGACTCGTAAAAATCAAACTAAAAATAAAAACCAAATAAAGTAAAAACTAAAAATAAAATAACGCTGCAAATAAAAAAAGCTTCTTACCGTCGATCGGAGCCGCCGAAAAATGGAAAGCACGCAAAGCGGCCCGTTACGGTAATCCATGGCACTACTCAGGATACGAACGGAAATTGTAGCCGCTCGGAAATGAAAATAACTAAAAATAAAAAATAAAAAACCAAAAATTGCTCTTTCTCAAAAACAAAGTATAGCCAATTTCAAGTTTTTTAGTATCTTTCCTCCAATTTAATTTTCTTCCCCTTTCCAAGCCCTAAAATGGTTAATGTTTGCTTCGCCATTGTAACGGCATGCTTCTTGTTTCTAAAACTTTCCCGAATTCAAAACACAATTTCCCCCCTTTCATTGATACCCCGGTCGATCTCGACTTTTCCCCCGGCCCCAATTTCCCGATATTTTCGCCAGAACGCGGCCGGCGATTTTCATTGCCGGCGAGGGGGGGGCCAATTTCCGGCGGATGGGCGCGTCGGCTGCCCCCCGAGATATGGCCATATTTGCCGCGGCCAGATTTCCCAAATCTTGCCAAAGTTCGGCACCAAATTTCTTCAGGCCATTTGAACAACCTGGAATGCGCACGTTTCTGCAGTGACACGACGGCGTCGGCAACAAGGACGGCTGAATGTACAGTAAGTTGCTGGTGGTTTTTGTTTCCAGATTTTCAGGCAATTTCAAGCGCGAATTCTCGAACCCGGTGGCCCCGGAGACGTCGTCGAGCGAGGCGGGCGAGGGTCGGAAGCTCGTCGATGAGGAGAAACAACCCACAGGAGAGCTTCATGTAAGTGTTTTTGTGTTTCTACGATTACCGGTTCTTTCACCGGTGGGGCATCGAACTTTTTATGTTTAGGAATGTCTAGTAACTTTATAGGAAGCGTTATAATGGGGTTTAGAAAAAAATAATTATGTATCAATTAGAAAAACTCGCTAAAATTCTCAAAAGGTTTTGAAACAGGCGAAATTTTCGTCAAAACTCGGCCATTTTTGGTCGAAAAATCTATGTTTTCACCTTTTTGAAAATCGATGTTAACGATTTTGCAAAGTTTTCACGCTTAGGAATAGTAAGAAACCATTTCGTAACGCTTCCCTCCTCTCGTAAATCCTCAGACAAGCCCCCCGCCCCGATAATGCGAAAGAACCCGGTTACCGATGACTATTCGCTTCCGCGAGGATATTGGAGATTTTCTAGCATGTCCCGTCTCAAATAATCTCTGCTAGTAACCATTTCCTCCTGCCAATCGACATTAGCTTAGCAAACAGCTAGTCGGATCGATTTTCCGGAAATTTCAGGAGACAAAGGCGCAGACGACGACCGCTTCAGAAGTGTCCGTCGAGAAAGGCCGGCAAAAAGGGGTGTGGCGAAACCGGAAAGCCAAGTGAGTGGAAGGCTTCTAAGATCCTTTGAAGAGGAATACGGTAACGAAATCGAAAACGGACTGTTAGTAAGCTATCTAAAAACCGTTAAAAATTCGAAATTTTTTGTCCAAAACCGTCATTTTTCGAGCTTCGGGTTCATTTTTCGGTTGAGAAATCTACACTTTTTTGAATTTTTGAATAACAATTGATAAAGTTTTGACGTTTCAGGATTGTAAAAAACAGTTTCGAAAGATTTTCGCTTTTCATATTTATAAAAATTGGATCCGAAGCTTGCAGAACTTTGCAAATTTTGATAAAACAATGTAAAAATCTGGATTTTTCGGCTAGATTTTGTATACCGCTAATAATTACATCCAGGTTATATTTTACTAAAATATACTAATAACTGCCAATATTTAAATGCAGCTCCTTTGAGGGGGTAACGATTTATTCGAGTGGTGTGTGTGTGCATTTGGCGGCTTTTTCGGGGGAGGGGAGGGGGGAGGGGGGCAGGAGAAGATTCGAGTACACAACGGGAATAGAACGGGGGGCACGCATTTAATCACAAAACTATGTGCACAAAAAATGTATTCGCAACTTTTAACATCGGAGAGCAGGTTGGCGGGCGGGCGGGCGGGCGGCTTCATTTGGCTTGGCTTGGCTTGGCGGCTGGCTCACTTCTTGACGCTTTTCTTGCTTTTCGGCTTGTCGCCTTCTGAAAAGAGGGTACTGGCCTGTTAGCGGGGAGGGGGGGCTAATTTTCCCAGTAATTCTTACTGCCTTCTAATAACGAAATATAAATTATTTTATAGCATTTTCCATATTTTTTTTAGATCTTTCAACTATTTTTAAAAATTTGGAAAAGTCGACATTTTGGAATTTTTGCTCAAAAATTTAAGAAAAATGACCAAAAAGGGAAGATTTTCGAACTTTCAAAATGTTTCAAAAAATATTTTTCTAACTTTCTGGCATATTGACAACGTTAAGAACGTTAAGAAACGCATAATTTTTGCTAAATTACCCTTTTTGGATGTTCCTTCAGCCTTGGACTTCTTGGCGCTCTTCCGCTGGCTCTCCTCCTTCTTCTTGTCCTTCTCCTTACTGGACGCCGTCTCGCGTTTCGACTTTCCTCCCGGGGACTTTCCCTGAAATTCGGTCGAATGTGGAGCTTTTGCATTATCGGGGGCGGGGGGGCGGGCTTCAAGCGGAAGATTTCGGGGCTTCTCTCTTAGCGAGGGGAGGGTTAACTTTAGGTGTTTTTGCGAATGTTTGATTGCTAGAAAATTATAAAAATTTTTTATTGGTATAATTCGAAAATTTTGACCTTTATCTGAACTGTTTTAGACGATTTTGATTTGAAATTTTTGTGATATTTTTATGAGCTTTTTCTCTTAAAAAAAAACTGTCTAAAATGCTAGAAAAATGGCCTATATTTTGTTGTAGGACTTTGCAAGATTACTAGGAAAAATTTGGTTCCCCTGCTACACCCCCGGCCCCCCCGCTAATAGTCCAGTACCGAAACTTAGGCTACGGTTTACTTTACCCCCCAGCCGGAAGTTTTTGGCTATAACTTTTTTATTTTACATTATTGTAGGCTCAAATTAAAACTCTTAGTATATTTTTCGACGCTCTATCGAATGGCGTTGCGAAAATCCCGAAAAAATAAGCGAAAATACCGACACTTGTGGGACCCTTCGGCTGTGGGGGGAAAGTAAACTCTTACCGAAACTTACATAGAGACGCCAACCCCCCCGCCCCCCACCGATAATACACAAGAACCCAATAGTTTAAAGGGATCGTGACGGTAGAGAGAGAGAGAGAGAGAGAGAGCGAGGGAGCGAGAGAGAGAGAGACAGAGCACCTTTTCTGAATTCTTGTCGGGTTCCTTTTCCTCCTTCTTTGGCGGCTCTTCTGCCTTTTTCTCTTCCTTCTTGCTGTCGTCGCCGCCCTCCTTCTTGTCGGCGGCTTTCTTCTTCTTCTCCTCTTCCTCCTTGGCCTTCTCCTCGGCCTCCTTTTGCTCCTTCTCGGCTTCCGCATTCTAGGATGCGCCCTTTGCTACCGTAACCCAAAATAAAATACCGGATCCGTGGGGAAACTGTCGGTGACGAAGGACACCACCGGATTCTCCACCATATTCGGGTTGTCTTTGGGAGGTGCCTGGAAATCGGTACTTTTGCATTAGCGGGGGGGGGGATTAGTTATTTTGTATAGGTTTAAAAATACGATGAATGTAATAGTAAATACGTTAGACTAGGCTTACGCCTAGGGTTAGTTGGCTTGGGCTTATGCTTAGCTTAGGCTTAGGCTTAATAGTGTCTTTAGTAAAATTGAATGATCTTCAATATCGAACAACATGAATAGATCTTGCTCGAAAACCCCATTGAGCCTGACCTCGGGCGGCTTCTGCTCCTCCTCCTTCTTCTCGGGCTCGGCGTCGGCCTTCTTCTCCTCCTTCTTCTCAGCCTCCTTCTTCTCGGGCTCCTTCTTCTCCTCCTCTTTCTTCTCCTCCTCCTTTTTCTCCTCCTTCTTCTCCTCTTCTTTCTTCTCTTCCTCCTTTTTCTCCTCCTCCTTTTTCTCTTCCTCCTTCTTCTCGGGCGGTGGGCCGGGGGCGGGGGCCATTTTGCCTGTAAGTTGGTTTTAAAGGTGCTGGGACAGCTGGGATTTTTCATATGCTAATTTTGACTTTCTAGTTCCTTTAAAAGGCGTTTTAGAGCTCTAAAAATGTTGAAACTCCTCTCACTTTGCCCAAAAACGACCGCTTTCTTGACGGTGGTCGTCTTCGGCGGCGGCGGGGGCTAAAGTCGGTGATCTTAAAGGCCACTGAGCACGACTACCTTCTTCTTGGCGCATCCGAGCAGCGGGATGAGGAGCACGAGCCCGAGCAGCGCCCACATTTTGCAGCGGTCGCCGGGTAGAAATGAGATTCTCACTCCACGCCGGCGAATCCGGAATGTGGTTATGCAAATTTTGGATATAAATTGGATTCCAAATTTTTGGATCTTTCGCATTATCGGGGGGGTAATTTTTTCCGCTTGAACCAGTTGTTAAGTGTAAATACAGGGGGGTTTGAGAGAGGTTTACAGTCTTTTATTGCACTTTTAAATGTCAAAACTTTTTTTACGAAAATACAAAAAAAAGAATAGATTTCTGTCTATTTTAATTATGTGTTTTAACTTGTCGAAAATTGTTTTGTCGATATTTCATTTTGTGGAAATATCACTTTCTCGAAATTTCATTTTATCGAAATCTCAGTGCTTTTCGCTTCTATTATTGATCTCAATTTCGCAAATTTTTTTCAGCGCATTAAAATTTCGAAAAAATTGTAGCAAATTCATAAAAGCAATGATTTTATTTTTATTTAACTAGCAATTTTAAATGCCACTTCCAGAGCGATCTCCTCGACGGTCCGCCTATCCGTCTCGCGCCTCCGTATCCTCTTCATCGCGCTGATCATCGTCGGCGGCGTGGCCACGGCCACCGTTGTCTGCGTCATCGCCGGAATAGTGTTATATTTGATGCGCATTATATAAATAAATCTAACACTGATTCTATGTTACAATCTAAAATATGTCGACTGATTTCAGCACCGCAGATTTCTGAATTTCCGTTTTTAAAGTTGTCGAAAGTTAGTTTTCTTTCTCAATTTTGCCAATATAAATCGCAGAGGTGTTTCTAAACTTTTTTTTGCTATACTTAAACGTACAAATGTTACAAATTTTGCTTCGAAAATACGAAAATGTAAAATTTTCGAACAACAATCGCCGATTTTTTACCAAAATTTCGTTTTGTAAAGTTTTTGATAGTTTTTCCGCTTAAATTAGTTAAATTTTGATTAAAACACTATTAAAATACTTATGATTAGATTATTTTGGGAAATTCGTGACTGTGTCAAAATTAGATTAAAACGTCCCAAAAAAATGGTCAAAAGTGTATTTTCAAAAATGTTTAAAATATTTTTTGTATCTTTCTAAAATAAAAAAACTACCAAAAAAAAACATTATAAAAATATACTATTTATTGTTAACAGGTAAATTTCATAACGTCGAAATTCAGAATGCCGAATTTTTGCCTAGAACACGGTTGAATAAATCATTCATATATATATTTCGGGGTTTTTTTTGGGGAAAATTAGCTGATTTAAATTTCGACATTCTGAAATTTCGACAGTATGAAATTTCGATATTAAGATTTTCGACATTCTGAATTTCGCAATTATGAAATTTCGAATTGTAGATTTGGACAGTTTGAAAGCAACCCACCAAGCTGAGTGGGATCGAGGTTAAACCATGGGCTTTGTCCCCTCCCGCGCTGCCGCTTCAACGATCGTCCCGGGCCACACACGTTGACAGCCGGGGGCCAATGGCCCAATTTAGCCCCTCTACCCGCGCTGCCAAAGAGACAATATGCCCGTTTATGGGTGTCCCTCGTTGTGTTGCGCGAGACCACCCACGAGGCTACGCTTAATTACCCTTACCTCGCCCCCGGTTTGACAGTTTTTTTTACTGCGAACCGTCCCGCCCTCAGGGGCCACCCACAAAGCCATATGTCATCCCGGGGAAACGGGTAGATCCGTTTATCCAGGAAACTGGACTAATCGCTGCGTTTTGCGCTCTAGAATTACACTATAATCGTCTGGTATTAACTACCGCCAAGTTACTGCCAATTTTCCGACTAATGGATGAAGGTAAGAAGTTTGTTCTGGCTTTTTACGACCGGCAAAATTACGTTTAAAATCAAGATTTTCGAAGCAAATCAGCCGATTAAAACGCCGGCTCTTTCGCGTTATCGGGGGGCAACTTTTTCTTAGTCAAATTTTTCTATATAAATCCTGGAAGTGTTTCTAGATGGTTCTTTACTGCTCCTCAACGCGAAAACTTTACAAAATGTTATTAAAAATATATAAAACGTCGCTTTGTCGTCCTATCCATTTCAGGGCCAAGCCAAGAAAAAGGCTTAGTGCAGTTTACCGCCCCCCCCCTCCCCAACCGATCCCCACCTACCGTATCTCGGCTCCCTGTTCATCTACAGGCGTGTAAAGTAATATTCGCCAGAAGAAGACGAACGTTTTGGTATACTTTACACACCTGTAGAGTGCCGGCCGGCGGGGGGGGGGGGAGGTAAACTTCACTCTAACCAAGACAAAAACCTAAATCTTTCAGCGCGAATCCTCGATCTCGTCGCTACCGAGCTGCGTCATATTTGCGACAAGTTTGATCGAGAATTCTGGGGTCGCCAGAAGCGAACACGTACCTATAACCCCTATGACCCAACATTGTACCTTTCTTTTTGGAAATACATCTATGCGCTATTTTGCGGCCCGGATTCGCTACATAATTTGATATAACGAAGCCCTAGCCCTCCGACGACCAGTGCCATTGTCTTACCCGGTATATAAAGCAATTTTACCGATCAATATTTTGCGATTATAAACCTGAAACGTTGATAAAGTTTTCAAATTTTGGCCTCGAGTAATAAGCTCGCATGTACGATTGTCGAAAGGCCAGGGAAAGAGCCTGCGCATTGGAGCGACGCGTAGTTGAAAACTGGCTGCGACGCCGATTTCCGAAAAAGTATTATCCTTTCGGAACCCGATGTCGGAACAGGTAGTTATAAAATCTCTTAAATTCGTTGTTGCTTCGTGTATTATTCGAAATTCTAGTAAAATTGAAGTTTTTAGGACCGCCGCGAGTACCAGGCCCTCGTCGATGCCCTGCGCGAGCAAACGGCCAAGGTCAACGAGTGGAAGGCGGCGAATACGTTAGTTTTAGCACATTTCTCGGTTTGCTTGCTTGTTCGCCCTTCTAAAAACAGTCTCTAGTTGCTTTATTCCCTCTCTGTTTTCTCTCTACATTACTACGCTCGGTTCTATTGGAAAATCGATAGATTTCGAACATTTTTACGTTTACTTGAGAGCTTGTTGTTGCAGTTAAAGTATTTTTTGAGACAACATTGTTAAAACGGTTCCTAGTGCATCTCTGGACTGATAAGGGATTCTTTCGCATTGTCGGGATGTGATAAAATTTTTTCCTAGGATTTTTTTCAAATACAAATAGCGAAACCGGTTTGTTTTTGCTATTCCTAAATGTAAAAGCTTTATAAAATAGGAAAATAACGTTTTTCGATCAAAATTTCGCATTTCTGAAAAGTGTTAGTTTTTTAGATAGGTTTGCTATTTGAAAGATGGTTGTATTTTCCTAAAAACGTTATAATAATACTTCATATTTGGTTACTAGGCATTTCTAGACTTGTACAAAAAATCGCGCGCTCTAATTGCTTCCAATTTCAGGAGACAAGCCGGCACCCAGGCCTACAATGATTACGTGCAGAATGTGACCAACTGGGAGCGCGGGGTGCGTGGATTTATCGGTTTCGAAAATGATTTTTAGATTCGCGAGAAAATCGCCGTGCTAGCCGCCAAGATTGGGCTCAATGCGCCGGCGGCCGGGCCCGCGGGACCCGAATCGATTCTTGGTATGGAGGTTTTAAAAATTCGAATATGTTCATTTTTCAGGCGATCTTCTCGGCCGCGTCGACGAGATCCAGTTCATCATGGCGGTGATGCGGCTGGCGAATCAGGACAAGACATTTCTCCACTCCATGCTTTCCGCTTATAAACGACTGGATGGTCAGTAGGGTTTTTTAACGTTTTTGGGACTAAAATGTGCCCAAAAAGGGCACATTTGAGGAACTTGAGCATCAAATTCCCGGCGGCAGTGCTTTTTATATTGGTTGTTTTCTGAAAATGTTAATGGGATTCATTCGCATTATCGGGGCGTGCGGTAAAAGTTTACAAATTTTTGTTAGAAATAGAAAACATAGCTTTTTCGACCAAAAATGGCCGTTTTTGACCAAATTTGCGACTTTTGAAAATCTGAAAACGTTTTTAGATTGATTTCTGATTCAAATATAGTTTTATTTTCCTAAAAAAAGATTTAAGAAGAGTTTAAATTTTAAAATGAAGAGTTAGGATTTCAAAAAACCTAGATCTGTAACGAAAAACAGGCGGTTTTTATCAATTTTGGAAAAGACCTAAATTTTGTAATTTAAAATTTTTGGCACATAACTTTAATTTTGCAATTTTAACTTTACAGGTGGCGGCGCGATGAGCTACGGTTCCCCAGCACCCGTCGCCTTACACTACGCCATTCCCCAGCCCGGTAAGTTTTGATTTGGTTTTACGTATGTATGTCATTTCCAGGCGCCTCCGGACTAGCATTCGCCCCGCCAAGCGTCCCCGCCTCATTTCTGCCCGCACCGAGCGCCCCGCCAGCCAAACCGCCTACGGTATCTTTTCCACTCTTTTCACACACTTGCTTTTGGTTGTTCAGTATACTGGCGGGGAGAATGTTGAGATTTGGTAGAGCCGGCAGCCCCCCTCACTGACTGTTTTTATGCCCAAAACATGGTGAGTAGCTTTTTTTGGAGAATTTAACGATAAAAATTAATATGAAAGTTAGATTTTTAGAGGCTGCCGGTTTATTTTGATTTTTTGATCGTAGAGTAACTAGCCGAGATTTTTAGGGAATTTAGAAGTTAGCGGAAGTTTTAATTTTTTGAAGGCTAGGCGGCTCCATTTTATCTTTTAGTTTTATCTGTGGTTTGTGTAGTGATTTTTAGGGGTTTGATAGGTTAGTCAAAATAAATCTTGTAATTTTTACGGGTTCTTTTGTAGTAGGGTAGGCTAGCAAAGATTTTTAGGGAATTTGGGAGTTATTAGAAAAATTACTTTTTAAATTATTGCGATTTTTTTTGATCGTAGGGTAACGAGCCGAGTTTTCTAGGGAATTTAGTAGGTATTGGAAATTGCTTTTAATTTTTTTGTTGTTCTGTCGTTCATGGGGTGACCAACCGCGATTTTTAGGAAATCTAAAAGTTAACGAAAAATTTTACAGGCCCAAATTAATCACTTTTTTGCAGCTAATCTCTCAAAGCGTCTCCGGGTCGTCGTCCCGCTACCGAGCCCCATCGCCCGTCTCAGACTACAAGTCCCTCAATCTCCCGTTTCAAGACTTTAGCGTCAATTAAATTTTTGTGTGCTTCGATTAATGTTCTCTCTTTCTTTCGCTCTTTCAATGTTGAAATGCCCCCAGCCATTCGACGGGTCCTCTCGATTGCGATCTTTCTCTTTATTCGGTGTTGAATAAATGATAGCATTATCATGGCTCGGAGCTGATTTTTGACATTCCCAATTGCATAGTATCGAGTTTAGGAGCAGGAACTTTTTAGGGCAGAAGACTTGGCACGATGATCTTTGCTATGCTAACCTGGCTACTTTTCTGGCTAGATTCCCCCAGAATCTCTGCTAGCATACCCGAAAACCATGCTGTCTCGCGCTAACCATGCGTTTCCGCTTATCATTTTTGTCGTACGCGCGGTGGGCGGCCGACTCGCTGATATAGCGTTGTATTTTGAACTTGCCCTGTCTATTTGAGCTACCGGGGTTTTGACTGTTCCTGAGCGAATTTTTTTGTTTTCTTTATTCGTAAAATCCGCCCAAGATTTGATTTTTTGTGGCAGCAACATGATTAATTTTGTTCCAATTTTTTCGATTTTCATAATATAAATAAAGGAAGTGTTTTTCCGATTACTAAGCGGAAAAACTTGGGAAAATGGCTTGAAAAAAAATAAAAAAAGCCGGATTTCCGACCAAAAATGGCCGATTTTCAATAGTGATTTCATTAAATTTTTTTTTATAGTTTTTTGTATGTTTTCCCAATGAAAACATGGTTAAATTTTACTAATGCAAATACCTTTTGTTCAGCCCATTTACGGCGTTAATTACACCTTGTCTGCTGCGCCTTTTGAGCCGGCCTTCTCGGGACCAGAGTACGGACAATGTTCGTTCTTTTCGTTCCCCTAGTGACGTGATCCGGGGGGTCGCGGCGCCCGGCCATTTTTGGCGAATTCTGCAGCATAGATGGCCTTCAATTGTGGCCGAGACCTTTTTCCAATTTTTGCACAGTTTCCGCGTTAAAGATTCGGTACTAGACTGTTAGCAGGGGGAATTTGAAAAGGAAAATTTTGACTTTTCAAGTCGGTTTTCATAAATTTTAACCAACAAGCCACAATTTCCCCAAATTTTGTGAATTTTATTATTTTAAATACTGTGTAAAATTCTATAAAATGGCTTATATTTTGTTATAGGCTTTACAGGATTACAGGGAAAAATTAGTCCCCACCCTGCTAATAGTTCAGTACCAATTTTAATGTTTGCACCACGTTTCTTATCGTTTAATTCTGATAATTTTTAGTGGAAATGATGCCGTCATTACTCCAATGGATCTGGGATCAGCAGCACCTACAAGATACGCTCGATATTTCGGCCTGGGTGATGATTGCCGCGGGTATCGTCACATGCACGGCCCTACAGCTAGGGATCACCGCCGGATATGGACGGTATGCCGTCGAGTCATCGGTATGTTCAAAAATATTCCAAATATCGGTCTCTAAATTGCAGTAACCTAGATTTTCGACGAAAATTTCGTATTTTTTGGACATTTTTAAATCTGGACTTTGTACTTTCGACCAGGGTTGGTCATTTTCGGATCGGACTGGATCCGGATCTGGATCTGGATCGGATCCGGATCCGGATCCGCCGTAGGATCCGGATCCGGATCCAGATCCAGGGCGGATCCGATCCGATCCGGATCCAAGGAAATGGATCATGCAACCGAGTTAAGTGCTAATTCTTAGATGCAAAGATCAGTTCTGCCCAGGGACGTAGCGTAATACCGGCCCCGGGGGCCCGGCCCCCCGAAATCGGCCGGGGCCCGAAAATTTCATAAGGGGGGACCCTTATGATTTTTATTTTCTCAAAAATTTTGCTGCCTGCGGCGCTATTTTTTCACGTTTTTACTGCTATTTGTAGAGCTATATTGCCTTTTTTCCAAAATTTTTCGCCTGCGGCGCTGTTTTCTCGTTAATTTTTTAAGTTTTTCCAAAAAAAATTTTTCGGGGCCCCCGAAATTTTTTTCTGGCTACGCCCCTGGTTCTGCCTCTGGGCTATGTATTTTTGCGATTAACATGACCGAATCAGCATCAGAATCGAGAATAATACTTCCGGTCCCTTTTTTCCTCGGATCCGCATTGGATCCGGATCCGAGCGGATCCGGATCTGGATCTGGATCCGGATCCGACTGCGGATCCGATCCGGATCCGGATCCAGATCCGATCCGGATCCTTACCGATCCGGGTCCATCGGTGAACAACCCTGCTTTCGACTCAAAAAAAAATATTAAAGTTCTTGCTACTACGTTACTAGGCATCTTTCGGCATCCCAATTTCCCATTTTCAGCTTTCAATCCCTGGGCGATGGGCATGGTTCCTACAAGAAGCCCCCTCCTTCTTCATCAGCGCCTACTTTCTATTCAGCTGCCAAACGACGACGAGCCGCTTCATCCTGGCCCTCTTTGTTGGCCACTATTTTGTGAGGTGTCTCATTTAATTTTCATTAACACTATACTCTTCCCCATTCCAGGACATTCCTCTTCCCGCTGTGGCTCAAATCGTCGAAGCCGACGCCGTTCTACATTTTCATGTCGGCGTTTTGTTTCTGCGCCTGGAATGGGTAGTGATTTAAAAAATGTATAATTTTTCGTTTCCAGCTTCATGCAAGGCGCCTACCACGCGCGGGTCATCGACTACGAGGCAAATCACCTCTTCAAGCCGGTCAGCCTGGCGGGCGTCGCCCTGTTCTTCGTCGGATTCGCCATCAACCAACACTCCGATCACATTTTGAGGAATCTCCGGCAGCCCGGCGAGACGGCTTACAAGATTCCCAGAGGTAGCACCATTTTATGACGTAAGCAGCTAAAGATCGATAGGAAATCGATACAGCGATAAAAGGAAATTTACAAATCCTCCATTCTCAGGCGGCCTTTTCGACTACGTCTCAGGCGCAAACTATTTTGGTGAAATCGTCGAATGGTGCGGTTTCGCGCTGGCAAGTGGGACATTGCCCGCCTACGCATTCGCCCTGTTCACAGCCGCCAACATTGGGCCGAGGGCGCTGCAGCATCACAGGTGAAAGCGAGATATCTGCCTGCGCATCCCAAATATTTTTAGATGGTACTTGCAGAAGTTTGACAACTACCCAAAAGAACGAGCCGCCATCATTCCGTTCTTGCTTTGACGAATGGAATAAACTCCCAATTTTCACTTGATGATACAGAGAAAAAACCTAATTTAGAAATTACCGTAACTCAGGGATCCCGGAATAGGAAGATAGGCGCTACAAGCTCCGAGCAGCTCAAATAAATCAACCATAAACTTTTTTACCGTATTCTGCGGCAGTAAGCCATTCCTAAATTACCGTAATTCGTGAAATTCCATAGTAGTAAGGAAAGTCACGTATCAGGGAAGCAGCGATCAAAAGTAAACTCAAAACGGCTAAAATTCACAAGCCCGGGGATGAAAATTTGACACTCATCCACAACCAGGCAAGTTCAAAAATCCTGAAGACCCACGACAACCTTGCCACTACAACTTGGATCATGCAGGAAATATTTATTTATTTACGGAGTCTGTCGAGTATCCAACAATTAATCAATTTGCAACAACGTGTAAATAATGCAATTAACTGGTCAATCGAGTTATTCGGCTAGTCGCTGATAAACTTCCAGCTCCGCATCGCCCAGCTTCTTGAATTTCTTCGATAGCTTCTTGATGCGCTTCTCAGCATCCAACTCGAGATACCTCAAGGAAAGGTGAATGAGGAAAAGAGGGCACTTACTGTTCGCGATAACCATGGCAAAAGGCGGCGAATGGCGTCTCAAACAGTGGCTTAGGCTTCGGGGATGACTTTTTCTTCACCGGTGTGACCTAAAAAGGATGCATTCCCCTAAGAACTTGAAAAGCACCTTTGGTCCCTCCGCTTTGTCGGCCTTTTCGTATTTTGACAATGTCTTCTGGATGAATTCGACTTGTTCCTTGCTGAGGTCGTGGTGAAGACGACGGAACTCCTTCACGTCTTCGACGTACCTAAAAGAAAAGTAATTATTGAAGAAGAAAGTCAATAAATACTTCACTTTGGCGGCAAGTACTTCTGAATTTGCGGCATCGCGACCCGCCGAATCGTTATTCATGGCCGCAGTAGCCTCCTGAAACACCTAATACTTCAAAATGGCATCGCAAACCCACACTAAGAGACGCGCCGAAGCCGAACTTTATCCCATTGTTCTTCGCATATGTGCGCACAAGACTCAGCGGTAGCTTTGGCCAATCGGAATACTGGCGGACGGTGTCACCCCTAAAAACATTTAGTCATCGAAAAATAGAAATTACTTTTGCATGTAGTAATGAAGGACGTCGCAACAGTGACCGATCGATATGTTAGAGTGTCGAAGAGCAATGCGCAAGTAGTGATCCATGCATTTGCCCCATTTTCTAGACCATTCGTATTAGCCAACCAAATGAAAAAGTTACTCTGGATCGTCGATTCCCTTTTGTGTCTTGAAATATTCGGCAGCGACCTTCTTGAAGTGTTTGGCTGTGTGTGTTGCCTTCTTCGTCGTCTTGATGAATTCGAACATCGGCTGGAAAAGGGTAACTTCGCGCTTTCTTTTCCACTTCATTTTCAAAAATCACACTGTATTCAATACCTGCAAATGCTGCTGCAGGTAAGATATTGGTACCAAGTCCCCGTCGAATTCGGTTGGCCCATGGTCCGAATCGGCTTGACCCTGGCTGCCAGCGTCTCCGTCATCCGAATTCTCGTCTTTCAGCTTCTAAAATTAAAAATGACCAATAGAAAGTCAAAAGCAGACCTTGGAAGCAGGAGCTGGGAAGTAATCGTTAATCTTGCGGACCTTTTTCGGGCTCAAAGTCGAAGACATCCTGGAAAGAAGGGTATTTTCGGGGAGGCCGGGGGTAGTATAGAAAAAAGGGAAAGGAGAACAATTAACAGCAACGATAACCGTTGAAACCATCGAATCTGGCGATTTGTATAACGCGAGGAAAGTGAAGCAGCGCGCGGGGGTTTTTCACATAACCGAAGAACTTGAAATTACTTGAAGGCATCAATTAAAAACTATCAGGCCAACCAAAAATAAGATATTTTCCTGTATACTTTGAAAGATGCTGATCTAAAGAAAAAAGCATCCTAGCGGCAATCTGGCCGCCGTTTTGGTTTTGTGTACTGCAGCACTACGACATGTCGATCGAAAACTGCTGAAAAGACGAAAGAGCCTCCGAGCGGGGTTACGGTATTCCAAGGCGCTACAATGGACGCTGTGGTCCTGGAGCGCAAGACAAGGGTGCAGGCGAAAATTGTAGCTGATCGGAAACTCTGCGGCGGCAATTAAAAATCCAAAACACGTGCTTTTCCCAAAAGCGTTCTTTCAATTGCAAAACCTAACTTTTTTTGGCAAAAAGCGTCTCGTTAAAAAACGGGTTTCTCGGTTCGAAAAGGAGCTGTTAAAGCGGCAAAAAGCGTGTTTATGTTCGTGTACGGGTTTAACAATCGATTCGATGACAAGCTTTATTACACATTAAACCGGGGACAGCACGAATTTTCATTTTCTCTTTAATAGAACAGAAGAAATGGTGGTAGTGGTGGAGCGGGGCGGGGGTAGTAGAGTGGAGGTAGTCGAAATTAAGGCACACTTCCGGCTGGCCATGATCCGGGATGAGGGGGCAAGGGGAACATCAGTTGGCCACTTCTCGAGTCTCTGAAATCGTGGAAAATCGGGACGGATTGGAAAAAGCTCGATTAGCTAACCTAATTAGGGGTTTTTGGCGTTTTAGACCTCGTAATTTGTAAATTTTGAACTTTAGATGTCTAGAATTCCGAAATTTTGCGCGTGAAGAACTTCAATGCTGAAAAAAGCGCTATTGCTACACTACATGGCTTGGCGGGCGGGGGTCCCAGGTCGAGCACGAATCCGGTGCCGGCGTCAGCGGGGCGGGCAAAGTCTTCGGGTTTGGCCCCGGGCGGCAGGGTGGCCATCGTCTTCCCGCCCTCCAGCTCCATCGCGTTCACCTTGCCCGCGGCGCCCTCTGTAAGGTTTTTATAGTTTCAAAACGTTAAGTTGAAAACGTTAATAGTAAGCGTTTTTCGATGACCCACCACCGCCCTCCTCGTCCACCTTCGACATGGTGGTGTTGCCCGTGCTGGTGGTGGTGGTTGTCGTGGTTCCGCCGGCAGGTCTAAAGGGTTGTAAAGGTCAGTTTCCAAGGGTGAAAAGTCGGTTCTTTTTCAATCTGTGTTTTTCGGATTCCTAAACGGAAAAGGTTACAAAATTCTTCAAAGAAATGTCAAAAATACCGATTTTCGACCAAAACTGGGCGATTTTTGCCCAAAATTTCGACGTTTTGAAAAGTTTTTACTTCGGGGGTCCTAGGTCGAGGACAAAGTCGGTGCCGGCGCCCTCGGGGCGGGCAAAGTCTTCGGGTTTGGCGCCCGGGGGCAGCGTCGCGCAGTTCTGGCCCCCGTCCAGCTCCATAGCCTTCACCTTCGGCTCTGGAAATCGGGTTAAAATAGGTAAAAATATACCGAAAAATCTTCAGCCATAAAATCTACCATTGGCGGCAGGAGCAGCCGGAGCAGCCGGGGCGGCGGCAGGCTTTGGCGGTCCCAGATCGAGCACAAAATCGGTGCCGGCGCCCTCGGGGCGCTGGAAGTCGGATGCCTTCATCCCGGGGGGCAACGACGCCATGTCCTTTCCGCCCGGCTTCTCGAACTAAAAAAGATACGCTTTTAAGGCCGGAGATACCCCCACAGCCGGCACCGAAACCTTTGTATCTCCGCTCCCTGTTGGTCTACAGATTTGTAAAGTATATCAAAATGTTCGTCTCGGTCTGACGAGTATTTTGGTATATTTTACACACCTGTAGGATTACAAAGAGTTCAGATACAGTAGGTGAGGGGTTGCCTGCCGTGGCCCAGTGGTAAAGCTATGGCTTTTGAGGCGCAAGGTCCGGGTTCGATCCCGTCCGGGGTGGTACTGTTTTGCTTTAAGCTAGGAAAAGATTATTAGAAGTCGTCAAGCCGTTAAAAAGCCTGAAAAGCCTTTAGAGGAAAAGTAATGTTTTACGATTTTTTTTCTCGCGCTTGGCTCGCGATCTTTGATAAGAGGTTCTTTTGCATTATCGGGGGGGTTTCTAGGGTCCAATTTCTCTAATGTAAATAGAGGACGTCTTTTAAAAGTGTTTTCTACTATTCCTAGGCGTAAAAAATTTAATGAAAATTACAAAGAAATTAGCGATTTTCCGATGAAACGTTCAATTTTTTGTGAGTTTTTACTGTAATTCCACTTGAAACATGGTGAAATTTAGTGAAAACTGAAGTTATAGTGCCCATCCCCCCGATAATGCAAAAGATCCCGATTCGGGCCCGTCTTACCACAGGCTCCTTGGGCACATCCGGTGCACGAGGGGTGACAGTCATTCCGTCAGGCCCTCGCGGAACAACGGTCTGCCCATCCGGACCACGAGGCACCACCGTCTGTCCTTCTCGAACTTCCCGCGAGGCTTCGCCCTTATTCTTCGACCTCTTCTTGCCTCCTGGCGACTTCGGGAGCTTGTGATACTTGGTCCTGCCGCCGCTATTCTCGTTGCTGCTCCCCTTTCGATTGGCCGACGTCTTCTTCACCTTCAGATTCGCGATGCCCCCAGTCATGATTCCGGTCAGGTTGCCTGCAAAATGGGAGAAATGAAGCAGCTTGACTCCAGAGGGGTTTTGCCTTATCGGGGGGGCAATTTTTTAGGATCTAACTTTTGTAATATAAATAGTGAAGTGTTTTTAAACTGTTTTTTTGCTATTCCTAAACGTGGAAAAATTACAAAAATTTGTTGAAAAAGTACAAAAATATATCTTTTTTCCACCAAAATGGACCGATGTTTTACCAAAATGTAGATATGATACAAAAACTCGATAGTTTAAAAAAAGGTTTTTAATTTTTTTGAATGTTTAAAACCAATTAAAACCGACCAAAAAACGTGGTGGTCCCGCCGGGCACCTGGGGCACCGATTCTAAAAAGTGCTAATTTAAGGGAAAATAATTTGCCAAACTTTTCTTAGCGACGGGCGTCCGCTCGCCTCCTCCAGCGGCTGAGCGCCGGCTCGCATCGCTGCCCCCACTGCTGCTGCTCGTCGACTTCGAGCGGGAGCGCGACCGAGACCGGGTGGGGACGGCCTGAAAAATCAATTTTTTCTTTTTTTAATCAATTTTAAGTATTTATTTAGTAAAGTTAGTAAAAACGAGAAAAGAGCGAAGAAAAGAAGCAAAAAATCACGTCAAACCCACTTCTTCCATTGCGTCGACGCGTCGGGCCGGACGGGTAGATTCGAAATGAGCATCACCTCTGGATTTGGAGGGTTCCTGGAATCCGGAATTATGCAAATTACCGGAGTTTCGGCCCAATTTGCATGATTTTTTAGGGACGGTAATTTCCCTAGGTATTCTCGTATATCTTGAGGTTTTCTTGGGGTGGAAATATCTTTGGCCGTTCGCGGAAGCTGCTCCAGAAGCTCCAGCTCCAGCTCCTCCTCATCCTCATCCTCATCCTCCCGGCCCTCATCCACCACTCGACATGGAGCGTGTATTGGCAGGTAACAGGCAGTTGCTTGGAGCTTATGAGTTAGCGGTGGTTTGTCTCGCTCTCTCTCTTGAACTCTCGCTCTCTCTCACACCATTTCCTCTCTTTTTCAGGCGAAAAGTGGTACCACGGTCTGTTGCCCCGTGAGGACATCAAGATGATGTTGCGCAACAAGGGCGACTTCCTCGTCCGCACCACCGAGCCCGTCGCTGGCCAGCAGCGCGCCTTCGTCTTGTCGGTACGGCTTTCCAGGCTTGGCCGCGCCTTTAAAAGATTTTTTCTCAGCTTCTGGTCAAAAAGCAAAAAATCTACAGCGGTGGGGGTCGAACCCGGACGGTATGGCTCAAAACCGGGAGCGTTGCCACTTGGCCACGCTCTCCAAGGGTGGCCTAGTGGTTAGCGGTTGGGTCTCTTAATCTCAGGACGCGAGTTCGAGTCCTCTCAGCGCCAAACTTTTTGCTTTTTCCCCAGATGGTCAATTGGCATCTATTAATGCACAAGTGCACTTTTTTCAGGTGATGTGGGACCCGTCGCGCGGCGAGGACCAGGGCATCAAGCACTTTGTCATCAAACAACACGAAGGAGGGAAGGTGTCGATCGAGAAGTTCACGTTCGACTCGATCTCGGCAATGGTCGACTACCATAAGAAGCAGAAAGAGAGCATCTCCAAGTCGAATGATGTCCTCCTCACCACCCCCATCAATCGACAGCCATGGGAGCTCAACCATGCCGATATCGAGTGCACCAAGAAGTTGGGAGAGGGCGCTTTTGGAGAAGTGCACAAGGGGAAGCTCAAGCTCAAGAACGGCAAGACGGTCGATGTCGCTGTTAAATTGGTGGGCACTTGTGCATTCGCGGGGGGGATCTGGCGTGTTAAGGGGGTCTAACAACACCATGCCGTTTAGGCGAAGCTCGAGGTGCTCACCAAGGAGCAGATCAAGGAGATTATGCGCGAGGCGCGGCTGATGCGCAACTTTGAGCACCCGCACGTCGTCAAGGTGGGCGGCTGAACTGCTTGAACTTGCCGAGCTCGTCAAACTTCTCGAAGCGTCGAGCTAATGTTGAATGCTCAAATCGTCGAACGCGCTGAACTTGCCGCGCTCCTCAAGCATACTGAACTTGTCGACCTCGTCGTGTTTTTCAGTTCTACGGCGTGGCCGCCGGCCAGGAGCCGCTGATGGTGGTGATGGAGCTGGCGAACCAGGGCGCCCTCGACTCGTTCCTCCAGAAGAATGCCTGCCCCATGGAAAAGAAGCTCGAGATGATCGTTCAGGTATTGAACATTGTGCTGCTTGAAGTCGGTGACCTAGTACCAAACGGTTTTGTACACAATTTTTCACGCATTGTCTCACTGAACTTGTTGCAGTCGGCGTGGGGCATCGAGTATCTGCACCTGAAGGAGGTGCTCCATCGTGATATCGCCGCCCGAAACTGTCTCTACGGTGACAACCGCGTGAAGATCTCCGACTTTGGGTTGACCCGTGAGGGTACCGTATACCAGATGGACCCCCATCGTCGTGTTCCCATTCGGTGAGGCCATTTAAAAGGGGGCAGGCTCGCAGAGGTTTTTTAGGATTTTGAAAAATTTTTATAACGCTTCTTTTGCAGCTGGCTGGCCCCGGAGACGCTGCGCAACGCCATCTACACGCAGAAGACGGACGTGTTCGCCTACGGGATCATGTGCTGGGAGATTCTGAACAACGGCGTCGAGCCGTACCCCGGGATGACGGTGGCCGAGGTGAACGTCAAGGTGAAGGAGGGATACCGGATGGATCTGCCACCGGATATGCCGCCCGACGTCAAGCAGATTATCGAAGTGAAGTGCTGGTCCGACAACCCCAATGACCGCTTCACCATGAAGGACATCTCCAAGTCGGTGTTCAGCTACTTTCTACGCAAGGCTCCTCCTCAACAATCTCTGCTAGCCTGCCCTCTCCTCTTCCTCAACAATCTCTGCTAGCCTGCCCTCTCCTCTTCCTCAACAATCTCTGCTAGCCTGCCCTCTCCTCTTCCTCAACAATCTCTGCTAGCCTGCCCTCTCCTCTTCCTCAACAATCTCTGCTAGCCTGCCCCTCTCCTCTTCCTCAACAATCTCTGCTAGCCTGCCCTCTCCTCTTCCTCAACAATCTCTGCTAGCCTGCCCTCTCCTCTTCCTCAACAATCTCTGCTAGCCTGCCCTCTCCTCTTCCTCAACAATCTCTGCTAGCCTGCCCTCTCCTCTTCCTCAACAATCTCTGCTAGCCTGCCCTCTCCTCTTCCTCAACAATCTCTGCTAGCCTGCCCTCTCCTCTTCCTCAACAATCTCTGCTAGCCTGCCCTCTCCTCTTCCTCAACAATCTCTGCTAGCCTGCCCTCTCCTCTTCCTCAACAATCTCTGCTAGCCTGCCCTCTCCTCTTCCTCAACAATCTCTGCTAGCCTGCCCTCTCCTCTTCCCTCAACAATCTCTGCTAGCCTGCCCTCTCCTCTTCCCCAACAATCTCTGCTAGCCTGCCCTCTCCTCTTCCTCAACAATCTCTGCTAGCCTGCCCTCTCCTCTTCCCCAACAATCTCTGCTAGCCTGCCCTCTCCTCTTCCCCAACAATCTCTGCTAGCCTGCCCTCTCCTCTTCCTCAACAATCTCTGCTAGCCTGCCCTCTCCTCTTCCTCAACAATCTCTGCTAGCCTGCCCTCTCCTCGTCCTCAACAATCTCTGCTAGCCTACCCCTCTCTTTTCCAGGGCCCTCGAGCGTATCCTGAAAGTGGACCGGAAGAAGATGGAGGAGCTGACGACGAAAAAGGGAAACAGGTACCCTGCCCACGTATATTGACAGTCATTACAGGCACGTTTAGCGGCGAGAATCGGACGCGGATCACACGCCACTAAACAACCCCCACCCGTTCACTCTCTATCTCTCGCTATCCCTCTCGCTCTGTATCTCACTTGACCCCTCTCTTTCTCTCGCCCCCTCCCTCTCCCCTCTATTTCTAGCCATTTCCCGTCACCTCCTCGCTGCTGTTGCTCATCTACTGCTGTCGCTGCCGGCCCCGCCCCACCCAAATCACCCGACAACCAAAAATGTGCTTAATTAGAAAATTCTGTGTTTCTCTGCTTTTTTGGCTAATAAATCAGTACTCGGTGTTGAGACAGGAAGAGTGACAGTTTGGCAAACAGATCCAACAGATACAGAGGTAGAGGGAGAGATGGACAGAGAGACAGAGACAGAGAGTGAGAGAGAGGCATACAGACAATCAAGATGTCTAGCGGAGTACGGTAATTAGGGTCCTGTCATTGTGCCTTTAATGGGACGAGCAAGGCGCTGACTAGATCAACAGCGTTGCGGTCGCGTTACGGCGCTGCGAGAGAGAGAGAGAGAGAGAGAGCGAGAGGGAGCGAGAGCGAGAGAGAGAAAGCGAGAGAGAGCGAGAGAGGGCGAGCGAGTGCGAAAGCGAGAGAAAGCGAGAGAGAGCGAAAACTACTCCAACACACGTGATTCGACGGAAATCGGTTTGCTCCCTCTTCAGCCGTGCTCTCGCCCCCTTTTCATAGCGTAATCTGCTGACTTGTCGCCAATTTTACAAGGGACCTCATCTGTAGCGGTCGTCCTAAGCGGTGGCAAACACAGAATCTTTTTGAATGACTCCAGATGGCTCAACAAATAGATTTTGCACGAAAAATGTCGTTTTTCTGAATTAACTTTTCCGCAACTTTCCTGAAATTGTCTCTCTAGTTGGCAAACTTTCCGAATTTTGCCTTACTGGCCCCTTTAAACGCTTTGATAAGACAAATCCATCTAAAATCCTTATCCACAAATCCATAGATTTTGACTTGCGCTTCCCTTAAACGCGAGCAAGAGGGCGAATGTGTGTTCACCCCTCCAGGTTCCGTATATCAGACCGGAGGCAAGAGAGGGGAAGGGGGGGGGAGATGGGTTGACGAGAAGACCTTGAGAGGGGCGAGGGGAGGGGGAATTCCTTCCTATCTCTGTCTCCCTCTCTCTCTCTCTCTCTCTCTCTCTCTCCCATTCGACCCCAAACAGTCTCGCGAAAGGGGCAGCGAGGGGGGCCGCGAACGCGCAAGACTTCAGCCGGCTGCCCCCTCCCCTCGACGCTGTTTTAACTTTTGCTTTTGTTAATTTGCATAACAGTTATTTTATCGTTAAAGTCCTGCTTTTAATTTTATAAGGCTGCTAAATAATTTGTTTCTCATTTTTTTGGCCTTCCTGGGGCTGCAATTTCTATCAGTAGGCATCCATCGCAGCGTTTTTAACGATTTTTGTGTTTTTACAGGGTGCTGGAATTTGGATTAGCACTATTATTATTGGATAAATGAAAGGTAGATACAATTATTTTTAAAGAGACTTAAAGATCCGCAAAAGCTACAAATATTTTTTGAATAACGTGTTTCACCTTTTCAAAAGTTTTTGATTATCGGCTGCCAAATACTGTTGTTTTGATCTCATGGTGTAATTAGCTACAACAAAATGGGAATAATTATAACTAAAAAGCAATTCTCAGTTATTAGGCGTAAAATTAATTAAATAAATACCTATCGGTGCTAATTTAAGCTTATTCGACAGCCTGTCGATTTAAAAGAATGGTTTTCTTATTATCCGCGTTTGAAAAAAAATTGTTTCCTTTTTGAGGCTTCAACGCCCAAAAATTCACTGATGATTTTTCCGCGTTTGTTTTTACTACATTTCCGAGCATTTTCTGGGGGTTTTCGCTTGATTCACCAGACAAGCAATTTTTAAACTAAAATGTTACACTTTTTAATACCTTTAATACTTTTTACTACTATTTAATACTTACCAATTTCGTTGTTTTATGTTTCTTTTTGTTCCAAAAGAATGAGAATCAAAAATAATAAACAACAACAAAAATTGCGTGCATCCTGTTTTTATTGCTTGTTTCGGAGCAAAAAGTGTTTCAAAATGATGGGATAATTCGTGATTTCTGCTTTAATTAATATAGCTTGCTCAAGCCCGAGTAATAATAATTCAATTTTACAGTTAATCTCTAGACTTTTTTGGTTATTGTTTTTTTTCCAAAATTCAGGAAAACCCTGAATATCCGCTTTGTTCAGAAAAATAAAACATTCGTTTTTCGAGCAGCAGCAATAGACACCAAATTAAAGAATTTGAGAGACAAAAAGGACTAAAAATACAGTTTTTTATTTGCAAAAAGTGCTGAAATACACTTTAATTTTTATTGAGCCATAATTTTAATTTAGGTGATTAAATTGGTCGGTTGAGCAGTATGGTGTTAATGTGGTGAGGTGTGGTGGAAATGAGGTGTTTCAAATTCCTATTAGGCTCCGCAATTTTTGAGCTTGTTACTAAGCCTTCGAACAATCATCATAATTTCTGCTTTAGCGTTTTGAAATTGGCATTTCTATTCTATGACCTATTTTTGGTTATTTTTCATGGAAAATTGATTAAACTATAATTTTATAACCAACATTCAGTTTTGCTAATCAGTACAAGCAAAAAAACAGAAAGGGCTTGGCTTAGGTCTAGGTTTAAGCTTAGGCTTAGGTTTTGGCTTAAGTTAGGCTTGGGCTTAGGGTAGGCTTAGGATTAGGCTTAGTTTTAGCTTAGCTTAGCTTAGGCTTCGGAAATCAAGTCCTTTTGAGGCCAAGATGTTTCAAATTTTTATCCTGTTCCGTAATATGAATCTTTGCTAATTTGCTTGCCATATGCTCGAATTGAAATTTCCGGACTTTCGCTTGTTTTGAAATCCGGTTTTCTGCTGTCCCGTTCCGTTCCTTTCTCTTTCCTTTTTGCAAGTGATTAATTCCACCCGTCTCCTTCCCCCTGGTCGACCGGCCCGAAAATGATTATATTTGACACGAGAAGAAGAGAGAAACGGGGAATATTTCCACTTCTCAGCCGACACAAGACAGACACATTGTTGTGTGCTCACAATCATTCATTCATTCATTCCGTCATTCTAGCCATAATTATTGATTGAGAAAGCATCCCCCGGTATCGCTCTCTCTCTCTCTCTCTCTCTCTCTCTCTCTCTCTCTCTCTCATCTCTCTCTCTATCTCTCTCTCACTGAATCACTCTCTCTCTCTCTCTCTCTCTCTCTCTCTCTCTCTCTCTCTCTCGCTCTCTCTCTCTACCCCAGCGCCCTCTTTTTGATGAAATCCAGGTTTAACTTTCACATGCAAATGTTTCGAAAAAATCACAAGTAAAATTGGGCACTCGCTGCCAATCCCATGCGTCCTCGCCGTCGAGCAATTTTTCCTGCGATTGTCCCAGTTTTGAAATTTTGGACGCCACTTTTGCGAATTCTAAATAGCACTCCAGCTACCGTAGCCCACGCAATAACTTTTTCAGCAAAATTGGCTCGCCGGGCCCTTCGATCCGGTCGTCCGGAGGGGCGGTGGCCGGAGTGGGAAATGGGAGGACGATCCCGCTGAAGCTGAGGCTCGGCAAGAAGAGCGGCAGGTTGGTACGAGTTTTAAAAGGAGTGTGACATCGTGTAAATCCGCAATAATTAGCTTCGGCTACCGTTAGCAAACCTTCAAAAAGCATGAAGCATAAAAATGGAAATATTTTAAGATACGAAAGAAATCCTTTTTACAGATTAAATTCCTGAAAAAATAATGCCGATCGGTGGTGGAAGGGTCGATTTTAAAGGGACCGAAAAGGAAAAACCATTTTTCGCCCCTGAAAAAGACAATTCTAGGAGAGAAAACTGGCTGACTGCACCAGAAAAATGAGGATCATGATTTTTTTAACCAATTAATTTCAATCGATTTTAAAGGACCTGAAAAGCCAAAATTTGGCTTTCATTAATGCGAAAACCCTAAAAATTACATTAGCATTGAAACTGATCCTTTAATACCAGAACGATAACTTTTTTTTGCAGATACGACCTATCGCAAGATGTCTACGTGCTGGCCGTAAATATCGGGGATAAACCGGTGATACAATGTACGCTGAGTACGGAGAGTACGGCACGAGAATGTATCGAATATATACAACAGAAGAGAGGGCTGCAACAGGTCGGTTTTTATTGAAAAAGTAAATTTCCATACATTAATTTTTGATTTGGCCATTTCTCTAGTTTCCGAGTTGAAACATATTATTCTTTCAAGTAGGAAAATGCATTTTTCTAATCAATTCTAGTAAAAAATTTTAGGTAACCAGGCATGTTTCATATAACAAAATAAAATCAACAGTAAAGAATTTTCACGAATTTTCTCGAACGCTATTCGAAACATATTAATTCTCTTGAATTTTTATTATTTTTTAATTAATCCTATTAAAAACAGGGCTGCAATAGGCGCATTTTAATATAAAATTAAATGAAAGAAATAAATAATTAGTCGCCGATGATTAGCCGTTTCATTAATTTTCAGAATTGCAAATTTTCTCCATTTTACCTCGAAACATTTGTTTTTGATTTTCCGGGAATTGTTGCGTTCCTTTTGAACCGCAAAAAAAGCCGCTGCAATAGGCCCGTTTTTATATGAAAATTAACTTAAGTTGAAAACAATCAATGAAGAGGAGGACCGTTCCGTAATTAACTTTTTTCGAAAAAAACCCCAATTAATTTGACGTTTTCCAATCTTCGTCGAACATATTCTTTCTAGGAAGTTATTTATTTTCTAATTAAGTTTAGCAAAAATATGGCGGCAACAAACACGTTTTTATTCGAAAATTTCATTAAATGGAAACATTGACCACGAACATGTATCCATTAATTTTTGAAGCAGCAAATTTCCTCCATTTCACGTCGAAACATTTTATTTCGTTTTGCCATTCAGATCCACATGTTCGGCCTGCGGTTCCAGATGCGCTCACAAGATCCGGATGAACGCATCTTTCGCTGGGTGGAAATGGATCGGCCGTTGAGGAAGCAGGTGAGGAAAAGTGTTACATTCAAACTGATTAATCACGGAAATGTTTTACGTTAATAAAAAATCTTATAAAAAAGCTAGCAAAATATTTTTTAAGTGTTTGATAAATCCGAAGTATCTAGAAGTTTCAGCTCGAAAAATGGGGTTGCAAACCACGTCAAGTGCAGCTGGCAGTACTCTACCATACGCCCAACCCATTCATTCTCACCGACCCGATGGCTAGGTAGGAATTTTCGGGTTTGGGCAGGCTAGCAGAGAATGTTGAGGAAGAGGAGAGGGCAGGCTAGCAGAGATTGTTGAGGAAGAGGAGAGGGCAGGCTAGCAGAGATTGTTGAGGAAGAGGAGAGGGCAGGCTAGCAGAGATTGTTGAGGAAGAGGAGAGGGCAGGCTAGCAGAGATTGTTGAGGAAGAGGAGAGGGCAGGCTAGCAGAGATTGTTGAGGAAGAGGAGAGGGCAGGCTAGCAGAGATTGTTGAGGAAGAGGAGAGGGCAGGCTAGCAGAGATTGTTGAGGAAGAGGAGAGGGGCAGGCTAGCAGAGATTGTTGAGGAAGAGGAGAGGGCAGGCTAGCAGAGATTGTTGAGGAAGAGGAGAGGGCAGGCTAGCAGAGATTGATGAGGAAGAGGAGAGGGAAGGCTAGCAGAGATTGTTGAGGAAGAGGAGAGGGCAGGCTAGCAGAGATTGTTGAGGAAGAGGAGAGGGCAGGGGCTAGCAGAGATTCTTAGCGATTCCTTTCCAGATCGTACTACTTTCTGCTAATGAAACTCGACGTCGTTGAGGGCCGACTCACAATGGATATGGAGAATTATATCGGTTTAGCCGCCCATAGTTTACAAGGTGATTTTTTAACGATTTTTTACGGATTTTTTACTCTATAATAGAAATCCTTCTACCTAAAATGCGCTAAAAATGAGTACTTTAAAAAGTGGGGTTTTCAGCGGAATACGGTGACTACGATAAGGAATCGATGACGATCGACTATATGCAGACGATTCCGCTATTGCCGAAGGTATCGATATTTATTCCTTTTAAGTCGGGGTTACGGAAAATCATAGCTGTCCTTTTTAATTTGGTTTTCTGTCTGAAGCCGATTAGGTCTAAACCAGAATTTCTAACTGAGCGTTTTTATGAAACAATCTTTTTGAAATGCCGATAAGAAATCTGGATCTTGAAAAACCCCATATTTATATTATGGTGGATACACAGGGCAACATTATCCCTAGCTAAAATTGGTTAGATTGTTGTTTCTACGAAAGATGATTTTTTTACCACGCAGTTTTTGGGCAAAAATATTCGATTTTTTTAGAATCAGAAGCCTATTTTGCAAAAGTTTACAATTTCTGAACAATATGTGTTTCGCCAATGACGTTTTTCGATGGCAAAATCCTTCATTTTTCAGCAAATCTGCCGCAGCGCCACCATCCTCGAGAGCTTGCTGATGAAAGTCCTGCAGGTAACGTTATAAACTTGAGTATTAACTCTAGCTTGTGAATTAGCCGCTTATTAAATACAAGCCACACCTTTAAAAGCCATAAAATTAAACTTTAAAGCTGTACGAAACGCTCCGCGGGATGTCCTGCGACAAGGCCGCGATTTTGTACATTGTCGGGGTGATCCATTGCGAAGGATATGGAGAGGAATACTTCAAAGCTAAGGTATGGCTCACTCTCTCACTCTCTCTCTCTCTCTCTCTCTCTCTCTCTCTCTCTCTCTCTCTCCTTCGCTCTCTATCCCTGACCCGTTTCCTCAACAATCTCTGCTAGCCTGCCCTCTCCTCTTCCTCAACAATCTCCGCTAGATTGCCTTGCATTAATGCCCTTCGAAATTGCTAAAAAGTACGATTTTTAGGATGAAGATAGTTCCGAAGTGAAGCTAGGCTACTCCCCAAAAGGGATCGTGGTTAAAGGTAGGAATTTTTACTTTAAAGGGGCTGGGACCCCTGAAAAATGGATTAAAATTAGCAGCCAAAAACGGATAATTTTTTTTATCGTTTTCATTAATTTTGGTAAAAAGTTACTTGGTAAAATTCATTCCTAATGGCGGCAAGCAGGACTGTTCCTTGGACGCCGCTTACGAGATTTGAGGATTTTTGAAGCACAGATTTTCGATGAACAAATCAAAATCGAAAAACGCGCATAAATTTAAGCTATAAAAAACGCTATAAAGCTAGTATATCAAACAAAGTTCCAAAAATCAAATTTAGTCTACGGTGCCCCGGTGAAATACGAATGGGAAAAAGTGAAGGGATTCGCCGCCCATAAACGCCATCTACAAATCAAAACCCGCGACCTGGTCGTGGAGTACAGCTTGGTAGGTTTTATTCTATATTTTAAATTTGTACCGATTGCGAGAGATGAACTAAAAGCTAATTTTTTGACCGCTTTTTAATTTTGATGAAACACACATTTATTGCAAATTGCGTTAAAAATCGGCAGCCCGAATTTGTGTCCTTGGGTTTTAAATGTATTTCGAAACACCTTGTTTCCAGCTATAATAATTTCTTTCCGTTCATTAGCGACTAAATGTTTTTGATTCTCTATTTTCTTAATTTAATTCCATTGAAATTCTGTAAAAATGATGTATTGCAGATTTTATAAAATATGTTTCATTGTACTTCATAATGTAACTGGTAGTTATTTTTAAGCTAATGCGAATCGTTGCTTCTTCCTCAACCACGGTTTTTTCTTCCAAATTTTGTTTGATCCTTCACTTTATTTAAAGTGCTTTTTTGGAAAACTTAGTTTATTAGATTTAGTTGATGATTTTGAGACAATTTTAAAATTCGAGTTGGATCATTCGTCATTTCAGTGGTTTTTTGTCTAAAAATCGTAATACCAACGGAGGGTTGAATGAATCACCAATTCTCCAAAGCTTAAAGCTTTAATTTTTTTGAAACACGTTTCTGCGGACAGCTTTTGCGCGATAATCACCACTGGATTGATTTTGTTGAATAAACCCGGTATGTACTTTTTTTAAGGAAGACGCCGAGTGGGCCCGGTACGTGTGTATGGTATTGGAATGGCAGCTACATTACGCAACGCATAAAGCACCTGAGGAAAGGGATGTCGAGAATGATATCACCGATTTGCAGGTATCGGGGGCAGGCTAGCAGCGATCGTTGGGGAAACCGAAGTGTCCAAACGAGTCCATTATCATCCATTAATTACATGACTATTCTGCCAAACCAGAATTTAACTTGAAACATGAAAATTTTATATGCGGTTCTTTTCAAAGGAAATCTGTTCAATTTTAATTATTTTCTTTTATATGGGCATACATTTTTGAGCGCCATTTTATAACGCGCCTTGTAACTAAATTTAATGCATTTAAAAACCGTATTCCGGTTTATTCAGAACAAGTATGGAGTTTTTAGTTGTTGATTACTGCTTATTTTTTTTATCAATCTGCGCTTTTTACGAAACAAACAATTTTCCACACTTGATATCCCTAATTTTTACCTTTTTCAGCCAAAAAGCTCTCACCTCAACGCCTCACAAGTCGATTTACTGCATGGTAAGTACCTAGAAAATTGTATTATAATATTTATTAATGGCTTATATTAATGGAGAATCTTATCCCTGGCGTGGTTGTGCTAAAAAAAACGTAACAACCGGTTTTTAGCTGTATTAATCAAAAAAATTCGCGTGCGATTATTAGTAGGTTTTCCATGCTACTAGTTCTAATGAGCCGAAACATTTTTTGTTTGGCGAAATGAACGGTTTTTCGGAATTATTAAAGTTGTTTAAAATGCGAAAATACGATATTTTTCTTATAAATAAATCAGATATGTAACAACCAAATCAAGAGAGCAGCAGAATTTTAGGCCCCAGAGAATAATATTTCTTTAACGATTACCAAAACATTTTATCGCAAAATTTAGTCCCAAAATTTGCGATTGCCAATGTTGTAAGGAATATAATTTGATGGCTTTAATACTCGCATAGATTTTCATGAAACATATTTTTCTACGATTGTTTGTTCATTCCTCGATATATACCTCTTTTAGGAAACTGATTAGGGTAAATTAAATTATGTTTCCAGCCCGCCGTGCCTCCAGCTCGATAAACATCCACTCGACTCATTCCCTTCACAAACCCTCCTCTACCTCACTCACCAATGTACATTCCGTCAATAATCACGGTAAGTTGGTTTAAAAACATATTTGGCTATAAAAAAGCCTTATAAAAATGATTACAGCTGAAATAAGCGTTATAAACCTAATGATAGGAAATATATTGAAGTAAAATATAAAAATATCGATACGGAATTTGCGCCGATTCGGCATAATTTCCACATTTCAAATTTGACCAACAGAACGCAAGTCATTGACTAAGTGAGGAGTCAAATCGCCAATCGAGTATTTTTGTCGAAACATATTTTTAAAAAATGTGTTGTTTCGAAAAGGCTTGCGTTATATGAAAAAATGTTCCTGATTAATTATCTACAAAAGATTATTAAGTAAGCCAGCTTATTTAATACAAGCTTTCGTATGATATTACCGCTATCGAGAAAGCACACCAATAATTCATAAGTTAATTTTTTAGATAAAAACCGTCCGATCCTGTCATCTGTCAGCTTCCGAGATCCCGTTACGGGTACGTATCGTGTCGTACTGTCAGAGTATTCAACGCAATATTGTTAATTTTTAATGAAACATACGATTTCCTTTTCTTGCTTCTGTTTATGAGAAGCGTATTTTTCGAAATAACACTAAAGGACATTGGAGCAAATTGTCTAGCGCCGGGCAAAAAACTAATTATTTTTTAAGAGAAACATTTTTTTGAAAGCTGGAAAAAGATACCTCCGGATTTTTCCGCCTAAAGATTCTGTAAAGATTTGGTCGCGACATGTAACGCGCCCGCAGCACGCACGTAGCGCGTTGAGAAAAACTAAAATTAATCTAAATTTTCGATTTTTATGAAAAGTTGCGCTTGTTAATGCCAAGGAACATATCATTAATCACTCCGCCTAGGTGCCTGTACCCGCTTTTACCTGAAACAAGGATTTCTATTTTGGAGTAAATTGGTTTGAGCGTACCTGTGCTTTTAGTGCCCTGTTTATAGTGCAAAACTGTGATTGTATAACATTTCAAGTTCTTTGGAAGCCCATTTTTATAAAGAAAAATCATGTTTATAGCATTTTTAAGGTTGTACTGCCATTACACAAATTATTAACAACCTTTTATTACTTTTCTTTCGAAACATACATTTTCCAGTTCGTTGTATTTCCAGTATTTCCAGTATTTACTACGGTAAAATTTCAGCAAATTGTATATTTTTTAAACTGGAACTGATTTTCCAAATTTATTTTTCAGTTTCCGTAACACCCGAGCGGCCCCGCGCCGCCACGGCCGCTATTTTGCCCTCTCCGCTTTCTTCTACGTATTCGGTGAGTGTTTCTTTATCTTTAGCCATGATTTTTATAGAAATTATTTGTTTCATAGTTTCCTTAGTTTTTAGCATGGTTAACTATTTTAGTCCGTCCTTGGAATGGTGTCATGTTATCTATCCTATTGCCTTAGAAATAATACCGATTTCCTCTAAACTTTATTAAATTTTATTGAGGTTATTTATTTAGTAGCCAGCTTTCCCAAGATAAACAGAAGAAGTGTTTCTAATTTTTTGTTTCTATTCTTAAACGCAAAATCTTTACAAATCCTACTATATATAAAAAAATAGTGTTTGTGTGTTTGTGTGTGTGTGTGCCACTTTGCATCCACTTCCGTCTGTCTGTCCGGAGGATATCTTGATAGAGGATGGATTTTAAAGTACGTATGATACGTTATTAGGTGCGCAATGGTCTTGGGATGACTGCACACCTAACAAATCTTACAAAATTATCGATTTTCGACATTAAATTTAAGTTTTTGTGAAAGCCTCTTTGTTAAAAACAATTAGCATAGACGGGAAGTGGGGACGCGACTATATAAAGCGGCAGAAGAAGTGGTTTTTCATTTTTTTGCATCTGAATTCAGGACAAGTATGCAAAGTGAAGCATAAAATGGGGTCGGACGGGACCAGGGTTGAAAAGTCGCGAAGCGGCTTTTCAACCCTGGTTATTAAAAAAAAAACACAAAAAATATCGAGTTTTCGCCGGAAATTGGGATTGACATATTGGTTAAAACCTTTTTAGATAGTTTTTCCCCTGGAAATAAGTAAAATTTTACGAAAAACGCTATTAAAATATGCACTATTATATTACTAGGCATTTCTGGAGTTTACCAGAAAACAGCCCCCGATAATACACAAGCACCGAATTAGCCGTTATTATTAATTTTATCCCTCTAGAACAACACCGGCTCCCAAAGTCAGCTGATGCAAATGGCACCCCTTGGTATCCCATCGAGCATTCAGGAAATACCACAGGTATGCATTTTTTGAGATAAATTTCTTCATAAAATTAACTGGCATTTTCAACATGATATTACAATCTTACTAGCAACATCCATTTTTACCAAAAATAGTTTGCTTTTTCAAATTTGTGATCTTTCAAAATCCCAGACGAAGGTTGAAAAAGGCAGTCAGTACTTATTAATTAGGGCCTAGACACTTAAGGTAATCATAATATTATTAAAAACATATAATTTTAATGCAAAAATTGCTTGAGCTTTATTAAAAACTAAACCGTTTAAAAATTCATTACAGACAAATCTTTTTAATTTTGAGACTTTGACTTTCAATGGCGTTTTCAAAGTCTATAATCGAGCCATTTTTAGGATGCGTTCCCCACGTGGCACCGTAATATCATCGAGGACCGGAATGCGGCTTATAAGTGAGTTTAATTGGGTTCGATGGTTAATAAGATGCGTTTTACAAGATACCCGCTTGAATTAGATTTTTATAAGCGTAATTTAATGGTTGCATGCCGAATAAAATCCTATTTATTGCAAATAGCCAATATTTAAAATTAATTTAACCATAAATAAAAATTAATCGGCTTTCATCTGCTGCTAATGTAAAAACCTAAAAACCTCTTATTGCTCCTAAAAAAATTTAACATGCTACCAAATTTCGTCGAAACACATTTTTTTGGAAAAAACCTAGCGATTATTTTTTTTGCTTTTCCTTTTTATCTTCTTGTTTCAAGCTTTTTTATAACATCAAATTTTGTTTTCAAATTCACCATGAAAATAGAGGCCAAAACAATTTAGAGCATACCTGCCAAACGCCGTCGAAATCGAGCCGCTGAAGCCGTTCGTGAGCGCGGTCCGGGCGAAGGATGGCGTCCAGAGGAAGGTGGGGAAATTACCTGGTCTAACCGGATGCTCTTGGCTTCAGTGGGCCTTTAAATGAATAGCAAAGCGTCGAAAACCACCAATTTTCCGCAAAAAAACTTCGTGGATTTCTAGGAATTTAATGACATTTCTAGATCCTTGGCTCTACGCCAGAAATGCGGCAGCTCGGCACAAGAATGGAGGGCAACCACGAGCAGCTCCTCAAATTTATGATGGCCCAGGTAACGGGCGATTATCTGAGCTTTCTAAATTTGTGTCAATTTAATTGATTTAATTTAGTTGTGTTTAGTTGAGCTCTGGAACCAAATAAGATTAAATCGAGCAATATTTTTTCGGATTAGCGTGATGCTTTGAAACTTCGTTTTTAACATATGAAAACTGTGGGCCAGTATTAAGGTTGAAGACGAAATTAAAGGCATAGAAAGCTTACATTTAAATTTTTATTTGATTCTTTTATATTTTAAAGGGCTGGAGAAAGATGGGCCGGCGTCCGTCGGGGTGACGGACCGCCGCGGCGCTACCATCGACGCTTTCCCTCGCGTAAGCGCCCCCAAAATCCCCTCTCGCGTTTGAAGAAACCAGTTTATTGGCTATAACTTTTTCATTTAGCAATGTTTTCAACTAAAAATTTCCTGAAACCAATGACTTGGTGAAACGCATCGATGGTAAAAATTTGAGCTGGATTGGATAGAAGGCGGCCAAGTTCTGGGCGATTCGGGGTTTTGGGACACTGTTTTGGCTGAAAAAGAGGCGCATAGACAGCAAAACACCTCTAGAAAGTTGAAAAGTACGTTGCTATCCTTTAGCAAAGTTTTCTACAACATTTTTTAGCTATTAACACCATGAAATTGCTTTATTTCTAATGGCAGTACTTGCACAGGTGGCAAGGCGCCCTAGGGTATGTGGGGGCCCTCCGGCGCCCCTCTCCACTCGACTCTCTGGTGTACTGGCTAGCGCATCGGACTGCGGGGCGGACCATCCCTGGTTCGACCCCCGTCCGGTGTGACCCTCTTTGCTCTTTCATCGATTCCATCTTTCTCCAGCCCTTTAAAACTTTTAATCCAGGACCCGCCCCGTCCCTCGTTCCAATCGACCCCAAATCTGATGGATGTCCGATTACAGCCCGGGATGGGAACGTTTATGGGAATGGTACGTAGCTGAAGGGAGAGAGAGAGAGCGAGAGCGAGGGAGAGAGGGAGAGAGAGGGAGAGACGGAACACCTTATTTCAGTGGATCCCACCTGAACCTCCTCAAATCGCCCCTCAAAGCCGACAATCCGGGAGCAGGGTGCGTGATAATTTTATAATTAAACTGCTCTGAATTGGTGAAAGATTAAAGTGCACTTTTTCGACTCAATTTCAAGCCCAAATTAAAGTTACTAGTTTCGGGATTTGGTTACAATTTAAAGGACACATCGCGCCATAATTAAAAAAATGTTTCTGGGATTTAAACGGATCTTAGATGAAACAGTTTTTTGAAAAATATGGAAAACTCGTTGACCACGATGATGTTTCAATTTATTGGATCATTACTAAGGCCGAAATCTTTATAATTCGTCCAAGACTTCCGACGACTCTGCTAGACAGCCCAGGCTGTAATTAAACCGTTCGTTTTTTGTTTTCTATGAAATACTAGGGGAAGCTGGCAGAGAGTATTGAGGAAAATTAGCTAAATTTTATGCTTTTTTAGCCTCGCCTCGCCACGGCCACTCGCGTACTCCCCCACCAAGATAGCAGCGAAACGCAGGCGACGATTGGTAGGCCTTTTCAATTTAATGCTTTTGAATTTAATTATTCTTAATTTTACATTAACCTTTTTAAATAGGATTAAATGTTCGATTATATGTACATATATTTAATTTTGACAAAAATATATGTAATTTTTTATCCCTGACACTACGAAGTCCGATTATAACGCGATCGAAAACGTGAGAATTGGATTTTTTTGAAACATTTGAAACGATGAAAATGAATTTTAAGAGGTCACAAATAGCGTTAGAGAATCCTATTTTGATATTTTTTAGAAGGTATTCGCGCATTAAAAATACCTGTCGGTTGATTTACCTCAATCCTTACCGAAACAATGCAAATTCAAAAATTTTTGCTGGAACTAAATTAGGTTTCCCTAGTAATTCGTTTCTTACTATTATCTAAAAAACCACCAAGGTATATTAATATTAAAATATTTATATTTTCGCCGCCCTCAGGTTATACTTATTCGATGGACTAATGTGGACTGAGAGCACTACTTTGCCTTTCTGATTTTTTTTAGTTCACGAATTTTTCCTCGGATACCATCCCCCATTGAAACAGCAATTTAATAACGTCCACGATGTTTTTGAAACATGATTAAATTCAACCAAATTTTTCAGAATCGAACGCCTCCTCCCAGATGCGGTTGTACGAAGAGGCATCCCAACCGGTAAGTTTTAATACACTCTGTCAAATAACTATAGAATCAAGCGTTTTTTTTGCCCGTAACTTTCTTTCTATTGATCGGTTCGACTCGAAAATATTAGTGTGGCCCTTCTTTGATAGCAGAAAACTGTGTGCAAAGTCTGGAGAAGAACCGATTTGTGGAAGGTACGAATCGAAAGCTTCGTTCTGAACTTTGTCAAAAAACTATAGAATCCACATTTTCCTAAAATTCTGCCATATCAAAATTGTATTTCCTAAATGTTGCTTGTACCTCGGAATGCGCAGTTGACAGCGGGTACATAGGTGCGTTTCGTTTTCCGGGAAACAGCCAGACGGCAAAGATATGCTCTGTCGAACCGTCGACGCCACGTGTCCTTTGTTAAATGGTCAGGAAAATATCTTGAGAGCCGCGGCCAAACACTAAAGTGACCGTAGAGGACGAACGTTCGTAAATGGAGGGTAGGTTCCAATAAACAAATGTGTACCTTGGAATGCTCTTTCAGCAGGCAAAGTGACATATTTTTCCATAGTTGTTTATTGTCAGAATTTTAGAAAAATGTGGATTTCTTTGTTAAATTCAGTTTTTGGAAAATCCAGTTCTGAGCTTGGACGCCCAAACTATTCAATCAAAAGTATAGTTCTTGTGTAAAGAAATGTATGCGCGTTGGAAAAAAATGGTCGGAAAAGATAAACGGGTAGAAAAATCGGTGATTTAAAAGTGATTCTATAGTTTTTTGACAAAGTTCAGAACGAAGCTTTCGATTCGTACCTTCCACAAATCGGTTCTCCTCCAGACTTTGCACACAGTTTTCTGCTATCAAAGAAGGGCTACACTAATATTTTCGAGTCGAACCGATCAATAGAAAGAAAGTTACGGGCAAATTCATTGTTGAGGAAAGTGTAGAAAAAAGCGTTTCTAAATCAGTAAATAGAAAATTTATGGCCCAATTTAATGAACTCGCCAGCTGTTTCAGATAGAATCCAGATCAATAAATAATTGGAATTAAAAAGACACTAAATTAAATTAAAAAAAGTGAATCTTAGACCCCAAAATTCCTCCGTATTTTACCTTCAGATGCTTTTCCTTATATCTAGCTTAACCGGCTTTTTGTTTTTAAAGTATTTTGTTGCTCCTAACATTTTACTGAAACTTTTGAAACTGAAGTGCTACTATGTACAACAAATCACATTTAGGGAACCTCCCGCCAAATGGGTATAAATATGGAACATCGAGAATTTCACGGCGAGGCCAAAGGCGCATTAGTAAGAGTTTAAAAATGTCCTAAAAGATCTCTGCTAACCTGCTTGAGCTTATTTTCAGGGAAAGAGAGAGCGAGAGAGAGAGAGGAGAGAGAGAGAGAGAGAGAGAGAGAGAGAGAGAGAGCGAGAGAGAGAGAGAAAGAAAGAGAGAGAGAGAGAGTTAGAAAAAAGAGAGAAAGCTAGAGAGAGAATGAGTGAGAGGGAGGGAAAGCGAGCGAGAGAGAACTTAAGGTGAAAAGCCCAAAAAATCTTATCAAATCAAAAAATGTTTTGAATTTCGTCAAGTGGTAATTTTTTTTAAGTTTCTTATAATAGGTCTTTGAAGAGACCACGTTTAATTAATTTTCCAGGCCCTGCTCATCGAAAAGAAGCTGCTCGGCCCGATGGATGCGTTGAGCCGGGAATTTCTATTAATCCCCAACAAGCGAATCACGGCCGGTACGGCGACCAGCAGCAAACCGGAGAATTTGGCGGGTTTCTTCTTGCTGTCCTAGTCCCTTTAATTAAATTATCGAGGATCACGGGTTTAAGGAGCAATTTTTTATGTTTTAGTAGACTTATCAGCACATTTAATCAGATTGCAAGAGAGAAAACAATTTTAAAACCTTTGGAAATTTTGGAACATGGACATTTTGGTGGAAAAATCGATACTTTTGTCTTTTTAAATAGATATTTTGAAAGTTTTTACGTGCAGGAATAGCAAAATTGGATATTCAAAAAAAACTTGTCCTTCCCTGAACAATCCCCCCCCCCGATAATGCCAAAGAAACGTATCACAACTAGATTTGCCAATCTTTTGCACGTGGTGTCGTCCCACTAAAAATCAAATCGAAAATCCAATTCAATCTGAATTTATCGTATTCCTCGCCGTAACGTCCCTTTAAGAATCGTATCATGCAACCGTACTTGAAGCAGTGGCAATGTTTTTCAGGCCAATTAAGCACCCAGGTTTTTTGCTGAAACATTTTTTTGCCTCGCGACTTTTACTACTTATTTGCAGAACAAAAATCGCACGCGCTCAATTCTACCGTACGAAGACAACCGCGTCGTCCTTCAATCCCACAAAAAGAACTCCACTGGATATGTCAACGCCAGTAATGTGGAGGTAATACGATTTTTTTCTTTGCCCGGGATTAGTTAGCGAAAAAAGGTTTCAAAAATTTTTAATTCAACGCCGCGTTGGGTCTTCTTAATTTTTCCCAGGGGCCGGTAACAATTCATTCTTGTATTTATAGGTACCGCTGAACGGCCAGAAGTTGCACTACATCTTGGCCCAGGCTCCGATGAGGTTCGATTTTTGCAAAAGGGCAGGCTAGCAAATATTGTTGAGGATGAGGAGAGGGCAGCCCAGCAGAGATTTTTTCGGAATCCCGACTTGAACAGGCCTCTAAATTCAATTTTCAGGGGTACCGTCGACGATTTCTGGGCGACGATCTGGGAATCGAACGTGAACGTGGTGGTGATGTTGTGCGAGGCTACGGTAGGCGATTTCCTGGATTTTAAAGGTAGTGACAGGAGTTACTGTACGCCCCTATCACTCTCCCTCTAAAATTCTCATTTTGATTCGTTAAAATTTTGATACAAAAATCCACATTTCAACCTTTTTTTTATTTCCAGATCGAAGCCGGCCCGAACGCGCCGATCTACTGGCCCGGCAATTCCAATTCCAAGGTGGAAACCAGAGATCTGGAGGTGCGCTTCAAATCGCTGTCCGCCGCGGAGAATGAGGTAGATTTGACTATGGTTCTAAAGACCGGACAAACCCGGAATTCGCAAAATTAGGCCTGAAACCGGCCTAAAATTAGATTATCCCGCAAACGTTCTGTTCTGAAATGAAATATCTAAAAATTTCCAAAAAATTGATGCTCCACGGGGAGAGCTAGAGAGACCGAGAGGGACCGAGAGAGAGAGAGAGAGAGAGAGAGAGAGAAGGAGAGAGAGTAAGATAGAGAGAATTGTTTCTGAAAATAGGCAAAATCCGGATATCGATCAATAACCAAACAAAAATATGGGGGTGTGCATGCGAACCACCAATTAAATTAGCATGCCTAGTGGATGGAGCACCTGGGATGAAACATCTAAGAAATACCTTGAAATTCATATTTCAAACCGGCAATGAAAGACCGAGAGAGGACCCAGGATTGTTATTTTTAAAGGTGACGACCGTACTCCAATTGCGACACAAAAACGGTTCGAAGCGTACGGTCTACCATATGAGATTCGTGGGATGGCCGACCGGTGGGACGCCGAGAGAGGGGCCGTTATTAGGTAGGAATATTCCTCAACAATCTCTGCTAGCCTGCCCTCTACTCTTCCTCAACAATCTCTGCTAGCCTGCCCTCTCCTCTTCCTCAACAATCTCTGCTAGCCTGCCCTCTCCTCAACAATCTCTGCTAGCCTGCCCTCTCCTCTTCCTCAACAATCTCTGCTAGCCTGCCCTCTCCTCTTCCTCAACAATCTCTGCTAGCCTGCCCTCTCCTCTTCCTCAACAATCTCTGCTAGCCTGCCCTCTCCTCTTCCTCAACAATCTCTGCTAGCCTGCCCTCTCCTCTTCCTCAACAATCTCTGCTAGCCTGCCCTCTCCTCTTCCTCAACAATCTCTGCTAGCCTGCCCTCTCCTCTTCCTCAACAATCTCTGCTAGCCTGCCCTCTCCTCTTCCTCAACAATCTCTGCTAGCCTGCCCTCTCCTCTTCCTCAACAATCTCTGCTAGCCTGCCCTCTCCTCTTCCTCAACAATCTCTGCTAGCCTGCCCTCTCCTCTTCCTCAACAATCTCTGCTAGCCTGCCCTCTCCTCTTCCTCAACAATCTCTGCTAGCCTGCCCTCTCCTCTTCCACAACAATCTCTGCTAGCCTGCCCTAAAATACTAAAAACTCTAAAGCTTTCTTTCCAGCCTTCATGGACTCGGTCTCGGCCATGCAACGAAATGTCACCGCCCGAGATTCGTGTAAAATCAATGTTGAGCGAGCTACGGTAAGTTATGCCAATTCCCTAATAATTTTTTTATAAAAACCAGTTATAAAAATTCAGTAAATTTTAGAGCCCAGAGTCAGGCAGCCCGCTGAAACGACAAAAATCAGAGGATTTATCGATATGGAGAAGACGGCTGAACTCGCTGTCAATCATTAACATTGGCCACTCAACGAATTCGAGGTGATAATTTGGAACTAGGGCAGGTTAGGCCTATCAACATTGTTAGCGCACTGCAAACTTTCGAACTTTTTGATGACGAAACACATTTCTTCGGGCAACCGAAAGATTTATCTGCCCGAGCTCAAAAACACTTGTAGTAAAAATTTGTAAAATTTTTTAGAACTCAAACAAAATTCACTAAACTAAATCCTAGGATTAAATTTGCCCTTTAGCGAGTCATCGAGCGATTCCGGTGCCCCGCCGAGCCCTGGCAAAAATTGTGATGTGGACGAGAATTCGGGTCAGTTCGAAAGCGTATCAAATTTGTTGTATTTTAATCATACCATTTTTCATAAGCTTTTTTGTAATGGGTGGTTTTGAGCGAATTATCAAAAAATATTTAGCTCATTCCCCGCTCCTCATCCACTGCTACTCGGGCTCGCACGAGAGCGGCGTGTACCTGCTTGCCGATGTGCTCATCTACTGCGCCGAGCACAATTTGGTACGACATAAAAGATGGTCTAGATTTCTCTCCATCTTTCTCTCTCTCACGCTCTCTATCTCTCTTTCTCTTTCTCTTTCTCTCTCTCTCTCTCTCTCTCTCTCTCTCTCTCTCAAAATCTACTCTTTTAGCCGGTCGACATCCCCGGACTGCTCGGCAATCTTCGAGCCCAGCGGATGTCGTTGGTGAAAACGGTGGAGCAGTACAGGTCAGTCTTATTCGGGCAGGCTAGCAGAGATGATTGGGGAATCTGAAAGCCAAAGGCAAACGAGCAGCGACGCTTGTGGAAGACCTAAAACCTCAAGGCAAGCTAGCAGAGACGATTGGGGAATCGGCAGCCTCCAGGCGGACTAGCAGCAAACCATTAGGAAATCGGAAAGCTGAAGGCAGGCTAGCATAATCCTTTGGAAAACAAAAACGTGAGGACAGGCTAGCAGTGACGATTTTGGAAAACCAAAAATGTGAAGGCAAGCCAGCAGTCACCATTGGAAAATCCGAAATCACCGGGCAGACTAGCAGAGACCATTGAGGAATCCGAACCTCGAATTCGCTAGCAGTGACTTCTATGGAAAATCTAAAACGTCCAAGTAAGCTAGCAGAAATCATTGTGGAAAACAAAATCCGGAAGGCAGGCTAGCAGAGGCCACTGGGGAAAATCCCAAACTTCATGGCAGGCTAGCAGAGAAGCTTGAGGAATCAAAAAGCTTCAAGGCAAGCTAGCAGAGATCCATTGCCACCTTTCAGCTTTGTCTACTCCCTCCTCCACGCATACCTCAACCGCTCGCGCCTCATCTGATCATCAACAACAAGATTTTATTCCTTTCTTGCATCTTACTTGCTGTAGATACGGGTAGCAAACTGTCAAGCATATTCGCCAAGGAAGAGAGAGCGAGAGAGAGAGAGAGAGAGAGAGAGAGAGAGAGAGATGGAATAAATAGATTCATTTAAACTTCCAAAAAATACAGATCATTTCCCAAAAGCGAACGTGCTGACGTCGGCCCACGGGTCGGCCACCGGCCCGAAGTAGATCGTGTCCGGGTTGCTAGAAAAATATTTCGACCTTTTTTAACGCTTTTTTTAAAAAAAAAAAAAAAGAAAAAAAAGGGGGAACGGCCAAAATACGAAAAGGGAAAAAAATTAAAAAATTTTAAATAATTTTTTTTTAAAAAAAAAAATTTTATGTATTTTTTTTTTAAAGTTTTAAAAATTTTTTAAAAAAAAAAAAAATTTTTTAAAAAAAAATTTTTTATTTTTTTTTTAAAATTTTAAATTTTTAAAAAAAATTTTTAAGTAAAATTTTTTTAAATTATTTACTTAAAAAAAAATATTTTTGTTAATTTTTTTTTTTTTATTTAATTTTTTTTTTTTTTTTTTTTAATTGAATTTTAATTTTTATTTTAAAATAAGGGTGAAATTAAAAAAATAAAATGGTAAAAATTTTTTTAAAAAATTTTTAAAAGAAAAAAAAAAAAAAAAAAACAAAAAAAAAAAAAAAAAAAAATATTTATTAATAATATAATGATATTTTTCGACTCGAAATGGCGGTTTTTTGGCCAAAATTTCGCCTTTTTCGAAACATTTTAAAATTTGCACATAGTTTTTCTAGCTGAAATATGGTTATATTTTACTGAAGCCATTGTTAAACTACCTGCTATTAATTTACTAGGAATTTCTCGACATATAATAAGCCCGCCACCCCCCGATAATGCGAAAGATCCAATTTAACCATTTTAATTACTTAATTCATTAAAAACCAACCCCTCGCGCGTATGCGCCATTTCTCCAAACGCGCGATACGCCCCGGGCATCGCCGAGGCAGCCGAAACCAGGCAGCAAAACAGCAGCAGCAGGAACATCGGTAGCGAAGATGTCATCTGAACGGAAAGACAAGGCTTTTTGGCCCCGGAAGACCATTATACAAGTAAATTTTCAGATTAATGACAAACAAAATACGCGCCTTTTCTTTTAAGCCGAAAATGTGATCGCCAACTTTGCAAAAAGTAACTTACAAGTTTTTTAGGGGCCTACTGCCGGGTTCCGGGCTTGATTCAGGGGAGAGAAATTAGAAAAAAATCGAAAATCACAGAAAACCCCGAATGGAGATCCACGAAAAATTACATCTCAAGCGAAAAGAACTGTTTAGAAAACTTCGAAAACTATTTCCATACTTGAAAATACTGTCGAAAAATAGATCTTGTTGTAGCTTTTGATAACAATTTGCAGTTTCACGCTTACGTAATCTTTTACTTACTACTTAGTTAGACTTGCAGGTATTGGACTGTTAGCGGGGGGAAGGTCTAGAAAAGGAACTAAGCTTTATTCTCCGTAAATACCTACCTGTTAATAATTATTTTTATGCTATTTTTAGTGGTTTTTGATTGCTAGAAAGGTATAAGAAATATTTGGAAAAGTAGGGAAAATTCGAAATGTTGACCTTCTGACCATTTCTCAAGCATTTTTGACCAAAAAGGCAAAATTTTTCGAACGTTTATAATTTTTTAAATTTTCCAATCTAAAAACCATAGCAAATGCAAAAAAATGGTTCATGCTTAATTATAGTGCCGTAGAGAATCACTGGGGCAAATTTGGCTCCCCCGCTAACAACCCGGTACCGGTTCAAACAGCATAAGTTACGTAAGGATTTCGAAGCTAGGTACGAGCAACCCGCCAGGCATATTTCCCTGCCCCTTTGGCGGAGAGAGAGCGAGTAATTGAATCTTCGTTTGAAGCGACCCTAATTGTTGAGTGGGGGCTTGTCGTATGGAGAGGAAGCCGATCAACATCAAGTATCCCACGTTTTTCACAATCACGCTAACCACCAAAAAAGCACTTCAAAAACGGCCGCCGCCAGCACGCGATTACTGCCTGAAATCGACGTTTCGTACGACTTTAATTTCCCAAACTGGCCCCATAAATCATTCATAGCCATGGCGTGTGGTGGCTCATTATCGGGGAGCAACTTTCTTGTATGTCTAGTCTAGGAATATCTAGTGAATTAATAGAAAGTACTTTAATAGTTTTTTGTAAAATATAACTACATTTGAACTACAAAAACCATAAAAAGTAGCTTTGAAACAAGTGCACTTTTCATATTTGAAAAATTTCACCCTATTAAAAAACTGGTGCCCCTGACAATGCGAAAGCACCACCATTTTAATCAGGTATCAAATGTGCGTACAGCATCCTAATTTTTCGCAAATTATCGACTTTTTGGTGGAAGAATTTATGAAAAAAGGCCGAAAATTCTAGAATCTAACAAGTTTTTAACTTTGAAGTATTCCGAAACTACTGAAAACGCTAAAAATGCTCTTTTTTTTACTACAGCGGTTAGGCGGAATCAAAAGGCCAGCAAAACCAAAGCGGAAAAGTCCCCGCAAAACCCGATGTTGACCAGCGAACATGCGAAAGATTTATTCTTAAACAACATACATTGCCAATTTCCATAAACAAAATACATAAATACGTAAATAGTTAAGCTTTTATTCTCGTGCGGCCGACCCCGAGTCAGCCGTCGGGATCGGAGCCCCCGGCAGCCAGCCTCGGCAATTCTTCGTCCCGCACCTAAAAAATAGATTAATAAGGTTTAAGCGGGAAATCGATTAACAAAATTTGAAAAACTCACAGGCACCTCACAGTGCACTTTGTCCGTTTGTCGGTGTCTGACACGAATGCTGCCGTCAGCTCTTCCCCTGAAATTAGGTAATTCAGTGAAATACCAAAGACAGTCAAAGCTTGTGCATTATCGGGGGGTGACCTTTTCCCGTGAGACCAAACATTTTCATAGCATTTTTAGTAAAATTTGAACATAAATCAAGAAGACTTATGTAAACGACTGCAAGTTTTTGAACTGGAATTTTTTATGCAAAATTATATTTATGGTATTTTTAATATAGGCTTTAATCAAACGTATCAGATTTTACGTGCAGGAATAGTAAAAAAAGCGTAGAAACAGTGCTAGAAAACCAAAATGTCAGAAAAAAAAGGTCTCCACCGATAATGCAAAAGTACCAACGACACACCGGCTTCAATGTTCCTCAGGGCGAAGAAGGCCATCTTCACGTTGTAGTTGCCGTGGTGGCTCCAGATAACGGGGCGGGTGCTGACGTTTGGGTCGCACGAGTGGTTGATGAATCTAAAACAGGGATTTACTTATAAATCCCAAATTAAAACCTTGTGATGTTGCCAAAGTGCTGCGAGTCGATCACCAACGGGCCTTTCCCGAGCACCTCGTGTGTTCCAGTAAGGTTGTGCTGGTAGATCGTCCGGCGGCTGGGGTGGTCTGCTTCCTCGGAGGTCAGCACCTGGAACAGCAACTCAGTATTGGGTCCTTTGACATTATTGGAGAGGGGGGGAACCAAAATCACAAAACCAATTTCTAGAAATTTTAACAGTGTCTTCTTTCTTTAACAAAAATTAGATTAACACAGTTTCTTTAATGAAAATTCTAGAACTAATAACAAGCATTTTAACAGTGTTTTTAGTAAAATAAAAATATATTTCAACCAACAAAGCTATCTAAAAACCACGAAACAAATTTCAAAAAGCCAAATTTTGGTCGAAAAATCGATATTGTTTTGGACTTCTTAATCACAATTTTCAGTTTCACGTATAATAATAGTAAAAACAGCCTAGAAACAACTCCGCTATTTGGAACCATATTTGCCAAAAGGATCCTAAGAAAAAAATTGGTCCCCCCGATAATGCGAAAGAACCGGTGCTCCACTACCACAAAATCAACGCACCTCGCCCACGTATTCGCCTACATACGCGTTTTTTGGGATGTCGAAGGGAGTTCGCACGCCATAACCCTTCGCTCCTTCGTGGAATAGGATGAGCGGGATCGGCGGTCCATCCTAAAAATGAACGTTATAAAATGCAATTAGAACCGAAAGACCCACCTCGGTCAGCACGCGTTGATCGCAACCATCTGGACAGCAATCGGATGTACATTGCTGAATGGCATCACCACTGGTTCGCAGAATGCGGTAGACGCGGTCGACGCAACGGGGCTTGAATCCGGAACCTCTCATCCTCTAGAAAAGACCGACGTTACTTTAGCATTATTAGGGGGCAACTTTTTCCTAAATAGAGGTGCTATTTCGAAGCGGTTTTTCCTATTACGATAATGCAGAGGAGCCAAATAGACTAAAGGAAATTATCCAAATTTTCAAAATCGCTGTGTGGCAAAAGAAGAAAAATTGTATCAATTCAAGCTGACCCTTGATCCGTCGTCGATGAAACATTCGCAATAGGTATGGTGGTCGACACCAGTCAACTTCTCGAGAGCGGCTGTAGCCCCGGCCGAGTAGACGTTCGCCGTAATATACTACATATCAAAAACATTGAACGCAGGCAGTAATAAAACATACATGAAATGGACCGGGCGGAACGAAGGGCACGTTCGTCTTCGTCCAATTCTCGACCCACACTGGGGGATGGGCGGCTGCGGAGAGGACTTCATTGTACGTTTTTTCCAAGTGGAGCATTTTCCAGGTCTTCCGCGACTCGGGCGTGTCCAGTCCTCTACCAATCATATCGTACGTGAATTCAAACCGTCGGCAGCTAAAACAGAGTTGACGAAAATCGCGAATGCTAACCTGGCTTTTTGGTCCTTGGTGAGGTGTTTTACGACTTGATCAAGCGCCTTGTTTCGTTCCGTGTATTGCATCGACTGAAGCGAGGAGTCAACACGTGTGCACAAACACGGTGGCGCTTACCAGGTCTGGTGCCGTGTCGACGACGTCGCTTTTCAGCTGCCAGGTTGCTTCATTGGGTCCCCAGTGCTTCCAAAGAAGAAGGTAATGCGGAGTCCCGGCTGGGTCTTTGGCCATTGCGATGATTTGCTCGACCTGTAAGAAATAACCATAAAAATTGCTCAGTTTGGGGATTAGAGCTCGAGGCACGCAACAAGGCAACGACGCTGTTCACCGATGCTCACCAAACATTGTTAGCGGGCACAAGCTGTCTATCCCACACCCTACCAGAAAGATTGGAACCTAGGAAATTTTTGAACCGTGTAGCTTCATTTTACAGCCTTTTGTAGCGTCCGCGATTAAAAAATTTTGCTCAAGGTTTTTTTTTGCGAAATTCACGGTTTCGGAAAATTTATGAGATTTCAATACTAGAAAACATCGTCACAAGCCAAAAATCTTGTATTCGGCACTCTGCAGGTCGATTGGCCTAGCTACGCCCACGCGATCAGTCCAGTGCCACAAAAATGCCCAAACAATCACCTCGTATTCGTTCCGCTCGGATCCGCCGTCACTTCCGGCCTTGAAATTCGAGTACCGAACCGCTTGTCGCTGGCGATGTGCCGTTTGGCCAGCGTCCTTCAGTGACACCCACGGCTTCCGCACGAGGCCGGCGGGCACGATCTTGTCGTCTTCCGGCAGCTTCCATTCCGACGAATCTTCGTCCCCTCCGAGATCGATTCCCCTAAAAAGAAAACTTCAAAACAGCGGAGCACACCATACTTCAAAAAATCTTCACGGCGATCGCGTCTGCCTGCCAAGAAATAAGCCGCCTTTCGTTTCGGGACTTCTCCTTCAGCAGCTCCCGTGGCGGACGATCGTTTGTTCGTCTGAAAAGCGTTTAAAAAACCTGGGAGCATTTACCTTTTTCTTTCTCTCAGAAGCCGGGCCCTTGCTGGCCGAAGCTCTTAGAGCCGCATCGTTTCCAGCGTTTGTCGATCGCTTTCGGGGTGTTCCTGCAGCAGATTCCGCAGTGGACGGTCGCTTGACCCCCTGGAAAAACCATGAATTAGAGTGCAAAAATGGCGGTTGTTTAGGATCGCAACATCTTTCGGGGAAAGCCTAGACTTTTTATATAATCAGCGGATGCGTTTTTCACTGTTTTCAATTACTCCTGAGCATACATACAAACGTTACAAATTTTAATTTTAGGTGATTTTCTTTTTCAACTTTTTAAAACGTTTTTCGACTTTAATTTTAGTAAAAAGGTGCCAAAAACTATATAAAACACTAGAGCTATATGCACACCTAGGCCAACCACGACCACTAGAAATGAAAACCTCCGCATATCAATTTAAAAACAAAAACAGAGCCGTTTTTACCTTGCTGATGAAATCCGGGCCATTGGTGGTCGAAGCACTTGCCGTAGAGCGGTTGGCCATGTTTCGTATGCTGGGGAAAACAGCAGCGCGGTCGACAGGCCTAAAAGTGACTTGGGAAAAGTTTAAAAAAATATTACTTGATAGCGTTCTTGTTGTTTTCGTTCTGCAACGCATTCAATACCTTCCTCGGCGTGGCCGTCTCGAGTTCGAGGCCGGGCCGCATTGTCCCAATCTCTAAAGACAGGTTATGGAAGGCAAAAGGAAAGCATTGAAAAAGGATTGACTATGGAAACAAGTAATAACAGCAAGGCCGCACCAAAAAAGAAGCCTAGATATTCGACCTAAACTAAATAGGACTATCGGTACTATTCAAGTTCGGGGGGCAAAATTTTTTTGGGTCATTTTCAGCCATTCTTCTTAGTTTTTCTTTTCGCTTAGGCGTAGCTTAGCTTAGTACTGGCTTAGTTTAGGCTCAGGCTTAGCTTCTGGGCGGGGCGAAGTACCCTCGCCTTAGCTTAGTTTTTCTTAGCTTCGCTGTTTTTAGCTTCGGTTTAGCTCTGTTCAAGCTCGATTTAGCTGAGCTTCGGCTAAGCTTAGCTTAGAAGTAGAGCGTATTGCTTGATTGGCCGCGAAAAACTGAACAAGTAGCCCAAAAATCACCTCGAAAAAAATTTTGCCCCCCCCCCTAAATTGAATAGTACCGGACTATCAAAAGAATAATAATTTTTACACAAAAAAATTTCCTTTCTTGTAAGAGTCAAATAATTAATTTTTTCAAAAATTTTGCATTTTGTGGAGTAAAGAGAAAAATTAGTGAAAGGCGGATTTGCTCAACTTTAGGCAACCGTAACAGCGGAAAAACTGTACGTGCGCATACACATTACGGATTTCTACAAATGGTCCCGCCGCGATCCGAGTTGACCTCGGCCTAAATGGATTTTATTCCCTCATTATTTCTTTTATTCGTTCCTCAAGGAAAACTATAAGGTTCGTGCTTTTTGCTAAATTTTTTTTTCTTTTTGGATTATTCTTCGGCACTTCCTGATTTCTTGTTATATCTATCTACCTTTCGGTCTAATCATTGATCCTTCTTGTCACCTTGATGAGCCGATTTTTCCCATAATTTCTCACGGTTTGTAAGCTTTCAAATTTGAGTGGAAAGCCACCTAGTGTAGAGGAGTCCTTATTTTTCCTTTTCCCTCGTAATATAGCTTCATTCCAGAGAAGGAGACAATGAGTTATCGCGACCGCGGTTCGGCCGGAAACAAGGACGACTGGAGCTCGAGGAGTGAGAACCGCCTTGGAAACTTATCTTCGTTTAGGCAGCCGGGATGACCGCGGAGGTTCGAGCGGCTACAGGAGTGGAGGCGGTGGCTACGGCGGCGGCGGTTACGGAGGCGGTGGCTACGGCGGCAGCAGCGGTGGCGGCGGCTACGGAGGCGGCGGCGGCTATCGTGGTGGCCGTGGAGGAGCAGGCGGCGGTGGCGGCTTTCGAGGCGGTCGTGGTGGAGGTCGCGGAGGTGCTGCAGCATGGGGCCGCCCTGTTACCGTTGCGGAGGTGAGCCACTGCCCTTTCGCCATGAATTTGTGTTTGGCTCGGGTGTGTTGACCGAATTACTTTTTTTTAGCCCGACATCGCAGCCCTCAATGAAGGAGAAGTCACCACCAACGACTTCTTGATCGATCTCAAAAACGCGATCCCGACTGTATACAAGTATCAAGTCGACTGCTTCTGCATCGTCAAGGACAAGAACGGCGACGACAAGTCAATTGACATGAACGTGCAGCCGAAGAATCCGGTCACGGCCAATCGCCGACGTGCCGCTCTCAATAGCGTGATGCGCACCTATCTTTCAAGGTAATCTTATTCGTTTCTCCCGAAATGTTCCATCTAGGCTGGAGCTTTCTCGTCAGTGCGTCTACGATTTTGCCTCTACGCTCTACACTCCCAGCGAAGCTCTCAACGGCAAGACCTACACTCTTACTCGTGACGATGTGCCGGAGAAGCACCGCGGAGCCTTCGAGCGCGGTCACTTCGAGACTCTGAACTTCCGCTTCGAACTGACGAAAGCTCTCAAGTTGTCCCCAGACGCTCGCGATGACCAACAAAACACGCAGGAAGTCGCCACCTTTCTGGACGTGCTCACTTCGGCCCAGCTTTATCGAAAGTAAGGTTCAGCTTTCTCACTAGTTACTTATTATTTTTAGCCAAGATTTCGTACTGATCAAGGGCGTCAACTTCCCGCGGTCGTCGCGGGGCGGCCTGGTGACGGAACTCCCACAGGGCCTGACGGTTCGCAAGGGTTTCGAAAAAACTGTCAAATTCTGCAAGGATAGGCAGGGAAAGCCGGCCTACGCTCTGAACTTGTGCGGTAAGGTGCCTCTAGTTGCCGATTACGTGGTTTTATAGTTCGCACCAAGCCGTTGTACAAATCGGGAGATTTGGTAGAATTCCTCTGCCAACGTCTCAACGTGCGTGACCCGCGCCAACTTCGTGATGAGCTTCGGCGGAACCCGAAGGCCGGTGACGTGGCCAGAAGTATGATCCTTTCCCGTTTTGCTTTAATATTTTTTCATAGATATCATCGTCTCGACGCGTCATCTCTCCGTTCAGATAGATTTGGTGATCTTCAAACTGACCGACGTCGATGCGGAGTATTGTGATACTGGCTGCTGAGATTTCGTTTGCAGGAATCTCGCCATAGACGACATGAACAAGACTGTCTTCCAATACTACCAGGACAAGTACAACATGACGCTCAGCTACCCAAACCTGCCGCTAGTTGTCCATAAGAAGGGAAAGATCTTCAATTACTACCCCATGGAGGTTGGTTTTGGATCCCGTGCCTTGAAATTTTTTACTTTTTAGCTCCTCGAGGTTCGCATGGAACAGAGCGTCCCGGTGGGCAAGCTGGGCAATCAGCAGTCGCAAGTTGTGGACTTGACCCGTTTGAAGCCGAACGAGCACATCGCCGACATCTCTCTGCTCTTTCCGCTGGCTGCCCTGACACAGTGAGTGCTCCTTTGCCAATCAAGCTTTCTTTAGGGACAATGAATACCTTCGACACTTCGGCGTTCGCGTTGAAGATAGGCCGAAAGAAGTCGTCGCCATCCAGTTGACACGTCCTGCTCTTGTCTTTGGCTCCAAGGTATGAAAATTGTAATCATGTATTAGCGCGGGTTTCCTTTGGGTTCGGATTCATTCCTATCATTTTTAGACGTTCCACCCCGACGATGACCGCAGCCCGAACGACATGGACTGGAATGGAACTTTCGGACAGCGCTACTTCAAGGCCGCCAAGGTTCCGCCGACGGTGATCGTCAACTACAACAGGGCCGCTCGCAACGAACATGACATCCGTCAAGCCATCGGCAAGCTCGCCTCTTCAGCTGCCGAGCATGGCCTGACCAAGACCGAATATTTGGAGCGGGTAATTTTCAAAACTTTACCAATTTTGAGATTTAGGCCCGCATCGTTGAATGGCGGTCGATGGGCGACCGCGACATCAAGGAGGAGGTTGAACGCCTTCATCGCGACGGCATCGGCTTCATTCTCTTCATCGGAGCTCAGAAAAAGACGGATGCCGAGGGCCATGGTTTAGCTTCTAATTGTTGGATATATGAATTTCGCTTTTAGATATGGTCAAGTATGCCGAGCACGTTGGGGGCATCCCGACGCAACATCTCGCCACGCAGACCATCGGCATTGGCGGCAAGCCTATGGGAGCCCAGACGGTGCAGAACATCCTGCTGAAGATGAACCAAAAGCTCGGAGGGATCAATTACAACATCGACGTCCCCAAGAGCATCAAATCAAAGTAAGCTTTTCACTCCCGGTCAATCACGCTTGTAGGACGCCGTCAATCTACGAGGATACGATGTTCATCGGCATCAACATCTCGAACGCTGGTCCGCAAATGCTTGACAATGCTGGAAAGCCTGGCGCTGTTGGGGTTTGTTTCTTGATTCTGCCTTTCATGTGCTTTAGCTGGCTTGGACCACCACTTGCCCGACCGCTCTCCGAGGACATTGGTTCTACCAGGCTGGCCGTGTCTCTAACCTCCAGTAAGCGCTTTCCTTCGCTGAAATCTATTCATTTTAGATGTGCTGTGCAATACTTTGCCGGCGCCCTCAAGAACTACCGCGAGGAGACCGGCAGGGCCCCGAATTCTATCGTCGTCCTCCGCGCTGGACTGCCGGACACCGGCGCTGACAACGTTGTCGACGTCGAGATGGCCCATCTTCACGATGCAATGGCCCTGGCTGAGATGCGCATGGCCAATGTTTACTACATCAACGTGCAAGCCCACACCAATGTTCGGTAAATCCATGACATCTTTGTTTGCAGCCTTCCATTTAGGCTTTTCCGTCAAAACGTCGCTGAGCACGGTCGCCCCATCGACAACAACGTCGTCTCGGGCACGATGGTCTCGGAAGGCCTGACTGACCCATCACTGATTGAGGCTGTGCTCACTCCGCAACGCGGCCAAATTGTGAGACTTCCTGTTTTGATTTGTATATTGCTGATTTAGGGCACTTCTCGTGTCACTCGAGTCACCCTCGTCTTCAAGTCAGCCGATGCCCCGGAATGGACTAGCCAGAAGCTGGGTTCGATTGTCAACGCGATGGCCAATGCTCACGGCGTTTCGATGTGCCCAACCGGTCTTCCCGAGCCGCTGCTCTCTGCCAGCAACCTGGCTCGTCGTGGTCAGGAGATGATCCAGCACCGGTGAGTTCGTTGCTTTGATTTTATCTTTACTAATGGTACTCGCAGCGCGGTTTCACTAGACACTCAAATTTTGGCCTTAATTTCTGATAACATTTCCTTTTCAGCAACGTGTCTGGTGGCAAGCAACTCGACGAGAGCACCGTGTCCGACGACCCCTACGTCTCGCAGCTGAACGAAGAATTCGGCGGTCGCATCTTCAAGGGCCAGCAGCATTGGGCCTAGATAATTGCATGATGTTAGTAATTTTAATTACTCGTTAAAATCTTATGCACTGGGCTATGTATAAAAAAAGTTATTCATTTGTTTGGATTTATCCGGTTTATGCTTGATGCATTGAATAAATACGTTAGTTGACTTTGTTGGAGCAGCACTGGAAGCGACCGGTTGGGGGTACGAATTGTTGTCTCTTCTCACTAGCCATGTTTGTTTGGTCACGAAGCCCCTCCTGGGTCGGTTGCGCTACGATTTGGGGGGTGAAAGGCCTCGGCGTGGTTGCATTACAGTTGGGCGGTGCGCGGGTTATTGGCCGTCCAGAGTGTTGACATTTCTAGTTGTGCTTCTCGTTCTACGTTCCCCTTTCTGAAATTTCGGTACTATTCTTGTTGTTTTTCGGAATCCGTACAATGTTTGGATCGGACTAACTGGGGCACGCTTGGTTTCCTCAATTCCAAAAGATTTTGTACCTACCTGAATTTGCGCTTCCCCTACGAATTTCGCACCCTATTTGCGCCCCTGTTTTGCGGGTTTTCATTGAAACGGGGCCGGGCGTCTCCGGCTCCCGCACACACAAATCGTCCCCTACATATGGTCTGTGTTTGGTGGCGGGTGAAGGGCGGGTAAGACCGAGAATCGCCCCCCCGCACCTCGAGCCCATTTCACTTTTGCGTGTCCCCGATTCCCATAGCTAAATGCTCTGCGCGCACTGCTCATTGCGCGTTTTCGGTGAAATCGGAGCCGCCGGATGAATTCGGCTGGTGGCTTTTCTGGGGCGTTGCCGAGCTTTCATCTTGCCTTTTTTAAAGTTTCGGCCGGATTCTATCTTATTTTCAGTTTCTTCTTATTCTTTTTCTTATTCTTTATTTTCTATCTTTCCTGCTTGTAGAGTGATTTTGCCCGGTCCAGATGTTTTTCGCCACCTAGCGCCCCTCTCCGGAAATTGAATTCCGGCCCTTGACCATCCATCTTTTTGCACAGCAGGTAGCCGAGTGGATGGCGGGGATTGACAGCTGAAAGCGGCCCAGCATTGGCTGGCCGGTCAGCGCTTGGGCTTGCTCTATTTGCTGGGATTTTAGCAGGAACAATTCTAATTTGAGGACCAGTTAGATATCTAACGAACCCGATTTTAGCATTTTTAGCCTCCGTTTTCTAAGATTTTCGGCGAACATCATGTTCTTCGTCTGTCTGCTGTTTTGAAAATTTGCCCTTTTGCATTTTTCACTTTTCTGACCAAATTTTTGATTTTCGAAAAGTTAGTTAAAAAGTTTTTATGAACTTTTTATAGCTAAAAACTGTGTAAAATTCTATTAGCCTGATTTATATTTTGTTATAAGACCGAACAGGTTTACTAGATTTTTAGTTTTCCCCTGCCGAATTTCTAGACATTGAGCTTCGCCTTCATTTCCGGCTAGGCATAAAGCTAGCAACGCCGCAAAGGTCCCCTGGGGGCCCCCAGCTAATCCGGATGGCCGCCGACAAGTGCTACAACTAGTTCTTTCAGGCATTGGCCAATTCCATATGCAGAGACGGCCAGCGATTCGCGGGGTGGGAACGCGCAGTGGCTTATCCAATTTTTCTCCATCGCCAGTCGCTTTTTTCGTGTCGGGAGCATTTGGGGGGAATTGACGTTCCGCATGACACCCCCGTCCTCCCCGGGGGGATCCCCCGCGTTTATTTTGGCTTTTATGTGGCTAGACTGGCCGATCTGATATCAAGGGGCTTCGGGGGCTAACGGTAGGCTTTTTCAGGTGCTGCCGCATTGTGAAGGGAAGTAGATTGAGGTAGATAATTTTTGTCCTTTTCGAGAGTGGCTTTGTGTTTTGCCAGCTTTTAAATATAGCTTTTTCTGTTATTTCCCCCCGCATCGAGCCTGAGATTTCTATAGCTCTTTGTTTTAAACTTGTTTTTGACAAGAGGTCTCACAGGCATCATATTTTTTTATGACCAAGATGAAATCTAAAGATGCGGAAACTGTCTATTAACTTGTAATCGGATATTTCTAGCGTTATTTGAGAAAGGTTAGAGCCAGTTTTCGATTTTGCCTGCTGGGTGGCCGGTTTCTTCATACAGTTTTTTAAAAAATATCGTCTTTTAACTTTTTTCCAGTTTCTGTTTCTAGACTGTTCTTTTAAATAATTAGCACTGTAAGAACCATTCTTTTCAAATTTTTGATTACGTTTCAAGTTTCGTACATGGTTGATTAACTTTTCGCCAGCATTTTTTAAGCTTTATGCAAGAAATTTTAAGCCAATTTTGAGATTTTGTCGGCTAGTTGGTCCATCAAAGTTCTGATTGGCCGGTGGCTGGTAAGGGCGGCTTAGCGCCAGCCAGTTGGCGGCCCGTCCGGTAGGATGCATAGATTATGGCCAGGATTTCCACCGAGCCCCCTGGGCAGATGTTTTTTAGCCATCTGCACGTAGCCAGGCAGCGCCCTCGAACTGTCAATGATAAGCTATCAGGGCATTAATGGAAGGCTTTTCTCACCGATTTGAGAAACAAAAATTGAAACGGTTGTATTTCTAAAAAAACAATCATGATAGTTTTATGTTTCTAAATGCATATTTTATAGTAAAAAGCGCGTGAATATCCGAAAATCACATAAAGAAACTGGCAATTGGACCAAAAGGCTTCCTGCTTTGATCAGTTCTATAAACTAAAGCAAAACTCCGATATGCAAATATAACAGCAAGATTTCTATAAGCGAAAACCAAGGGTTGCGTATTACACGATTTCCGTTTGCGGCGCAACACTCCCCAACTTTTGTTTGGTCATGGATAGTTTCCAGTTACGCAGATTGTAATAAAACCTATTAGCGATAATTTATTATTATATTATTATGGCTTTTTGGTTGTGTTGCTGTCTCGCAACGCTTTCCATTCCCGTCCTTTTTATGATATAGTAGGCCCATTGGCCTGTGAAAAGTTAAATGCGACCCATTTTCGCATCGATGCAAAAATTGCACTGTTGACTTTATTATGATTTGAAAACAAGTGCTTTCAAAGTTACCCAAAAAGGGCGGGAAACTAAAGTGCAATATCTACGCACGCTGACCTACGCTTTTCATATTTTTCGCCCCCACCAAGAGACTTTATGATGGATTCCATTTGTAAAATGATCCGTTACGGTTAATTAAAAACTAAAGCATTATTCTTTTAATTTGTCCGATTCTTCCATTAATGTCCGAAAAATTCATTGCTGACCCCGCAGGGCAGTTCCCAAGTCCGAGCAGATGTTGAAAAATCCTGGCCAGAAAAATCCTGGCCATAATCTCTGCGCCCCGTCCGGTAATCCCGTGTGTGCGTTGGGTTGGGGAGGCGGCAAATTAGAGCCCCCGGGCTATATGCCACCCCGCTGCCCACTTTCAATCCCTAACACCGCTAACACCCCCCTGGTTGGCCAGACCCAAAAGCCCAATTTGTCGTCGTCGATGCTTCTGCCCCGAATGGGACCGCTAATTTCGGGGAGTCTGGGATGTGGGGAGATTGATGAGGGTTCGATTGGGGTTGCTTTTGCGATTTTGGCTCCTAAAGGATTTTTGCTAGACTGCCATACCTATGTTTATTCCATTTCCGCAATGAAATCTGCTAGCTTGTCCCTTCTGTTTGTAATTTTTCCCTTTCCTCATCAATCTCTGCTAGCGTGCTCTTGCCTTTTTCTGAATTATGCTACTTCCTCAGCGATTTCTGCCATCATCTTCCTCAACAATCTCCGCTAGCCTGCTAAATTCCGAAAGAATCTCTACTAGAGTTTCAAAGAATTTCGGCACTAGGCTATTAACGGGGGGGAAGCGGTCTAGCCTATGTCTATCTAGAAAAACTTTGAAGCGTTTTCTAAGTTCTTTTGCTGTTTTGATTGCTAAAAACAAAAACACACTTTATAAAATCTTCGAGGTTTGAACTTTTTGGCTATTTTCATGTGGATTTGCCCAAAATAAAACTTTTTGTGAATTTTTCCACTTATAAACGGCGTAACAAGTTAAAAAATGGGGCGCTCCCTAACAATCCCTGCGAGCCTGCCTAGATTTTTTAATTTTCAAAGAATCCCAGCTAGCTCGCCCCGACCCGGGTATATTTTCGCCTCAATTTCTAGCACCGGCCCGGCTTTTGCTAACCAAAAGGGGGTTGAGCGAACAATGGGGTTCTGTGTGTGCCATGGGGGCTTTTTACAGCCACCTTTTCACAAAATAGCCTTCCCCCTTCCCCCAGGCCAAGCCGGGAATTATGCAGCCGGCGCGCGTATATTTTTCGCCCCGTATTGCCCGGTGATACTCAGATTTTTCGTGGAAATAGAGTGCTTATTGTTGGAATTGATCGTTTACGCTTTGTCGCGATGTTTTTGGTAAGGAATTGTAGCAGGTAAATGATAAATTGTGGAAAAAATGATGTGTTTCTTCGAATCGGATTAGAATTTTTGGCATTGGTAGAGTAAGCCTACACCTAAGCATACATCAGGAATTTGGTTCTCGGTTATCATCATTTATTAATTCAGTACTTTAATTCGAAGATAGGGAGGTGAGGCCATCGGTTGGAGCAAATTCCCGCTGCCATATTTAACGAGTGTCCTAGAAAAACCTAAATATACTTTTTAAATATTTACGATTTTGCTAGAAAAGCTAATGTTCATTTTCCTATCGGGTCTCTTGGTTAAAAATATATCTAATGGATTTTTTTTAATGTTTGTAGTAGTATTTGATCGCTAGGAAATTTTGAAAAGATTCCAAATTTCTTGAAAATTTGACAGTTCCCACATTCTTGACCAAAATTAAAAAATTCCGGATTTTTTAGCATTATGTAGGTGCCTTTTATAGCTAAAACTATGAAAGATGCTAGAAAAATGGTTTAATTTCTTTTAGGACCGTACGGGATTATTGGGTAAAATCTAAGTCTGCCTCCCCCTGTTAACAATCAAGCAGGCCTGGGAATGGGCCGGCCCGGGCCGCAGCCAATTTTCGGCCCGTGGCCCGGGCCGGCCCGGGCCGGCCCGGGCCGGCCCGACATTTTGGGTACATTTTTACCAAACCAGTATATACCATCCCTTAATTTTTCCGGAGTCACAAAAACGTGTTAGATCAAGTTTGTTAATTGTCTATAGGCTTGCACAACCGATTTAGGTATAGTATGTAACGAGAATTTATTCATAAAGCAGCATACAACCAGTACATCTTTAGTTCAATAGAAAAAAGTCTGTTTTACTTGGTGGAGTTCAATTTCTTTGACGCCCACGTGTAGTTTGAACGCTAATACACTTAATAAGGCTAACAAGGCATATTCCCAGCATTTCTGAACATTTCCGGCCCAAAAAAGCAAAAAGCAAAAGATTGACCTCGGCCGGGATCGAACCCGGGTCGTTTTCCTGATAAATCAAAGTTAAGCCAAAACTCAGATTTTTTTACTTTTAACTGTTTAAACAGATGATTGAAGTTGAATATCAATAAGGAAAACTTATAATGTAATTAAATTACCTCATTTAAACTCAATATAACTTATTGGCAAGGTGGCGGGCCGGCCCGGGCCGGCCCTCCATATTTGACGGGCCGGCCCGGGCCGGCCCGCCAGCCTAAAATCCCGAAAATCTCGGCCCTGGCCCGGCCCGGCCCGGGCCGGCCCGGGCCGGCCCGCCAAATTCCCAGGCCTGCAATCAAGTACCGTTTCTAGGAATCAATTTTCGACGAATTTCAAGGAATTAAAGTAATTAAACAAAACAATAAATTCGTTCTTTACCCGATATTCGGCTATATTTCTAAGACCACTGTCGCTAGAAAACTAATTCCGCCCAAAATTGCTTTAATTAAAGGGGGCGGCGCGGAATTTATGGTGGCCGGCGCACGGTATATTGGATCGGGTTGGCGGCGGGGGGTTTTAAAGTATGCATGGGAGGTTGTGCCTTCCGGACCGCTGCTTCTTCCTCTTCTTGCCCTCCTCCTCCTGCTCCTTTGCTTCGACCAGGGCTAGCAACCCGTAATTACCACCAGCTAGCCGGGGGGTTGGAGTACGTTGCACTGCAATGCACGGATTCGTTAGGGTGGGATTCTGTGAAGGCTACCCGTAATTAACGCCATTTTGCACTTTTCACCTCCCCTGTAAATGAGGGCAGATTTAAATTTGATGCTGTTGTGTTAATTTAATCTCTACTGTAATATAGTGTTTATAAAAATCATGTGATTTATATAAAAGTGGCTATGTTTCAAGTGGAAAGGTTTTCCCGAAATATTACTTTGGGTTCTTTCGCATTATCGGGGGCGGCTAATTTCTTTCCTATGAATCGAGAAGTTACAAGAAATTGCTATTAACGTATATTAATGTTTTATGCGTGCTTTTCGTAATATTTTACTAATTTCCGGTGGAAAACCGATCTACAAAACTTCGGAATTTTTCATTTAAGAGATTTTTAGAAAGGAAAGGCTTTTTTCCGTTTTTTTGAGCAAGACTTGCAAAAATTTTGCGCTTATGAATAGTAAAAATAGTTTCGAAACACTTCCTCTATTTATCTTAGCAAAAATTTGTAATTTTTAGGCAAAGAATTCCGCATTTAATTTTTCAAGCCTTGAAATTTAAATGTTTCGCTCTTGCTTGCTAAAGAGCTTGCTAAGATAGCTAGGTTCGAAATAATTGTACGATTGCACTAGCTGTATCACATTTCCAATAGGCTCAAATGAAGGGACGTGTAAGTTAAAGTTAAACACTTTGGTTAAAGTAGGCTTGAACTTAAATCATTTATGATATAACTTTTGTTGAGGCAAATCGCTAATTTCTGGAATATTTCGGACCTTATTTCACTTTTGTAATCGCGAGATATACCGCAGCTTTATGGCGATCCTTATCCGAGGTAGGCCGTGATTGAACTACGAAATTATTTTGTTTTAGGGGTCACATTTTGTTGCAACACATTTTCAAAAGCGTCTTTCAGTTCTCGACGTTTTCTGATTACCAATTTAGTATCATCTATGAGAGCTATTTTTAGTACTTCGCCCGAAGATGTGATGGTGGCCGCCGAGCCGCTGAAGCCGCCGCCGAAAAAGCACAAACCGCCGCTGAATACTGTATTCTACCTGGAGCTGATTTTTGTGAGTCTACCGACCACTTTTAAAAAACCGAAAAATTTGGATTAGCATAATATTTTTGAAACATCGGATTTCTCCAATAGTTTTTAGCCTCTAGCTAACCAAATAAACCTAATTTCTCTAAAGGGACGGGTTAGGATGAAGCCAAATTCTATTTGATTCCGATTCCGCGAGCTGTTTATTCCACGACTAATCGATTCGAACGACAAAACCGAACAATTTTTTAAACTTCGTGAAAATCGAGATTACTAAAAACAGGTTTCGATAACCAATTTTATACTGATTAATAAAAATAATCAATTTAGGTGGTGCTCGGGCTGGTGCTCGGCTCTTTGGCGCTGCTCATCTCAAGACCCCCACTTTTTCTATGGCTACCATCGGTGTTTTTGCTGCTCGGCGCCGCCCTATCTCTAGCCTCACTCGTCTACCTCAATAGGGTATGAGCATCTACTAGGGGCAGGCTAGCAGAGATTGTTGAGGAAGAGGAGAGGGCAGGCTAGCAGAGATTGTTGAGGAAGAGGAGAGGGCAGGCTAGCAGAGATTTTGGAGGAAGAGGAGAGGGCAGGCTAGCAGAGATTGTTGAGGAAGAGGAGAGGGCAGGCTAGCAGAGATTGTTGAGGAAGAGGAGAGGGCAGGCTAGCAGAGATTGTTGAGGAAGAGGAGAGGGCAGGCTAGCAGAGATTGTTGAGGAAGAGGAGAGGACAGGCTAGAAGAGAATTTGCAGGGCTACTACAGCAACGGCGCGTCCAACCTTACGCTGTACGCGCTCATCTCGTTGTTGCTCATCGTTCTGGTAATTTTTTGTTAGGGCCAGGGAATATATATATCAAGAACTTATAAGTTTTTGGTATGAGTAAAATCGCGAAACATTAGCTTTTTTCTCAGGAATGTTTTTGATTTGAAAGTGTTTCATCTTGATGCAGACTAATATCGTGAGCAGGATAGCTAATACGAGAACTGACCCCGTCTCCGCATAAATTTAATTTTAGCCATTTGATTTTTGTCGATTGTAGGGCAAAAATTAATTTAATTTCATTTTCGTGTTTTGAGATCTATTAAGAAACATTTTTTGTTTACGGATTGAAATTCTTGTTAGCCAAATTAAATCTTAAAGCTTAATTTTGTATTATTTTTATATCAACTTTTCAGCGTATCATCTGCGGCGGGCTTCTGCTGTTAGCCCTCTTCTCCCCACATTCCCACCCTCCCATTACCGTACCCCTCTTCGGCATCACGATTCTGCACATCATTTTTGCTTTCTATGCTATTGGTGGGTTACTGTAGATCGGATAAAATCGGCTGGTTACAATAGTACGAAAAACTTCTAAAAATTTTGAGGAAATTTTATCTAAAAATAATGACCGTAACGACCTAAATAAAAAGTTATGAAACATTTGGATGAAAAAAATTTCAACATGAAAAATTTTTCGAAAAATTTTTTGTTGCGGATCAAAAAGATGTTTTACAAAGAGGATTAGCCCAATCTGAATCAGAATACAGTAATTATTTTCCTAGAGCTGTACGTTATTAAAAGGCCGTCCGCCAGCTACCCGACCTGCCCCCATTATGGCTTGGCACAGTTTTTTTCGACCCCATTTTTTTGATGCCATCTGAAAGAGCATGTTCGAATTAGTAGGGCTGCATAGTTTTGAAAGTTCAAAAAGTTTATTTTTATGGTTTAAATGGGTGTCAAAGTTGCCGACCACGAAAAACTATCTTGGAAGTTACTGAATAGAATGGGATGAAACTTTCAGAATACACCTATTTTGGGACGGGGATCATTTCTCTAATACATTGCAAAGCCTGAAAATGACCGGAACATGGTTAAATAGCGCACTAGAAACAGTTTTTCGGGATTTGCGACTATGCGGGCGATCGAGCGCCACTCATACGTGGTAGGAAAAGATGCGCGAGATTTTTCTGCGTCGAATGGCGTGTCCATTATGCGGCGCTCGGTCGCCCGCATATCTTAAAAATCGCGATTATTAAGCTCAAAATGGCGATTTTTAGTCGAAATCTGGGGCGGGCAGGGTGAGAGAGTGCGGCAAGCGCAGAGGACAGAGACAGCTAGGATGGTCAAGCTGGGGGCTCTCTGGCAGCACCCGACCCGCTCCCCCAGGGCTGCTGTCTGCTTGTCTGGACCCTCCACGTGACGCGCACTCTCTCGCCTGTTTGGCATCCGAAAACCCGCAAAAATCGCCATTTTCGGCGTATTAATCGCGTTTTTTAAGATATGCGGGCGACCGAGCGCCGCATAATGGACGCACCATTCGATGCAGAAAAATGTCGCGCAGCTTTTCCTACCACGTATGAGTGGCGCTCGATCGCCCGCATAGTCGCAAATCCCGAAAAACTGTTTCTAGTCCGCTATTTAACCATGTTCCGGTCATTTTCAGGCATCGCATTGTATTAGAGAAATGATCCCCAGCTCAAAATAGGTATACTCCCAAATTTTCAGCCAATTCTGCTCAGTAACTTCCAAGATAGTTTTTCGTGGTCGGCAACTTTGACACCCATTTAAACCATAAAAATAAACTTTTTGAACTTTCAAAACTATGCAGCCCTACTAATTCGAACATGCTCTTTCAGATGGCATCAAAAAAATGGGGTCGAAAAAAACTGTGCCAAGCCTTGTTCGGGTACCTCGCGAACGGCCTTTTAAATAGTTTAGAAAGCACAGACTGTAGTAGAATGATAAGATTAATCATTAAAAAATAATACTACCAATAGCAAAATTAATTTATCGTAATAAAATTACGGAGAAAATGGGCGTTTTTTGGAAGAGCCTTGATAAGCCCGTCTAAAATTTCAACAATGGTGAGCTTGTAAAAACTGGAATTCAAGCATTAATAACTCTTAAAAATTAATCATATCAGTGAAGTTTAATAATAGCTTTAATAAAATTCGCAAACCATAAAAAATCTACACGTCGCATTGTTCAATAGAAATTATTGAGTTTAATTTTCTTTTTTCTTTCCAGGTAAAGTGACGGCCTATCGATCACGGCTGGCGAAAAAGGCCGCGGCCGCTCACGGCCGCCACGGCAATACGGGTATCGAGGAAATTCAGGTAATCGGAACAACCCCGCCAAAAATTATCGTTCAAATAAATTATTTGGCAGCATAAATGCTTGAAACATTTTTTCGAGACGTTTAAAGATGGAAAAATCTTTTTTTCCATCCGAGAAGACTAATAGGACGCATTTAAAATCCTTCCTACCTTATATAATTTTGGAGTGTATGTGTGTGTGTGTGTGTGGATGTCACTTTCGAGGCCCGATTTGAGGGCCTTCCCGTGTCCAAAACGCTTCAATTCTCCGTCACCCGGGGGAATCGACCCTTCTGTTTCCGATGGCGTTTTCAGAATTTCGATAAAATACAAGTTTACAAAGTTAAAGCCGGTTTTATTCATTTTTGGGGGTTCCTGAAGGCTAATTTGCATAATGCAAAAATACAAACTTCTTCATTCTTGCCAGTTGCACTCGCCCGTGTGGTCGGGGGGGTCCGCAGGACCCGAGCTAACAGAAAGTCAAACTTTTCATGCAAAGGCCGCATTCCAGCGCCCAAGGCCCGCGAAGCGGGTTTTGGGCGCTGGTTTGACAATGAAAACGCGGGGTTTTAAATCGGCAGGTTCTGGGCATGCTAGCAGAGATCATGACGGAAAAATAAAGAGGACCGGGTGTCGAAGAAGTAGTAAGAAATGATTTTGAGGGAAGTGACCGTTTGTTCGAAACATTCTTGCAGAAATCATCTGAAAATTCGGGAAAGGAAGCTAGCAGAGACAATTTTTGCAAAAATGCAGGGTAGCAGAGATCTTGATAAAAATATTTATACTTTTGCTTGCTCAATTAATCAATTTACAAGCACTTTGGATCTCCGATTAGATTTTGAAAAGCTTAGAAAACCATAAAGTACTTTTCCACGCCGCTCACTTGTCTAAAAAGTCTGGGCAGGCTAGCAGAGATTGTTGAGGAAGAGTAAACAAAGAAATTTATTCACTTTCCAGGTGTCCCATCTGGCGTCTTCGTACAATTTGCTGTCGCGTTCCAGTAACACGCTTTGTACGGTGTTGGACGACCAGGAAGAGCTGCTTGTACCTTAAAATCATTTCAGGATCGCATAAAGATATTCCTATTAAACCTGATAATTTATTGAAACACACTTAATTACCTGGAATCGCACTTTATACGATAAACCAGTGGAAAAAGCCCGCTTCGCGGCCCTTTCCCACTGGACCCCGTCCAGGAACTATGAATTCGAATACCTTCTTTTTTAGCCTGCGGCGCAAGAACCTGAGTCAAGGACCCAATCTTTGGCCTGCGGCGCCAGAGCCTGGTCCAAGGACCTTTTCTTTGGCCTGCGGCGCTAGAGCGAGATCCAAACCTAAACGCGCTAGAATCTTTTTACCTGCGGCGCTAGTTACTGGTTTTTCTCCCAGATTTGGCCTGCGGCGCAAGAGCCTAGCTCAAAAACCCATCCTTGGCCCGCGGCGCAAGAGCCTGGGCCAAGGACCTTTTCTTTGGCCTGCGGCACTAGAATCGAGAGCCAGGCCTAAATATCGCGCACCCAGGGCCTAGAAATATGTTTTGTTGCCGAACTACCAAAAAGCAAAAAAATAAATTCTCCCATGATCCGAACCCACGATCTTGCGCGTGGTAGACCGGGCGCAAATCCACTACACTATGGGCCAGATGGGAAGAGGCGGCGGGAAAGCCCTCTTCTGCCCTGGGGAAAGGGTGCGGGGAAGGCAAAGAAAAGGGCAACCCTATGATCCCCGGAGGGAGGCCTACTGGTCACATTACAAAATTCGGTTTTCGAGTCTCAATCAGCTGAAAATTTTCAAAGATAATAAGATGCGCGTGATCCCCACCCTTGACTGCATAGACGGTCAAAATTCCAGACCGAAATTCCATCTGGACTCTGAGATATGGCCCGGACACCACGGCTCTTGGCCCACTTTATTAAGGCCTTTTTTTAAAAATGTTCATAAAAACTTCATTTTACAAAATTTGACAAAACGCAGAATTATATATCGGGAGAATTCGCTTTTCAATCTACCCTCGAAAAATTAGCGCCCAAATCCATTTGGATCGCGAGATATCCTCTGTACAAACCTTTTTTTGGCCAAAATGTTAAGGGTTTTTCACTATTTTGCTTATAAAATCGTTAAATGAAGGAATTTCGAAAAACAAAAAAATGCTTATAAAGAGGATGTGTGTCTCCACCTCCATGCCAAAAATCAGCCGGGAATTCGGCCTGACGGCCGAGAAATCGTCTGCACAGAAAACAGACATACTTTTCTCGCTTATAGGATAGGATATGCACCTTAAAACTGTGGCTACAGAGTTCCCCAACAATTTCTGCTAGCCTGCCCTCTCCTCTTCCTCAACAATCTCTGCTAGCCTGCCCTCTCCTCTTCCTCAACAATCTCTGCTAGCCTGCCCTCTCCTCTTCCTCAACAATCTCTGCTAGCCTGCCCTCTCCTCTTCCTCAACAATCTCTGCTAGCCTGCCCTCTCCACTTCCTCAACAATCTCTGCTAGCCTGCCCCCTAATTCCCATCCATTTGACGACATGTCGACACCTGAGAAGCCCCTGAAAAGGGTGGGCTTTGTGTATGTGTGGTGTGTATGTGAATGGGGGGCATAGAGCGAGGCTAGAGAGTGGCTATTTGAGAGTGTGCAGACATGGAGACATGACAGAGAGGGCCCTCGGTGGGCCCCAAGTGGGCCCTCTCCCTCCTCTGCCATCTAGTCTCCCCCCAAACCCCCCACGGCGGCGGCTCCGATAATCAATGCCATCCGTGTCCGGATTCCAGCTTGAAATCTCGATCAGGTAAGTATTTTTAAGTCACTTACTTATGGTAGAAAATCGGGCCTTGTTTTTAAAGATTTTACAAGCTTTGAATTTGTTTTTGTTGATTTTATTATCGTGGGTTTTTTGTAATACAGAGTTTTTCATTTATAAAACAAACTAAGCTAGTATGTTCTTTTATTTAAAATGAAAAGAAGGCTAATAGTTTTGTATAATTTTCCAAACAAATTTGATTAAATTATGATGTTTCATAACTATTCAGTGCGGAAAAAATTTCATAACTATCGGCAGCGCAATTTTTGGTGTTTTCAATTAAAAACTCCATTTCTATCAGAATTTCCGAAAAGTCGAAACCCCTTCAGAATTTGGAATAATGTTTCAAAAAAATGATGGCTTTGGACGGTTTTTGGGCAACCTAATACTGTCGTTGTGCATTGTTCATACCGGTTCCCTACTTTTTATTCCCCTTTGATTCTTTAAATCACTATATTCTTAAAAAAATTTTTTTCTAAAGGTTCTTTAAATTAGTTCGTTAAATAGAAATCTGAAAGACATATTAAACTTGAAATTAAAATAGTTTTACCTCTTTTTCAAACTGTCGGTTTTGCCTGGAATGAGTTTACGAAAAAATTGGCTTCTGGACTTGGAAATGCTTGGCAATCGGCCTAGCTCCCCCAAAAAATTCAACAAAAAAAAGATGAATTAGTTTACTAACAAAAATCTATGGACTTTGGATCGATACAACTAAAAGCTTATTTGGATTAATTTTTGCCACGTTTTTTCCCGACAATTTACGTTCACGTTTTTTCTGTAAACTTTTGGCTACACTGACCCCTTGAAACACCTTTTTTAATTTCTAGAAAGCGTCATAAAATGTGACCTCAATGGTTTAATTCAATTTAATTCCGTGATCTCTGCCCAACTGCCCTCGTTTGCCTTCAATGGCCCTTTAATCCGCCCTGCAACGCATCCCCCCATCTCTCATCATGTATTCTGGCTCGTAAAGTGAAGATTAGATGCCGCTGCTGGGTGGTGTGCCCTTCTACGACTCCTCTGAAATTGCCCTGCTCTCGTTCTCTGTGCTCTCTCCTTCTCTCACTCTATCCTCTCAGACGTCACCCCATCAGATCGCTCGCTACCCTAACGAGCTTTAGATACCTTTAAAGGACCACTGAAGGCCGATGTGGGCTGGTGCGTGAATACGTAATGGCGCCAGTAAAATCAATAAAAGGTTACAAGTGCAAAGCTTCCAGACTCCGGCCCATCAATTTACAAAATTTTTCAGTATTTTTAATTCTTTTTGAAACACCTGTTTTCCCAAAAAATTCGGCTTGCTTTATCACGTAAAATGGAAGCAGAATTTCAAGAAATTAGTTGACAAAGTATGCGGTATAATTAATTCCGAAAGCGGTTCGCTAGCCATCAATATTTTTGAAAAATTCATTTCCGAATTTGGCCTTCTTCATTTTCCCTTATTTTTTTAGCGTATAAAAACGGCTTGTATGTATATTTTCATTCTATGAAAAAGATCAAAAGTATTTTCGATTTATAAATTGCATCAGTTTTAGCCAACTTCAAAATGATTGTTGACGTAGCTTTGTGGGTCGCACTAACCTTATCGAATTTTTTCGGGTCTTAAGAACTTTTGAAACATAAAAAAGTTATCACAATATTTATGGCCTTGATTTTCAAAGAGAACGTGAAGACTTGGCCATCAGTTTTGGGTCGAATTTCTTCTTGATTTATTTCGCTCTCACCGCTTCTTTAACGGGCCAATTCAGTACGCAAGGAAACGACAGGCGTGCGTGAGCGTGGCGTGCTGTATTTTTTAAAAAGCCGTAACAAATCCATAGCCATGCCTTGCACTTCCCTTACTTTTTAAATGATTTGATCGAGGGGGTGCGGCTCCTGAATAACTGTCACCAAACAATTTTTTACCCAAAATTTTTTTGAAACATAGTTTTTAATCTAATTTTTTATGGGTAATTCGCTTCTCGCTGTTCGTCGAAATCTGACGCTTTATTTAGTCTGAAAATGATATATTTTTATCCCATATTTTCGACGAATATTCCAGATTTTTGGGAGAAGCGCAAGCAGTACCCGGGGGATGGCTAGGCGGGTCAAATTGAATCAATTTTCGGCGGAAAAAGGGAGAAGTTCCCCCATGACTGGTTGGGGAATAGAAGGCAGCGAGGATTTAAGACCTGTAAAAATATTCAAAATTTTAAAGGGACTGGCAGCCAGCAGCGATACCTTAGGAAAACGAGAGAGAGAGAGAGAGAGAGAGAGAGAGAGAGAGAGCGAGAGAGGGAGAGATTTTAATTCATTTAAATTTTAATTATACTATAAATTTTAATTATTTAATTCATTTTTAGAAACGTTTCGCGCTGCTATTACCGCTCCCTCTGTTTTTTTTTTCGCGTAGCAAAAATGCGAAACCTTTTCCACTTAAAATCGAATTGACTAGGCAGGATTTTAAAGTTTATTTTTTTTAATTTTGTGTTTACTAAAATTATTGAACTGTTAAATTTTTCCCAAAATTCCCAAAAAGTATTTAGATCCATGTTTTTCAGAAATGCCGAAAACGGGGACCCGATCGCCTTCAAGGTGGACGGGGAGCGCTTCGATGGCGGGACGAGGACGCTGAAATTTGCCTCAAACGCCCGCTACAAAGTGCACATCGCCGCCAAGCCGTCCACCGAGTTTTTGTGCGTTTTTCTGGTATTAAAAATCGGTTTTTACTTGTTAAGCTCTTTTTTAAGCGCTGTTTTAGGAGTCTCCACCTAGCAGGCTCCGATTTGGCGCTGGTGGCCGAGGACGCGAAGGGTGGGCAATATGTCGCGGAATGGAACACCACCGGAATTGATGCCACCCAAAAGGGATCCCGCCACAATATTAACTTCCATTTGCAGGTATTTTAATCTGACTTAATGAATTTAATTAGTTGAAATGGGAAGGACAACCCAATGTTTCGGCTTAAAGGGATGCCGACGGCATAGTCAATCGATTACGCGCTGGAAAGAAAATGTCTCTGCGCCTCTCCCCAGGGCGCGCTCTCTGCCCTGTTGGCTACTTGCCAATTTGTTGATGGGGGGGATCGACACATGCCGTCGGCAGCCCTTTAACTTTATCCCCAAAAAAAAAATATCTTTCGAAAAAGTGAGTTTCAAAAAATCCCAATATAATCTTTCTTTTTTCATATTCAATTTGTATACGCTGTTCTACGTTCTACCATGCACCGTTATGCAAAAAAAACCGTTTTTAGCAGTATTTTTGCATTTTTAAATATTTTTATTTAAGTTTTAAACAATTAAAAACTATCTTTTGACATTTGTCAAAGGTGCTGAAAAGTCTGATTTTGTAATTATTGTTGTCAAAAACTACAAATTAAATTAAATAAAATTTCGACACATAGCCGAGTACGATCAAACGTTTGCCGCTATGTAATACTGGTTTTTTTGCAGTTTTGCGCAGATTTTTATATGTAACATTTATTCTTAATCTCCTTACAAACTGGATTCATTAAAAAAAATTTTATTGTAAAATTTCCCGCCATTGTGGCCTTTGAAAATAAAAAAAAATGACAATTAAGGATTTAAAAACCTTTTCAGTGCCCAGGCGGGATGCTGAAGAAGCAGGTCCAAACGAAGTTCTACAACCGCGACGACTCGCACGCCGACTGGGGCCACAAACTCGAGAAGTTGATTTGGAAGTGTTCGGTGGACAATTGCGGAAATGTGCAAGTGAATGAGGAAGAGTATAAGTGATTCTGGCTCCAGAAAAAATGCCAATATTACGACCTCTCCAAAATTTTTAGTTTTAAAAATTTTTGAAACATACTTTTTTTGGAAAAAAATTAGCAATTTTGAAAATTGAAGACCTGTTCCGACCTTACGATTTGAAAGGACGTCATTTTTAATCTAGCGAAATCTCACGTTCTTCCCGGTTTTCTTAATTATATTTGAAAAATAAATACAGCCGCTTAAAAATTCCCGATGCAAGAATCGGCTAAAAAATAATTGTTTCACATTTATTGATTTAACAGTAGAAGAAGATACTAATTTATTTATTGCGACGTATAGCTAAATGATGCTCTCAAACATAAATCTGGAACTTCTCTCTTTATCTCTAACACGCTCCATATTTTGAAAATAGTTCGCGTTGTCTCTATCTCTCTCTCTCTCTCTCTCTCTCTCTCTCTCTCTCTCTCTCTCTCTCTCGCTCTCTCTCATCCCCCCCCCTTGATAAATCTCAATTATTGTTGCTCCCCGATCTCTCAAAAAGGCCCCAGATCAAGGATTCTCGAATACAGTATGTCTTTTATTTCTTTTATTTATTCCCAATGTATTTTTTTTTGCTCAACGACGCGCCGATTACTATACACGAATTTGCAATTACCACCCCGCTTATTTTATGTCAATATATGATTATTTATATACTGAGATATCGAATAAATTATAATTCCGAAATTTAAAGTCATAACACCGAAAAACTGAAACATTTAGGTGTAATAAAATGTTGCATAAATTTCAGGTTTAACCGCGGAAATTTTTGGTGTAGTCGTAGAAACCGCTAAGAACAAACGGATTTTCTCGTTTCAATTGTCTTGAAACGAAGACGCTAGACGTAGGCAGGCTAGCGGTGATTCTTTGCGGAATTTAAATATTGTAATAACACGCGAATTTGGGTGCTTCTAAAGTAACCTGGCAGTTAATTTTCTCAAAATTTTGGAGAGCGGGGTTAGCGGGATTAGATGCGCAAAACTCGGACAAATCCATGAAATGTTTGAAACGCCAAAATTTTTCAGTTTTCTTACAGAAATTAAACAAACATTTATAGAGTTGTAATATACAGGGTGTCCCAAAAAAAAACCCCCCCTCGGCATTTGGCCGTCTTCTATCGGATCGGGGCCAAATTTTTACCAGAGATGGGGACCCATAAAAACTATGTGCAGCCAAATTTTCTAAGCAAAACATTGTAAAACCAAAAAGTTATCGCTAAAAAACTGATTTTTGGAAAACGCTGGTACTCGTTTTTGGCTATGTTTTCGCAATTAGCATGCGGATTTTGAGTAATTTTCCAAAAAATGGTCATTTCTCGGTCAGTTTCTGGCAATTTCGATAATAAAAAGTGATCGAAAGGCCCAATTTAAACGTAATTTTCGTAAATCAAAAAATTTCTACAGGTAAAAAAGAGCGCCCTCTTCATTTTTGCTAAACATTTCGAGGCCGAAATCCGTCAAAATCCTAGTGAAATCGGCAAAATTAACCTTAATTTTGATATATCTTCTTTGTTTTACAATATTTTGCTTAGAAAATTTGGCTGCAGATAGTTTTTATGGGTCCCCATCACCGGTAAAAATTTGGTCCCGATTGGATGGAAGACGGCCAAATGCCGAGGGGGGGTTTTTTTTTGGGACACCCTGTAGAGTCAGACTATTGAAAGGTAACTAAACTTAAAGAATTCAACCCCCGAGAGTTTAACGGGATTCCGAAAATTGATTCTGGGTGTAGTGGTCATACTATTAACTTACAACAACCCTCCGACCCAACATAAATTGATGAAACACAGAATTTATTTCTGTAAATTTTTAACTTTCGCATTTTTTGGATAAATCACGTCCGACACGCGATAATTTAAAAATTGTTAACCTAAAATCAGAAAATCGCGATGGCGTGTTCGACCAAGCATTATTGTTTCAAAACCCGGATAAATCCTCAAATTTAGTCAAACATTGATTTTCGAAATTTTACACTTTTAAATTCAAATTTATTAGGATGAAACAATTTATCATGATAATTCGCTAAGGGTAACTAAAACCGTAACGCAATGTAACTTAACGGAATCGGAACGTTTAGAGGCATCCCGAAAATTAATTCTAGAACATCTCGGGCTTCAAATCGAAATTTCAAAACCCATCAAAACCCTAAATAAATTGTTGAAACACAAAAATGACCCTCACAACTTAGATGTTCTGAAAAATTATTGTATCTGATAAGCGATTTTTGAATTGTTGACAAGACGGTTTATATCAATAAAATTATATCTTTGTAAACCGTTAAAACACGGAAAATTGTTGAAACAGATTTTTTCGAAACTCGCGCTTTTGACAATCCCGATTTTTTTTGTGGCTAGCCATATGTAAATTGTTGAACCCGTTGCTCAGATCCCCGGATTATATTTTCAAAACTCGGAAAGCCCCAGAAAATCCCTGAAACAGGAATTTTTTTTTCGAAATTTTTGAAAATTCCTATTTTTGTGAAACGTCGATACGTAGATTGTTGAAAGGTCTGGTTGTTCGTTTACAATCATATTTGAAAACTCGAAGAACCTCAGGAAACCATTGAAACAGACATTTTCGAAAGAAGACGATGACTAATGACCGAGGGGATGGCTGACGGCTCGCTTCATAAATATGGATGACGATCGAAGGAGGGGCTTTTCGGCTTCTTCCTTACCTTTTGGCTGATCATCACGCGGTGAAGGGTTTTTTGTTTTTGATGATATGTTTTCAAGTTTTTCAAATATTGAACTTTTTCTGACTTATTTGTTCAGAGACATTACTTAAGATATACTTAAAAGAGGCCTTATTCTCTTATATTCACACTTTTTTTAGTAAATTTTCGTAAAAAGGTTATCTGACAGGAGTTTCTCTTTTCTGTAATGCAGCAGGACAGAAATGGATATTTTGCGCGTTAGAAGCGGTCCTGGGTTTTTTCAAGTCAGTTCCCGCAGGAGATTACACCCATCCATGAATTTTGATCTTTAATTTTTCCTGAAACATTTGATTTTGTGCCAAAAAGTGTCGGCTAGCAGAGTTTTTAAGAACTGTCTTCTTTTGAATTACACCCGTAACGCGAGGCAAGCGGAGGTAATTTAGCATTTTCGTAAAATAGGTTTATATCAATGTGAATATCGACGTTTGGAAGGCAGGCCCGCAGGCACCAGTTGGGAAAACCAGCAAACGGGGGTTTCGGAATTTTGATCACCTAACGCATCGTATAATCCCACAGTAACAAAATTGAACGTTTTAAGGCTTCTTGATACATTTAAATTAAATGTTCAAACAAGTTAATCAAGCATTTTTTAAACGTTTTGATTGCGAATGTAATTGGAGTTTCGAAAGTAATGAATTACACTGAGAACCTAACACTCCCAAATGCGAAAAAAACACATTTCTTAATTTTTTCTGAAACATTTAATCTTCCGAAAACCGGGTCGGGAAATGGGGTCAACCATGTTTGTAGAAAATTTGTGCATAGGAGTTTCATTCTCAAGGCAGGCTAGCAGGGATCATCCAGGAAGATTGCGGAAAGCAGTTTTGGCTTGTAAATGTAAATAGTTAATTAGATTTCACCTTATCATTTCCTTATCCTTCCACCTTTCATTTGCCGAATTCCCAAATTTCAAATTCCCGATTTTCAAAATTTTATGAAACATTTAATTTTTCCAAAAAGCTGTTCGGCTTGACGATTTCCATTTTCATAGGTTAGGAGCAGGGTTGGTCATTTTGCGTCCCGTCCCCGTCCGTCCGCGTCCGGACGGGGACGCGGGACCGTCACCCTAATTTGCATAAAATTAGGGGACGGACGGGGACGCGTCCGGGAAGGGACGGACGGACAGACGGGGGACGGGGTGACGGTCAGCGTCACCCCGTCCCCGATGCAAATGCCGAAATGCAAATGGATTTCCTACCAGTAATTATTTCGGGTCTCCTTCTCGTTTATTTAGGGGAGTCAAAAATACATGCAACTCAGGCCAAGCTGGAAGTTATACCTAGATGGCGTCGGCGCTGCAGATAATCACCATTTTTTCGGAATTTGCTACAGAGCTTAAAAATTCAAGATATTCAAGTTAGAAAGCAATTGGTTACTTACTCCACGTGCTAGGTTATAAGCACTTCATCGTAATCATGCTATCCACGTTTTGTACCCTGCTCTGCGAAATTTTAAACCCAGCCGATGCGCGATTTGAATGCCATTACTTTATCCCCATAATTTGCATCGGGGACGGGGACGCTGCCCCGTCACCGTCCGTCCCCACCGTCCCCGTCCCGTCCCCGTCTGTCCCCATTTTGGGATGCAAATTAGGGGACGGGGACGCGTCCCCGTCCCCGTCCGTCCCGTCCGTCCCTGAACAACCCTGGTTAGGAGCCTAGGATTCCAAAAACGGGGCAGGCTAGCAGGAATGATTTCGGAATCCTTCACCAGCCGATCGACCGTACAATTTCACCCCTTATATTCCACGAGACGCCCCATTACACGCCCCGTTTTTCTATAGCGCGGCCTTCTGCGCGGAGTCGATCTCCCTCGCCTCCTTTTCCTCAAATTTTCCGGGGATCCCGCCGCGAAATGGGCTCAATTTTCCGGCCCGCCCGGCATCGGCTAGAATGAGGTCATGTTATGCAAATTTAATGGCCGGCCAGATGGTGGGGGAGTCGATTTTCTCCGGGTCCTAAAAGTACACTAGCGTACTGTAATTTTAAACTTCCTATCCTATTTATATATAGTAGGATTTAAATATAACTTTTATTTAGTACATTTTTTGAAGGAAAAAATTTTGCACAAAAAATGCAAATTTTATGGCTTTTAAAACGATGGTGAGCCGATTTTTGGTGGATTCGAGAGTATTGTAATTTTCAATCAATACTTATACGTAAATTTTTTACAAAATGCATTTTTACTTGGAGGAAATTTCAAAAAATACGAAAAAGCAAAAGCTAATGAAAATACGATCTTAATTTTTCGGGTGTATACAAACATTT